TCTGTTGTGTTTGTGATGTGTTTGTTTGTTTTTTATGGACTTCGAGTCTGATAAATAAAGATAATAATAATAATAATAATCGATCTTCTTTAATACCAGCAGAAAATTAGTAGATTCCTATTAACATACTTCCAGTCACAGAAAGGCTTGAAGGACAATGTTGTCATCTGTCATCATTGTGACTTCAGCTGTAGTCTGTTCATTGCTATTCCTCCACTGTCTGTTTCATGGCATGATGATGGGACCCCTTTTATCTGCATCTGTGAACTACAGCCTCAGTCCTGGGTCTACAGCCTCAGTCCTGGGTCTACAGCCTCAGTCCTGGGTCTACAGCCTCAGTCCTGGGTCTACAGCCTCAGTCCTGGGTCTACAGCCTCAGCTGCTGCTTACACGAGGACGCTGCGACAGTAAAGCGTTAGAGTTGGGTAACGGTTTGGCCTTTCGTTGTTTCGGGTGAAAATACAGGCGTTGAGAAACGCCTCCAGAGTGGAACAAAAAGGCTGCCTGCTATGACCCCCACTTCCCTGCAACAAACAACAACAAGCAACAATGCTACGTGTGCTTCGAGCGCTAAACGGAGGAGAATTCTACTTCGTTCGTCAAAAAAAAAAATACATGCAAAGCTGTAGTTTCAGTTTCCATTTTTGCTGCTGGTGTTAAATGCAGAATGATGTCGGTGCATTGTTTCACGTCTTTGCGGCGGCTGAGGAGGATGTTGTTGAGAAAGTGATTATACTGATGGGGGTGACGCATGTGTCGTGTTGTAAAGTTCCACTGTCCCTAGAACTACATTGTTTTTTGTTGTGTTGACGCTGTGCACTTTGAATAAGGAGCCTGGTCCTTTTTACTAATGGCTTTGCAGCTTCTTTGCATCTCCGTCTAAACGAGGCCTCAGTCGCAGATATACAGTCTCAATGGCTCCTATATGTTTGTTATCATTACATTTCTGTATCTCTGATCTGTTGTGGGCAAATCGACAACTCAGTAAAGTCCTCCTAGATGACTGCAGTTGGGATTTAGAACTGATCACAAATAAATTGAATACATTTATTCGAAAAGTAATGGTAAAAACAAGTGCAAAAAACGCATGTGATGACAGAATATTTATAACAATTCTAAATGTAGAGAAAAGATTCATATTAATATGAAGATGATGAGATCCTTTATTGGTCCCACAGGGGAAATGTCAGTGTTGCATCAGCAGTTACAGAGCAGTAACTGATAAATGAACAATAACATAGAATCTATAACTTAAGCATAATAAAGAAGCAAATATAGATAAATGAACACAGCTCTAAACTCTTTACCAAACACTATACTGAATAAAATAAAATCTCTAGCTTTAGAATAATTAGGAATAATACAACAGTCTGCTCAACTTGACTTTACTTTAGCTAAGTAATATTGCCTGAGCCCCATTTCCACCAGACCCTCTACTCGCTGCTCGCTCTGGTCTGAGGACCGCAAGGAGTGTCCTGCAGTGACTGTAGAGCTGCTACACTTCTGTCTTTGATCTCACACCTCTCTCATGTTCATCCCATGTTTCACCTCCATCACACATCACCCTCTTCAGCCTCGGTCCGCTCTGCTGTCCGTTTGTCTAAGTTCAACAGTAAAAATAAAAATGAAATTCCACAGTAATCACATCATAAAGCTATATCTCTATAAACTTTATGGTCTTATTAACTTACTGTCAACTCGCTGAACCTCTTTTATGTTTCAGTCCTGAACCATCGTGCCATGACTGTGAGGGGCCGTGGGTGCAGTTTAATCGTTAACTCGAATTCACACAGTTTACCTTTAAATGTTGTAGAAGAGGTTATTAAGGTCATATCTGCAGCTGTAAATCTGAGGAGCAAAGTGGGCAGTAATGTCAGTTATCACAGGTTTGGCTATCAACAATATCAACAATACTGTTTCAATGTTGGCTAAGGTACTTCTAAAACTTAATCCATGATGTGTTACTTGTTGCTGTTATTTCAAAGTAATGTGTTACTACAATTTTACTGTCTCTGAATTGTAAAGCATTACACTACTGCTGTATTATTGTCCTGGATCCTCAACAGTAAAGCAAGGGATATTAATTGTTACTTAAAAAGAAGTGGTTTGAAGTTGACCACTTATTGATTCCCAACCCCGTTTCAGCGTCTAGTTACTTACTTTGGTTTTACACTTTCTTGCAAAACACAATAACTTATTTTTCCTACACATATACAATATGTTAGCATCATAAACACACAGAGGCATTTTCTCAAATGTTTTATGACAGTATCCTAAATAAATGTCAGTAAATACATGTCTTAAAGAGGCTCTGAGCTTTAGGAGGTCCAGCATGCCTGTGTTGGAGGAGCTGAAGCTGGCTGGGTGACACTATGGATGTATAATCTCAATGGTACTTAGTTAGCAATACCTGCTATAGACAGATACAACTAAAATGCAATAACTAATGTCAGCACTATCTTGCTACATTTATTGTGCATCTATGGGCGGCACGGTGGCTGAGTGGATAGCACTCTTGCCTCTCAGCAAGAAGGTCCTGGGTTCGAATCCCGGTTGGGCCTTTCTGAGTGGAGTTTGCATGTTCTCCCTGTGTCTGCGTAGGTTTCCTCCTACCACTAAAAACATGGACAATAGATCTGCCATGCGCCTCCTGTACTGGTGCCCTCTCTCCTCATTGAGACTCTGATTTGCAGTGAAAAGGCAGTATATAAATAAATATTACTACTACTACTATAATCAGGTCTGTCCAATTATTCAATGTATTTGTGCATCGTCCTAAAGTTGTTGATTCACCAACAACAGATCAGAAAGTCAAAAAGTTCAAATGAGAAATGCAATAATAACAATCATATAGCGGGATGACCACTGTAGACCCTCCTGCTTCAGCCATGAACCACTTAGAATGAAAAAAAAACGGTGGAAGAAATCTGGTAGATGCAGATGCAGAAGCCGCTGCAGAGACCTGAGGACTGGACTAATGTGATCATACTTCCTGGTTCTGGTCAGGACTCAAGCTGCTGCATTTTGGACTTACTTCAGCTGTTTTACAGCCTGTTTGGAGAGACCTGTGAGCAGGCCATTGCAGTAGTCTAACCTACTGAAAACAAATGCATGAGAATCTCACAGTCTGCTTTAGATACTATGTTTCTAATTTTGGCAATGTTTTTTAGATGGTAAATAGCTGCTGATGTAACTTATTTGATATGGCTGTTAAAATTCCATAGTTAAAATTCAGTCCAAATTAAAAATCCAGGGAGAGAGACTGGAGGTGACAAATTACGCTCTCTCTTTTTTTCAGGGGACCAAAGACAATGATTTCAGTTTTGTCTGCGTTCATCCATGCTTTGAAAATAATAGCTAATACATTTTTGACAGTTAAGAGTCAAAAGCTAAGATAAGAGCTAACCAGCTAAACTAAATAATTTGAGGTAGCTAACTTTCAAACTACAAAAAAGTGGAACTAAGTATTAACATGTTTTATGTAAAAATTAAAGAAAATACTTCAAATATAAAACAAGAAATGTCCTATACCAGAACACGCCACCGGAGGGCAGTGTTGCACGCCTCAGCTGCTGTCTATAGATCATGCCGCATAAACCCCGCACCTGTGTCGCTGTGTACTCTCACTCACTTTAGAAGTTTATTTTATCTTCTAAAGTGGGTCACGGGGGATGGCAGCCGCAACACTTCAAAAGAAATGTTGTGATGAAACTCTGTGATGATGCTTCTCACGGATCTCTCCATCTTTACGAGACAAGAAACTGTCACAACTGAAGAGGGAAACAGGCTTAAACTTATTTTCTCCGTTCCACCCGTTCTCTCCAGTGCAGTGTCGTGACTGAGATGTAGTTGCTGATGTCGTGTGTAATCATTAGACACCCATTTTCAGTTCTATATTTCTGTCAGCCGCCGCGGGGTTGGATTTAAAACGGGTGCTGATCATCATTTACTAATCGATTTGATTTTTTTTTTTTAAATACACACATACACAGTCTTGCATCAAAACATATACGTCTAAATACATACAATACAATGTAAATAGAGTAGCTAAGCCTTTTGGAAATCCTGGGTCCCTGATGCCTGCAGGTGAACGGCTGTAGCTTATTTTAATACAGAGAAAACAGTAAATATATAGAGAATGAGATGGCCCAACCCTCTCATTCTCTTTAGTCCAAATAACTTTTTTAGATATTTGAATAATGTTTTATTGAGGCAGTCACGTAAAGGGTAAATCTAACGTTTACTGAAGCATCCCAAAGCACATGTCATTAAAAACCGCTCTGATAATCGATTTGTTTGTCTTTCGATTAATCAGTTAGTTTAGGGCCAAGGAAGGTCAGCGCATATGGGAATTTTTTTGTTCTGGGAAGTATCTTCACAGAGACGACTGGTCACACCTTGGGTTTGATTCAAAATCAATTTCGCAAACACATTTTTCCTTGCACAGCCATTCTAGAAATATCTGAGTCAAAACCTTATCTCTAGTCAATGTGAGCCTCAAGAAACCAGTACTACATTAGTTGACAACTTTTTCCATATACTACAACTGGTGCATTTATTCAATTTGAGATTATCCTAACTAGTAAAGCATATGTGGCCCTCTTTGGGTGTGCAATGATTTTAACGGATCAACTAGTGTCACTAGTATTTTTTTCTTTCTACACTTTCTCATTTTCTATGTTAAATATACAGGATCCATAATTGATGAAGCATGTTAAGTTTAATCAAATCTAGATAATGTCAATCTCCTCCAAGCCCAAGCCTACACCTCCAGTTTTACGAGGCTTCTGTAGTGTGAGGCGAAGTCCAAAAAGTCCTCAATCGTGTATTATGATTTTGCAGCTTTGCCTGTTATCATCCCTGCTCTTACTACTTGGCAGGAGTTATCTGGCTCTCCTCCTCCTCCTGGGAGTCGCCTCGTGCTCACGTGCGCGCGACCTTCGCTCCAGTGCGCGTGCGTGAGCCGCTAGGGCGCATAAAAGCAGCGCTGTGTGTCTGAGAGAGCGACAGGTGAGACAGGTGCGCAGTCCTCCATCCTCCTCCTCTCTGCACTCTGCACAGGTGAGCTCTACTTCTCTACTGTCTGTAAGCCTGCTATACTCTATTTACTCTATATACTCTAGTCTGTCAGCCTACTATACTGTAAGCATACTATACTCTATACGCTAGTCTGTCAGCCTACTATACTCTATGTACTCTATACTCTATATACTCTAGTCTGTAAGCCTACTATACTCTATGTACTCTATACTCTATATTCTTGTCTGTAAGCATACTATACTCTATACTCTAGTCTGTAAGCCTGCTATACTCTATGTGCTCTATACTCTATACCTCTAGTCTATAAGCCTACTATACTCTATGTACTCTATACTCTATACGTCTAGTCTACTGTCTGTCAGCCTACTATACTCTATACGTCTAGACTGTAAGCCTACTATACTCTATACGTCTAGTCTGTCAGCTTACTATACTCTATGTACTCTGTACTCTATGAGGTCTACTATACTCTATTTGCAGTCTACTATACTCTACTATACTCTATATGCAGTCCTCCATCCTCCTCCTCTCTGCTCTGCACACAGATGATTATGTGTTTATTGTTTAGATCGGACCAACACTGGATCAAAACTAAACATGCCATGGTAGGCCATTGCCATCAATGCTGTACGTTAATAATAATATTAATAATGTTAATAATATTAATTTTAGGGGCCACTAAAAATAGTCTGGCGTGCTATACTTTATATCAGGGGCCTCTTTCACCTAGAGAGCTACTTTCTCAGGAACCAAAATGACAGTGAGCTACTCCTCAACCATTAGGGAACCTGTCTCTTTAAAGAGATCTACAACCTTAGACAGGGCCACTTCACTGTTTATTCTTTATCATTTGTTACAGCTTTTGTTTGCATTTACAATAGCCGTGTGCATAAGAATCACTTTTAGGTTCTGGTGCACACAAAAGAACCCCTAATAGTAAACTGTAGAAATGTAGATTTTTATTTATGCATGCCTTCTTGTGTTTATTCTGCTTTAACTTGTTCGCACCGAGAGCCAAAGCACATTCCTAGTTTGTGACTTCCTCTTACTCACGAGGCAGTAAAAGGATTCTGATTCTGATTTTTCATTTTATTTATAGCATACTTACTGTATGTCATATATACATCCTTTGATGAGCTCCTTGTAACCGGGTGGTGAGCTCCAGATGATAGGCTGGATACGCCTGCTGTGTATTCAGTCCAATAAACTGCCATTGTTACACCACTATAATGACTGGGATGGAGTTAAAGCTGATGCACCTAACTTTCAACAACAGATGGAGCTGTAACATGAGGCCTTTCGCTAAAATCAAACTTATTAAAAATGTATATTATTTATGTCAAAATGTATCTATTTCAATGTGGTTTTACTGCAAATGGCAAATAAACTGAATCTGTGACACCTCTGGATCACCCTAACTCAACCAATCAGCTCTCAGCCCAAAGAGTCAAATAGTGACTCACAGGGCTCTTTGTGCAAAAGATAAAATGTTTTGGTCCCCACAACATTCCATCTGTTGGGCCAAAGAACATTATTGTTGTTGAAATAAAAAGTTAGGGACATCAGCTTTAACAGAAGATTTACCAAAGGAAAAAAAAAATCTGCTTCAGTTCTATTTCACACAGATGAGCTTCTCTTTGACTTTGACAAATACAGTTTTGAAATATTCCTACATGCACCTTTTTTATTCACAGAGGTTTCTTATTTACATATTGAGGTTAGGTCAGATATGTTCAGTTTCTTATATGTTTTGTTGTAGTTTAGTGCATTTTGGTCACATTCCCACAGAAACTATTGAACCAGACTGAGAAGACCTTTGGCCCTTACACGGGGGCTAAAGTAACGAACCATGAATGTTTTAGTGACTTTTGTGACTAATTTTCCTACAAATATTTTTATTGATGGATCTATTTCACAGAAGAGAAAACCACACACATAAATGCATAAGTAACTCTTGCTCACTTCTTTGTTAAATGTTGAAAGAGGCAAATAAGGAGCACAATCGGGACTCGTTCTTTGTCTCCCTCACGCATTTCTCCCCATATCTCTGAACAAACTTATCCAACATCACAGAAGATTGCGCACTTTACACAACAGTACCGTTTGTTCGTTACACTGAGTCCATATCTGTTTTCCTAGTTTCAGTTAAAACATTTACCAGTGCTTCTCACGCTGCACTCTGGACACCATTTATTTTGCAGTAAACTTGACACAATTCAAGGCCCTGAAGAATAATTACGTGTTTCTGTTTCAGTTATGGCTCCGAGACCTGAAGAGGGGTCCGATCCTTCCCCCAGTCTGGGTACGACCTTATTGTTTGGATACTTTGTTCCTTTCTGATTGTAGTCTCTGACATTCCTTCTGCTCCCGTGTGCTGTGTGTAGAGAAAGCTCCCAGTTATAAAGATGTGGCGATGCTTCCGGCGTATTCCACCGTGGACTTGATGAACGAGGAGAAGGACCCCTGGGATCTGCAGGAGCTACAGGACACTGGGGTGAAGTGGTCAGGTGAGTCTCTCTCTCTCTCTGTTTTAGTTTCTCTCACTGTCTCTCTGTCTGTCTCTTGCTGTCTTTCTTGCTGTTGCTCTTGCTGTCTCTCTCTCAATGTCTCTCTCTCACTGTCTCTCTTGCTCTGTCGCTCTTGCTGTCTCTCTCTTGCTGTCTCTCTCGCTGTCTTTCTAGCTGTCTCTCTTGCTGTCTCTCTTTCTGTCTTTCTACCTGTCTCTCTCTTGCTGTCTCTCTCCCTCTGTCAGTCTCGCTGTCTCTCTTGCTGTCTCTCTCCCTCTGTCAGTCTCGCTGTCTCTCTTGCTGTCTCTCTTGCTGTCTCTCTTGCTGTCTCTCTCACTGTCACTCTTGCTGTCCCTCTCTCACTGTCACTCTTGCTGTCTCTCTCACTGTCTCTCTCACTGTCTCTCTTGCTGTCTCTCTCACTGTCTCTCTCACTGTCTCTCTTGCTGTCTCTCTCACTGTCTCTCTCACTGTCTCTCTCACTGTCTCTCTTGCTGTCTCTCTCACTGTCTCTCTCACTGTCTCTCTCGCTGTCTCTCTTGCTGTCTCTCTCACTGTCTCTCTCACTGTCTCTCTCGCTGTCTCTCTTGCTGTCTCTCTCACTGTCTCTCTCGCTGTCTCTCTCTCTGTATCTTTCTCTCTCTATCTTGCTGTCTCTCCCTCGGTCACTCTCGCCGTCTCTCTGTCTCCGTTTCTTTCTCTCTCTGCTTTCCAACAAGATATCACATGATTCTATCTGTCCAGTCCAGGATCACTGTTACAACTTCCCTCAGGACTCTAACTCTAACCTTTTTATCCTGTTCTTAGCCCTAACCTCAGTGAACCCAAGCTCTAACCTTATCCCTGACCCTGACCTCTGACCCCTAACCCAGTGAAACAGTGACTCTTTATTACTTCTCAGGTCCTACGTCTGCTTTAAAAGAACTAATACATTGGAAATCTCAAAATGGAGGCAAAACAATGAAACTGTATGAATTATGCTCTGCTTTCTCCCACTGTAAACCCTAACTTCAATCGTACTTCAGATATCAAAGTTATTTTAAATAGATTTTTCCCAGTAAGTAAATATTACTCATTTATTGTTAGTTTATTTAAAACTTGGCTATATCACTCAGGGTTTTCTTTGAATTGAACTGTTTGTTCAAGTAAGCCTCACTTTTGACATTTTGACGTGTAGAATCTTTAATGAGGCAGGTGTGACAATGACAGGGTGGTCTGGTGGCTGAGTGGGTAGCACCATTACGTCTCAACTACAGGGTTCTGAGTACGATTCCCGGTCGGAGCATAAGAAGAAATTTAAACTTTATTGCAATCACTTGAGTTACTTGGTAATATCAAGTAAAGGATGTACTCGAGTAATTCAAGTGAAGTTAATACGCAATTTATTTCCATGGTTTTTTCAAGTAAACTTTACTTGTCAGGGTTTACAGCGACATATGGTCACATGTAAGGCTCCCAGGCTTCGCTTAAAGTCAGCCATCAGCAGATTTTTTCCCCTTGTGTGTTATCAATAGGTCTATTCCCAATGAGCAAAACCCCAGAGTGACCTTTCCTTAGAGACACACATCGGTTAGAAGCTTATTTTAGGGACAGACATCGCAAATTAGCCTTGACTTTAAATGTTGTGTTTTTACATGTGATTAAGATCCTTTATCAGTCCCACAGTGGGGAAATGTCAGTGTTGCATCACTAGTTACAGAACATTTGGAAGGAGAAGAACCCGGCACAATATAAATTAGCAATAACTCTATTAAGCTAGAGAAAGAGATGTTATTATATTTCAGTATGAAGAAGAAAGTGTGATATCTGTAGTTTTTGCATAACAAAGAAGCAAGTATAAGTGTGGATTGTCTACACTTATCTCTACCAAATAAATAAATGAGAGACACATGTTGGTGGGTCAAGACAGCTCAGCATTTAACCCGCCTCACGACTTAGTCTTTTCCCCGAGACGTGTTCAGTGTAACGTCAGCAGTACTTCAGGCTGCAGTAAAAGTGCCTGTTGCTGACATGTGGGTCAGTGGTGGTTGTAAAACTACACACATGTCACACCAGGGACAGTGTGTTGCATAATGACAGAGTAACGTCACTTTGCCCGTGCTACTCTTTCCTTTTTACAAAGTTATGTGTTTAAAAATATGTTTGAAAATGTTTATTTCCCCATGTGGATGATAAACCTGCTTTAGTCCCTCATGTATTTCGCTGAGAACACTGTGACTTTAGGCAATTTAGTTTAAAATGTAGAAGTTTGTTTTGACCCCATTTTAAATTGAACACTGTCTTTGCTGTGCTGAAAAGCTGACACAGGTCCAAACAACACAACAACCATTCTCACCGTTGTTGGTTTGCATTATGAAAGACAAGTGAGGGTCTCCCATTTGTGGCTTCCAGTCCTTAAAGTCTTTTCAAGTCATCATTTAATACTAAACATGGAGCTCATTTTAGTGTCTTCATCTGCTTTTTAGATTTTATGTTTCTTAAAATGATCCGGTCGATCAATGGAAAGAGTAATTCTCCCATTTTCAAATCATGTATAATTTACTGTAGATCATTTAAAGCATAAAATCACAGAATCCAAGTTGAGTCCTGGTCCATCGAACCGAGTCAGGTCCTCACAAAAGCCGATCGAAATTGATCAACATCTCAAGTACCATGTCTCTATACATTTCCATCGTTTCCATCAAGAGAGTACTTTCTTTTCTATGACCAATGATTGAGAGACTCCCTGAATATTTACACCCCCATTTTTATCTCAACTTGTATTTTGATGATAGTCTTGGTGTCCTCCTTAAATGCCTTTGTGTGATTTGGAGGTGACACATTCCATTATCTGCACTTGTCAGAGCATTGAACTCATGCACAAAGAACACGACCATAGACATCACAAGATTATTGAATATTTGAACAAAAGTAATCGACCACCAGCCCATACCGCACTGCCAAAGCCTTAGTATTTTTCCCACTTTAGGAATTTGGACTAAAGTTATTTATGTGGGAAATGTGACTGTGGCCAGAATGAATGAATGAATGAATGTGCAGAAATAACCAAATAAACTCTTAATTAATTACTGCTATATTGTCCCAGTTGTTGTAGGGTTGGGCAGGATCAGTCTTGACTTCAGCCTGAACCACAATATTCAGCATTAACATACAATGTTATAATAATATACATGTTTTTGTTTTGTTTATTCTTATTGTAAATTGTAAAAGATCTTTTGAAAACATAGGACCTAAAATTGTAATGTTCATAATGACCAAATAAACTACACCTTAAAATTCCGAAAGGTCCAGACCTCAAGTAAAACTAGAATGTCCACAGTCCCAGAGTCTGATGCTACTAACATATACAGATTTATACGTGCAACTATAGATTTCTGCACTTTATTATGCTAAAGCTAGAGATTTTATGTTATTTTATTCTGTAACTGGCGATGCAACACTGACATTTCCCCACTGTGGGACGAATCTCTTCATCTTAATCTTATCCTTGTGTTTCTTTTAGAGCTGGATGCCAAAGGGAAGGTGATGCGTGTGGTGTCTGGCTTGGTGAAGCTGGTCCTGCTCCTCCTCTTCCTCTACATGTTCATCTGCTCTCTGGATGTTCTCAGTTCTGCGTTCCAACTGGTCGGAGGTAACGGCAGCAAAACGTGACACTACTTTCATAAATTGTCGTGGTTCCTTACTCCTAAAAACTCTTTAGATTCAATTTGTTTTGCCATTTGCAGTAAAACCACATTGGAATACATGTACAAGAGTCCCCATTGTGCACCAGACAAATACAGAGATTAAACAGGAAAGAATTGACAATGAAATTCATAAACTAAAACTGTTTCAATGCAAGTGCAGATCATTAAAGGGCTTTGTTCAGACTGATAACAGCTGAAAGAAGCGGTTAGCATATGCAGACAACGATATCTTCTGCCAGAGGGAAGAAGCTGGAACATGGCTTTTCCAGGGCCCAGAAGAGTCATTGATTATCCAAATAGCTGGATTTTAAAATATTTAGATTAATTAATGACCTCCAGAACAGACACAACTGAAAATCAAAAGTTAAAAAAGGTGTGTCACAACTTTAGATCCACATTTTTTTTGACTGAAATGTGAACAGGGGATGACCATAGCCCGAAGAGTCAAGGTCACTCATAAGAAGTCTGCCAAAGATAACATGATTTCAAAGAGGTAGAAGACTGCATATAGCGGTCTAGTTTGTTCATACCATGTTCCTTTTTTTCTTATAAGACACTTTCCATTGGGACAAACATGTGCTACTAACTCTTGAAAAAGTTTGAAAAGTTTAGGTATTTGAGCTTTAAGGGAAGCGTGGCACGTCTTAGAGTTTGGACAGAGACGGGGGAGGGGCCTGTTTGTGCTGATTTGTTCCAGGAGTTCCTCATTTTCTGTCGGGCTGCACTGGTTCAAACCTCAGCTATGCAAGACATTTGTCCTTTCTGTTATCGTAGAATCGCTGAGTCAAGAGCAAACACTGCGATCTCGGCCTCTGTGGAGTCACGGATCCAGGAATAGCCTCAGTGCTGGTAAACCCTGTGTAATCTTGGTGTTGTTCTGATCCAGGCAAAGCGGCCGGTGACATCTTCCAGGAGAATGCGGTGCTGAGGAACCCTGTGGCGGGCCTCGTCATCGGGGTCTTGGTCACGGTCCTGGTCCAGAGCTCCAGCACCTCCTCCTCCATCGTGGTCAGCATGGTCTCCTCTGGATGTGAGTGTGCCTCGAAATGTGTGCTCACGTTAGGGATACAAGGTCGGGGTTTGGAGCCTCTACTCCCAGAGAGCGACTTCTTTACACCGTCCTGGGAAAAGATGAATTGATTTTTCTGTGCGTATGAGCTTGAGATCGAGTTCTATCACTGTTATTAATGCACTCAGTAAGTTTGCATCTACAATAGTTGTGAGAAAGTGATAAATAGATTCTGAAATATGCATACTTTATTGATCCCTGTTGGAGAAATGCAGGTGTCCAGCAGCAGAAATGCATTCAATCAAACACACACATAAACGCTTATAAAAGTAACTAACAATAGTAGGGCTGAAACAACTAATCGATTATTGAAATAGTCGAAAACTATTTTAGTAATCGATTAATCGTTTTCTGGTTCACACGGACTCAAACAGAGCAAAAATTACATGAAAATGTAGTATTTTTGATTAAAACCGACTTTGTTTTTATAATCTCATTAATATCTGTCTGTCTCATCCAATCAGATAGCAGAATTAGCACAAAGAGCCTGTTACAAACATTTACTTTAGGTTTACGCCATCAATACGTCCTCGAGTGTTGCCACTTTAGCTTTTTGTGATGAAAAAATATTTTTTTTCTACACAATTCACAGCCAAGCGATTACTCGATTAATCGTAAAAATAATCGATAGATTAATCGATAACAAAATAATCGTTAGTTGCAGCTCTAAACAATAGTAATAAAGTGCAACAGCAGCTGCAGAGGTTGTGTAGCCGCTGGTGATGAGCTGCTTCCTCTGGTAGAAGTCTGCAGAGTCTGCTTTGGTTCAGACAATTTTCTCTGCTCTGGTTCAGAAATTCTGAATGCTTTATTAGCATAAAAAGATGGCATTCCTCCAGTGGATTTCCACTTGATCTGCTCGGTTGGGTCCATCCTCTCTGCTCTGATCTGGATCAGTGAAAAATCATGAACACTACTGCAGTAACATTTACAGAGAGAAAAAGGCAAGGAAAAGAATGATTGTAAAACACAAAACTGTATGGGCTCCCTGTCGTTTCCAGAATATTCTAAAGTAAATTCAGAACATTATAGGCAGGTCCAGTGGCGGCCGGCCAATAGAGGGCGCTAGGGCGCCGCCCCACCACTCACAACTTGCCATGTTACCTTTTTTTACGTTAAAAAAAATAATAACATTAAAATATTTCGAAATTTATGTGTGTTTTATTTCAGATGTGGAAGAAATACTTTATAGTTTATGCTGAGTTGGATTGATTAAGCTCATCAGCGTTGTCTGTGTCGGACTGAGGACGTATTTCCGCCTCAGGGCGCCCTCTTTTGCGCCCTGAGCCGTCTATGGACTCTCGTTAAAAGTTGTACATGCGCAGTAGCTCCTCTTCAATGCAAGAGATAAGACGATTTGGGGGCGCAGGAGAAGTGCGCCCTGAGGGGGCGGGATCGCCCGCGACCTGTACTGTCACTGTCTGTGACGTCCGTTTACAGTGATTGACAGGTCAAGCTGTGGGAGTTTGAGACGAACGTAAAGAGACGCAAAATGGAGAACGAGAAAAAGAATAATTCAGTTAGATCACTCAAAACAATACCGTTTGAGAGAAGATCATACCAGGAGAAGGTTGAGGTTAAAGAGCTTGGACCTGATCAGCCAAATATTACCATTAGTCAGCAGTCCAGCGACAGGGGGAGACGGTACTCGTACTTTTTCCAGGACCTGGTTCAGCGCCAAATCTTGGCTAGCAGCATGTAGCGAGGCTAATGCTTTATTTTGCTTTCCATGCCTCTTGTTTCAAACATCAGGATCTGACCCAGCATGGATCAAGACAGGTATGACTGATCTGAAGCACTTTTTAGAAAAGGCAAAGAAGCATGAGCAGACTGGTATCCACATGCAAAATGCCCTCAAATTAGCTATGTTTGGGAAGATAAATATTTCATCCCAGCTGGATGAAAGCTACAGGGTAGGGATCAGAAAGCATCCCTACCCTGCTGGTATATATCTAGTCATCATATTCATAGCCCCCCCAGTAGAAAATTCCACCAGCCGCCACTGGGCAGGTCCCTAAACATTTCTAATCAGAGTAAAAATCTCTGTCACCTAAAAAGGTAAATGTCCCAAATCTGGCAGCCCTCTTGCTTGTTGTTGATGTTTTATAAATCTGTTGCCTTCTCCCTGTGGTGCACAGTGCTGGAGGTGCAGTCCGCTGTCCCCATCATCATGGGCGCCAACATCGGGACCTCGGTCACCAACACCATCGTGGCCATGATGCAGGCGGGAGACCGGAACGAGTTCAGACGGTACGTTCACACTGGGAGCTGTGGGAACCAACTATGGATTCACACTGGGAGCTGCAGCCTCCTCTCAGACACAGATCAAACTGGAACAAAGCAGAAGTAACGGGGTCAGAGGAGTTATGACCATGACCTGGAGTTTGACTGGAACTGGGAAAGTCCTAAACTAGCTATCAAGGAATGTCACCAATGTAGTTAATTATAGATGAGGGGTCAATAATGGAATGGCAGATAAACTTCTAACTCTTTATCATCAGAGCTTTAACAGCTACTGTACTATCTGCTTCATGCTGCAGGTGGAGGTGCAAATGGGGCCAATTAAATAATCCCGTAGTAAAAGGCACTTGTGTTGGATACAAACATAAATGTATTTCTTTTTTAGGTTAAATCAGGAACACATAATGTTTCTTTGGGGTGTGGTTACAAATCTGTTTTGTCTAGACTAGTTTCTCTTATATGTCCTTACTCTGTCCAAAACATTACACATGTTAAATAGTGTAGTAACAGTCAGTAAAAAGATAAAAACTGTATATTTAATCTTTTCTACAACAATGATAATCTTTACTCCCTGGTCGTGCTCTGGTTCTGGTTCGGAAACAGCTTGGGTACTGTATTACATGGCAACTCATCTGCAAAAAAAAGTTATATTGATTTTAGTAAGTTTTAATCTATGTTGGAGCAAGAATTTCTCTGGGACAAGCAAACAATCTTGTTTGAGACCGGAGAATTGCTATTAAAAAGAAAAAACCTTTGACATTTTTAATAGTTTTAAGTCAGAGGAGTTGAACTGTTCCTCAATGGCTGCAGAAGCAAACCAGATATTCTTCTGAGTCCAGTCCTCACCCGTTTCCGCAGGTCTTCAGGTGGAGTGTTATGAGCTAATGCTTGGTTTGGTATGAAATCCACACTGGCCCTTTCTGGAACCAGTTTTACAACAGGACTAGAACTTTTTAGGACTTAAATCAGGGGTTTGACAGTGTTATTGTATAAGTAGTATGTGAACAAATCAGATCCTTCATCTTATCTGTAAACACATGTTATCTTTTGCAAACTTATAAGAAAGATCCCTGTGAGTCACTATCTTCTTTTGTGCCTGAAAAAGTTGATCTAAAGATGTGACGGAGGCCAAACTTTACGTGATATGATGTACTATATACACTATAAACGAGTGACGGAAGCAACTGTTTTGAAAGCAAGAGTGAGTTGGATGGATATTATTGCATTGGTTTTGAACTAATTAAATCCTCCTCTGTGGTGGTAATGTTGTGGTTGATGGTGTGGTGGTCGTAATGTTGTGGCTGATGGTGTGGTGGTCGTAATGTTGTGGTTGATGGTGTGGTGGTCGTGATGTTGTGGCTGATGGTGTGGTGGTCGTAATGTTGTGGCTGATGGTGTGGTGGTCGTAATGTTGTGGCTGATGGTGTGGTGGTCGTAATGTTGTGGCTGATGGTGTGGTGGTCGTAATGTTGTGGCTGATGGTGTGGTGGTCGTAATGTTGTGGTTGATGGTGTGGTGGTCGTAATGTTGTGGTTGATGGTGTGGTGGTCGTAATGTTGTGGTTGATGGTGTGGTGGTCGTAATGTTGTGGCTGATGGTGTGGTGGTCGTAATGTTGTGGTTGATGGTGTGGTGGTCGTAATGTTGTGGCTGATGGTGTGGTGGTCGTAATGTTGTGGTTGATGGTGTGGTGGTCGTAATGTTGTGGCTGATGGTGTGGTGGTCGTAATGTTGTGGTTGATGGTGTGGTGGCCGTAATGTTGTGGCTGATGGTGTGGTGGTCGTAATGTTGTGGTTGATGGTGTGGTGGTCGTAATGTTGTGGTTGATGGTGTGGTGGTCGTAATGTTGTGGCTGATGGTGTGGTGGTCGTAATGTTGTGGCTGATGGTGTGGTGGTCGTAATGTTGTGGCTGATGGTGTGTGTTGTGCTGTCTCTCTGTCTCAGGGCGTTCGCTGGGGCCACGGTGCACGACTTCTTCAACTGGCTGTCGGTGATGGTCCTGCTGCCGCTGGAGGTGGCCACCGGAGCCCTGTACAAACTCACAGACCTCATCATCACCTCCTTCAACATCCAGAGCGGAGAAGACGCACCAGACCTGCTCAACGTCATCACAGACCCCCTCACAGATGCCATCGTGCAGGTAGCGATCACACAACAGCAGCCGTCTCGGAGGATCGGAGAGTCAAACACAGGAGTTGCAATAATAGCAAACACATAGGATCCATAAGAATGACCACCGTTTTTAAATGTTAATAAATGTTAATAAAAGTCCTATAATGTCCTGGATTATCACTGCCTCAGTATGGGCTCTAACGTATATTGGTATTGAAACATGATGTTGAATAAAAGAATAAATGGCAACATGCTTTTTTAAGAATTTTAATTTAAGGTCTCAGTCAAGGTACGTTTGCATGTTCTGCCCATGTCCCCCCCTCCATTGGATATTCTGTGTGTCACAAGAGAGCAGTGGCTTTGGCTAGAATTCTTGTTCAATAACTAGCATTATATTATGAGGAAAAGGATGTTACGAGATTCTTTAAGTTTGAACAGAAATCTCTTAAGAGTTTCACATAACAGATGGACAAATAAATACTGTATTGATCCTGAAGGAGATTGTGCATAAGTCCCTCGCTCGCACAAGAGTTTAGTTTATTAAGATCCCATTTGTCACTGAGCTGCAGTGGCAATTCCTCCTGGGGTCTCTTCAAACAATGATACATGCTCTTTTTGTTGTCATTACTACACATACACACACACACACAGACACACACACACCTATAATAAGTAGCTATAGACCCCAAAAGCAAAGATATTGGTGTAATCCTTGTTCAAAATTGGGGAAAATTTAATTAGTAGATTGATTTTATATACTACTAATACTATAACCACTACTTCTACTTCTTATTGAAAATACATCAGCAGCTGGCATGCCCTTGTGTTGGTCCCAAATTTCTTACGCAACACACAGTTGATTATTTACTCCAGTGACCCACAAACCTAAAGTACAAAGGCCACAGCACTGCACACACCGATAATACATTTTTTCTTCTCCCTCACAGTTGGACAAGTCTGTAATTACGGGGATAGCTACCGGTGACCCAGAGGCTCGGAACAAGAGTTTGGTTTTGCGCTGGTGCAAAACCTTCTCCAACACGGTGAGCACAACCACAGAAACACAAATGACTTACTGTGTCGTCGTCATTGTTCTGCATCGGGAGCAGAACGCAGAGCATCTGTGGTAATGACTGCTATTACTGCTGCTAATGCTATTGTTGTCATGTACTTTGCCTCCAGTGATGTCTCTTATTATTCAAGGACAAACGCTTTGCTGATTCATGACTTTTTAGCCACATTTATTTGTGTTACATTTGAGAATGAGAGAGAGAGACCGGAGGGAGGTAGAGAGAGGCCAGAGGGAGGCAGAGAGAGGCCAGAGGGAGGCATGAGAGAGGCCAGAGGGAGGCAGAGAGAGGCCAGAGGGAGGCAGAGAGAGGCCAGAGGGAGGCAGAGAGAAGGCCAGAGGGAGGCAGAGAGAGGCCAGAGGGAGGCAGAGAGAGGCCAGAGGGAGGCAGAGAGAGGCCAGAGGGAGGCAGAGAGAGGCCAGAGGGAGGCAGAGAGAGGCAGAGAGAGGCAGAGAGAGAGAGGCAGAGAGAGCAGAGGGAGGCAGAGAGAGGCCAGAGGGAGGCAGAGAGAGGCCAGAGGGAGGCAGAGAGAGGCCAGAGGGAGGCCAGAGGGAGGCAGAGAGAGGCAGAGAGAGGCCAGAGGGAGGCAGAGGGAGGCAGAGAGAGGCCAGAGGGCGAGAGGAAACGCAGGTTTCGTCACAGATTTCAAAGGCAGATCCTGTGAAGTGAAAGTCCAGCCACACATGCGTGTTCTTCGTCTTCGGGTTACACCCAAAAACAAATTTTCTCCAAGTTGACATGAGGCTATTGCAATAGCAAAAAAAACAGCATAGAGGCAAACACAGACTGTGTAGCGGGTCATACGCTGAGACAGGCTGTACACTGATTCGCTGTTTTGGTTTCTCTCTCCTGTCAATCCTGGAGGCGGGGCTTCTGGAGCTCGAGCTATGTGTTAAAAAGTGCTACGTAACAAAGGGAATCAGGCCATTTCTGTGCCTCTCAAGAATGAAAGAGAAAGATTGCTCTCTGACTAAAGCTTGAGGGAATCAATGAGCCCGAGAGTTGAAAAGCCTAATATGGGACCTTTAATTAATTATGTATAATTACTTATGCAAACTCCTGCAAGTAAAAAACCTTTTAATTAAATTTTTTGAACTCTTGCACATGTTCTCATGTTACACAAATAAAATGTTTGTATACTTTTGCAAGGCACTCTATATGAATCTTTAACCCTCTATGGCATGACTTTATTTTAGGGGGAAAAAAATATTTCAACACACTTTTTAAGAGCTTGTGGGTCCCTAATAACATTGATCTTTACATTTGACCCCCCCCCCCCACCCCCCCAATCAGATAATGGTTTGTTGCTTAAGGGCAACATTGTGCGACGAGGGTACTAAAACACCAAGGTTTTCAATATTACATTGAATTAGGAAAATAATAAAACAAATACATTAGAGAAGCTTTTATTCTTTTATTTTTCAAGCTCAACTTTTTTAAACGGGTACAGAGCACTCCAGATTGCAAAAACAAAAGCAAAAACAGTTCTGAGCCTCTAGTAAGTCACACAGCTGCGGGTCTCGGTAGCCTATTGTGTATGGACATAGATGTTTCACAGCCAAGACAGAGACCTGAGACCAGGACTAATGTGAGAGGACTTCAGGACAGAGACCTGAGACCAGGACTAATGTGAGAGGACTTCAGGACAGAGACCTGAGACCAGGACTAATGTGAGAGGACGTCAGGACAGAGACCTGAGACCTGGACTAATGTGAGAGGACTTCAGGACAGAGACCTGAGACCAGGACTAATGTGAGAGGACTTCAGGACAGAGACCTGAGACCAGGACTAATGTGAGAGGACTTCAGGACAGAGACCTGAGACCAGGACTAATGTGAGAGGACTTCAGGACAGAGACCTGAGACCAGGACTAATGTGAGAGGACTTCAGGACAGAGACCTGAGACCAGGACTAATGTGAGAGGACTTCAGGACAGAGACCTGAGACCAGGACTAATGTGAGAGGACTTCAGGACAGAGACCTGAGACCAGGACTAATGTGAGAGGACTTCAGGACAGAGACCTGAGACCAGGACTAATGTGAGAGGACTTCAGGACAGAGACCTGAGACCTGGACTAATGTGAGAGGACTTCAGGACAGAGACCTGAGACCAGGACTAATGTGAGAGGACTTCAGGACAGAGACCTGAGACCAGGACTAATGTGAGAGGACTTCAGGACAGAGACCTGAGACCAGGACTAATGTGAGAGGACTTCAGGACAGAGACCTGAGACCTGGACTAATGTGAGAGGACTTCAGGACAGAGACCTGAGACCAGGACTAATGTGAGAGGACTTCAGGACAGAGACCTGAGACCAGGACTAATGTGAGAGGACTTCAGGACAGAGACCTGAGACCAGGACTAATGTGAGAGGACTTCAGGACAGAGACCTGAGACCAGGACTAATGTGAGAGGACTTCAGGACAGAGACCTGAGACCAGGACTAATGTGAGAGGACTTCAGGACAGAGACCTGAGACCAGGACTAATGTGAGAGGACTTCAGGACAGAGACCTGAGACCAGGACTAATGTGAGAGGACTTCAGGACAGAGACCTGAGACCAGGACTAATGTGAGAGGACTTCAGGACAGAGACCTGAGACCAGGACTAATGTGAGAGGACTTCAGGACAGAGACCTGAGACCAGGACTAATGTGAGAGGACTTCAGGACAGAGACCTGAGACCTGGACTAATGTGAGAGGACTTCAGGACAGAGACCTGAGACCAGGACTAATGTGAGAGGACTTCAGGACAGAGACCTGAGACCAGGACTAATGTGAGAGGACTTCAGGACAGAGACCTGAGACCAGGACTAATGTGAGAGGACTTCAGGACAGAGACCTGAGACCAGGACTAATGTGGGAGGACTTCAGGACAGAGACCTGAGACCAGGACTAATGTGAGAGGACTTCAGGACAGAGACCTGAGACCAGGACTAATGTGAGAGGACTTCAGGACAGAGACCTGAGACCAGGACTAATGTGGGAGGACTTCAGGACAGAGACCTGAGACCAGGACTAATGTGAGAGGACTTCAGGACAGAGACCTGAGACCAGGACTAATGTGAGAGGACTTCAGGACAGAGACCTGAGACCAGGACTAATGTGAGAGGACTTCAGGACAGAGACCTGAGACCTGGACTAATGTGAGAGGACTTCAGGACAGAGACCTGAGACCAGGACTGATGTGAGAGGACTTCAGGACAGAGACCTGAGACCAGGACTAATGTGAGAGGACTTCAGGACAGAGACCTGAGACCAGGACTAATGTGAGAGGACTTCAGGACAGAGACCTGAGACCTGGACTAATGTGAGAGGACTTCAGGACAGAGACCTGAGACCAGGACTAATGTGAGAGGACTTCAGGACAGAGACCTGAGACCAGGACTAATGTGAGAGGACTTCAGGACAGAGACCTGAGACCAGGACTAATGTGAGAGGACTTCAGGACAGAGACCTGAGACCAGGACTAATGTGAGAGGACTTCAGGACAGAGACCTGAGACCTGGACTAATGTGAGAGGACTTCAGGACAGAGACCTGAGACCAGGACTAATGTGAGAGGACTTCAGGACAGAGACCTGAGACCAGGACTAATGTGAGAGGACTTCAGGACAGAGACCTGAGACCAGGACTAATGTGAGAGGACTTCAGGACAGAGACCCGAGACCAGGACTAATGTGAGAGGACTTCAGGACAGAGACCTGAGACCAGGACTAATGTGAGAGGACTTCAGGACAGAGACCTGAGACCAGGACTAATGTGAGAGGACTTCAGGACAGAGACCTGAGACCAGGACTAATGTGAGAGGACTTCAGGACAGAGACCTGAGACCTGGACTAATGTGAGAGGACTTCAGGACAGAGACCTGAGACCAGGACTAATGTGAGAGGACTTCAGGACAGAGACCTGAGACCAGGACTAATGTGAGAGGACTTCAGGACAGAGACCTGAGACCAGGACTAATGTGAGAGGACTTCAGGACAGAGACCTGAGACCAGGACTAATGTGAGAGGACTTCAGGACAGAGACCTGAGACCAGGACTAATGTGGGAGGACTTCAGGACAGAGACCTGAGACCAGGACTAATGTGAGAGGACTTCAGGACAGAGACCTGAGACCAGGACTAATGTGAGAGGACTTCAGGACAGAGACCTGAGACCAGGACTAATGTGGGAGGACTTCAGGACAGAGACCTGAGACCAGGACTAATGTGAGAGGACTTCAGGACAGAGACCTGAGACCAGGACTAATGTGAGAGGACTTCAGGACAGAGACCTGAGACCAGGACTAATGTGAGAGGACTTCAGGACAGAGACCTGAGACCTGGACTAATGTGAGAGGACTTCAGGACAGAGACCTGAGACCAGGACTAATGTGAGAGGACTTCAGGACAGAGACCTGAGACCAGGACTAATGTGAGAGGACTTCAGGACAGAGACTGAGACCAGGACTAATGTGAGAGGACTTCAGGACTGAGACCTGGACTAATGTGAGAGGACTTCAGGACAGAGACCTGAGACCAGGACTAATGTGAGAGGACTTCAGGACAGAGACCTAAGACCAGGACTAATGTGAGAGGACTTCAGGACAGAGACCTGAGACCAGGACTAATGTGAGAGGACTTCAGGACAGAGACCTGAGACCAGGACTAATGTGGGAGGACTTCAGGACAGAGACCTGAGACCAGGACTAATGTGAGAGGACTTCAGGACAGAGACCTGAGACCAGGACTAATGTGGAGGACTTCAGGACAGAGACCTGAGACCAGGACTAATGTGAGAGGACTTCAGGACAGAGACCTGAGACCAGGACTAATGTGAGAGGACTTCAGGACAGAGACCTGAGACCGGACAGGACTAATGTGACAGACTAATGGAGAGGACTTCAGGACAGAGACCTGAGACCAGGACTAATGTGAGAGGACTTCAGGACAGAGACCTAAGGACCAGGACTAATGTGAGAGGACTTCAGGACAGAGACCTGAGACCAGGACTAATGTGAGAGGACTTCAGGACAGAGACCTGAGACCAGGACTAATGTGGGAGGACTTCAGGACAGAGACCTGAGACCAGGACTAATGTGAGAGGACTTCAGGACAGAGACCTGAGACCAGGACTAATGTGAGAGGACTTCAGGACAGAGACCTGAGACCAGGACTAATGTGAGAGGACTTCAGGACAGAGACCTGAGACCAGGACTAATGTGAGAGGACTTCAGGACAGAGACCTGAGACCAGGACTAATGTGAGAGGACTTCAGGACAGAGACCTGAGACCAGGACTAATGTGAGAGGACTTCAGGACAGAGACCTGAGACCAGGACTAATGTGAGAGGACTTCAGGACAGAGACCTGAGACCTGGACTAATGTGAGAGGACTTCAGGACAGAGACCTGAGACCAGGACTAATGTGAGAGGACTTCAGGACAGAGACCTGAGACCACGACTAATGTGAGAGGACTTCAGGACAGAGACCTGAGACCAGGACTAATGTGAGAGGACTTCAGGACAGAGACCTGAGACCAGGACTATCGATTGGAATGTCCCTAACTCCTTCTTTCTTGGACCCGTAAAACGTTATTGCATCCATTTCCTACAAGCAATAGTAGATAGATCAGAATGGAAGATAGAACAGCAAAAAACATTGAGTGTGGTGTTGATTATCCATTCAAGCACATCCCCAACCAGCAGCATTACACTGCCCAAACAAAAGTGCTACAACTGCATGATTTTGCCTTGAGGCAACAAACCTAAACGTGCAGTTTTTGTATATAAATGGAAACAAAAAAACATATATTAACAATCAAATATGCTTCTTAACATATTCATGCACAGTCACATATTTATTTTATCAAGTTTTTCGAATTTAAACATGTAGAAAAGTTATATTTATCCTACCTTTTTCTGGCACTGTGTCACTTGTGACTCTGCTTCCTGAAAGGACTGCTCCACCCCCAGACAATTGCCCCCACCCACTTCAGAACTTGATTTAATTGGACAGAAACATGTCTAGTAATTTTATAAAAATAAAAAATAAAAAAAAACATTAAAGGGCCAGTGTAAGAGCCAAAAGATTGGTTTTTTGCCCGAGGGCAACAGTATGCCATAGAGGGTTAAATTCTAAGAGTCCGGGTATGTTCTTCCTAAGCCCCTGGGATCCAAAATGGCGAATGCGAATTCATGCACAAAGTTAGCCATTAGCTGCTAGCCCAAAAACTACCCTAGCTTTTCTGCAAGGTCCAGTCTTCAAACAATCCAACTTTTTGAACCACATATTGATACTTTGGTGTAATACTTCAGGAAACAAATCCTCTGAAATCCTTTCTTTACTATGATCACAGTGAAAGTGAGAGACCTGTGTTGAACATCATTTCTCCTCTGTCCTCAGTCGACCGTTAATCAGACGGTGTACAACTGCACCCGCGGATCCTTGTGTTGGGAGGAGGGAAACCTGACCTGGGCCCAAGTTAACATCACCAATACCTTCAACCTGAACAAATGTAAGTGTGGCCACCAGAAAAACGCAATTAGTTTTACCTGATCTCCCAGAGGTGCAGGAAACATGAGGAAACAAGGCATGTCCTATTCAGCTATAAACAAAGCCAACCTTTGAGGAGGTGACTCAGCTAATACCAGTGTGTGACCCCCGCTGCATTCTCAAAGAAACCATTCAGGACCAAAGAGAAATAAGCAAACCACATTTCTGCAAAACATTGTGGTCTTATGTGTGTGATGGTGCGGCTTGAATGAGCTTGTGATGTCATGGCTAACAATAAGGGCTCAATACAACTATATTTAAGATGAAACAATACTGGTGTAAAACTGTAGCACGCATCGTCTCACACAGCCTCCATGAACCACATCACCCCTGTCCTGAAATGGCTGTACTGGCTTCTCATCTCTCTCTGCATTCAGAACAATCCTGCTTCTCGCTTTCAAAGTAGTCCACAGCATCAACCTACGTTACTCTGAGCTCCTATGTAAGATAAACTTTATTGATCTCACAATGGAGAAATGTACATGTCACATTTGGCATGGATAGAATCACTCAGATTGTGCAAAAAGACATCAAGTGTGCAACATGTTCAAGGTTAAAAATATAGTCTGTGCAGGATATAATTATGTACAATAACAAGTGGCTATAGCAGTGCTGTTTTTCAGTCCTAGTGCAGGTCATTAGTGACTTAAAGTGACTAATGTCACTGTTCATGTTTAACTCTTTATTTTCTTTTAGCTTTGTACCTTTTTGTAAGTCGATAATGAGTGCCCAGATAGGTGTCATATAAATAACGTGTTTCTTACTGATTCATTTAAAACCTTCAACTTTCAGACACCAAAGTCTCCCTAGAACTTCAGAGATTACTGAACGTCACCATTTTAACAACTATCAGAATCCGATAAACATTTGCCATTGCAGTTCATATTTAAAAAGCTCCATAGCGCCCCCTTGATAATCAGACTGGGATTGAACATTTCCTCATCATAGGCTGATCAGATGGCAGTACAGTGAACTGCAGGCTCTTTACAAAGGTGTGTACCCAATGTCTTAAGGGGTTGGGGGGGTCAAGGCACTAAAAGGCCGCTTGCGATTTATTGAATTGTTCAATATTCTTAGTTTAGAGATCCAACTGGTCATGATTTATCTTAACGTTTTCTTTGACTTGAAATACATTAGAAATATTTAATTTTGTACTTTTCCAATGGTTTAATGGTTGTATTCCCAAGTCCCAGAGATTCAAAATGGTGAGTGTGTGTTCGCGGTGCATGCTCAAAGTTAGCCTTTAGCTGCTGGCTCCAAAAACTAGCCTAGCTTTCTGCAAGGTCCTGTCATAAAGAAATCCAATTTTCAAACTACATAAAGATACTTAGGTATAGTACTTAAAGAAACAATCAAATGCAAACTCTCCAGTATGATGTGGCCATGTGCCGGATCCAGTCCGACCTCTGAAGCTAAGCAGAACAGGGCCTGGATAGTACTGTGATGGGAGACTTCTGGGAACAACAGGTGCCACAGTGGGGCAGCTATAAAGTGCCGAACTGTGGTTGTGTCCTTAGTCAGGACACTTCCCCCACATAAGAGTGAGTCTGGCGTGTGTGAATGGTTGATGGTGGGAGAGGCTGCTGTCACATACTAGTTGTCATGCTTCAGTTTGCCCCAGGGCAGCTGTGTCGTCAGTGATTTATCACCACTCTGTTTGGAGTGAAAAAATGATATGTGAAGAGTCCAAAAGCGTATAAATCTTATGCATTAATATTCGCTCCAGTGAAAGTGATGGAGAGTAGTATAAATGGTGGTTGTTTATCAGTTGGGTGACTAATTTATACCGTCTACAATCTTTTACTTTCTCCAAACAATCAGGATTTGTCTAATTCAGTTGAATTTGTGCATTGTACTGTTATTATCAATCCTTTAATGTATCACCATCTCTCAATAGTAAAGAATAACTTAGACCAGCTACCTTCACACAGTAGCACATGGTCCACACATGGTCCACACATGGTGCATACTTGAGCCGGCTCACAGCAGTGCTTGTCCATCACCTGCTGCTGAGACTGAGGAATGCAGAAACTCCAGCTGCTCGTTCTTGTCTTTTGTAGCATTCCCAAATATGGTCATGTGGTTTCCCATAGGTCAAACTGCTCTCCTTATAAGTCTTGTTTAGAAAACCACAGACGGAGCCTATAAAAAGCAAAGTCCGGGAAACCAGCCTTTTGCCACTCAGCATCTTCTCCCTGTGCGTCTGAGAACTCTTTCCCCTGTTCCCCTTTAACTTATCCCACCAGTCCTGTCTTTAACCCTTACATCTTTGCGACATATGCCTGAAACTATGTCCGATCACGTGGTTTCAGACTGGACCAGAGTCGGACCTTGCCTTCCGAACAGGACTGGGACATACAGTACACATTTATTTTTATTTTTATAACCTCTCGACTAAACAGAAACATGGACCTGACGTGACTCAGGCGGTTGAGGGCAGCAGCAGCAGAAAAAAATGAGGTGAATGGAATAAAATCTTCCTGGATAATTCTCTTCTCTCTACTTTATCTAAAAATGTCCTGCCACTAACATAGTTTACAGAGAACTCTCAAGTTCTTAAAACAGTTGCTTCTATCACTAGTTTTCTCACACATATGTTTGGCCTCTGTCACATCTTTTGGAACTTTATTTTCCCAGACAAAATAGCGATATAAGAGAGGACCACCCCTCTCTCAGCAAATCAGCTCTCAGTATGTCAAAGATAACTGATGAAGACGGCATGTGGTGGTCCAGTTTGTTCACACAACGAGATTTTCTGTTGTTGTAGTCTTTTATTCAAATTGATTATTCATTGTACAATACAATGAAAAAAAAAAAAAAAACACTTTTCGAAAAGCGGTAAGTAGAAGTAAAACTTGTATGTATTTATGAAACAAAAGAAAGTTATCGGGTCTCCAGCTTTAAACTTGTATAAGTGACATCTTTGTCTACAACTCAATTTATATCAGAAGATTTTCTCAATACTTCAATGGAAATGTACAGATGACGGATGAAGTTTATTTAAAAACTATTATTGCTGTATTTATTTATATTTGAGGTATGGGAGGTTTCCGTTTTGGGGCACTACCATACACATCCAGTTGGGGGCGCACCTCAGGGGGAGGACTTAGCCTGGGTACATAGGACAGTTTTTGACGCATTCTGACTTGAATTTCTCACAAATTTTGTTTTTTGGTGATTCTGTTGATCATGGATTATGTTTTGGATAAAAGTAAACTAGAACCTGTAGAAAAATGTATTAAATCACCCTTATCTTATCTGTAAGTTTGGACGTTTATCTTTACACACATGCATGTCAATCAAAAGCTAAGGCCCAGGCTGCTAGACTCACGATACCAATCTCCAACCACACATAAGTCTCTAGTAATCAATGTGACTGGTTCTTGAGAAGGAGCGGACATGTGTCAAAACAGAGATGAGGAATCTATTGTGAATCGTTATTTGAGGGTTTTGGATGTTGTGTTTTCAGGCCAGCACCTGTTTGTGAACGTGGACCTCCCAGACCTGGCCATCGGGCTCATCCTCATGGGTCTGTCTCTGCTCATCCTCTGCACCTGCCTCATCCTCATCGTCAAACTGCTCAACTCCATGCTCAAGGGACAGGTGGCTGTGGTCATCAAGAAGGTCCTCAACACAGGTACTGACCAGACTGTGGAGGGAGGGAGCAGAGAGAGAGGGGGAGAGGGAGGGAGCAGAGAGAGGGGGAGAGCAGAGGGGGAGGGAGCAGAGAGCAAAATTTACACTGCCATGCTAAAAATGTTTTTGACTCAATCAATACTTTTGCACTAAAGTTTTTTATAGATTTATTTCATATTGTGAACATAAATATTTACTTATAGAGTACACAGGGTTTTACTTGATTTCTTTCAATAAGATAAAGATAAAGAGAATGATCGTTGTTCTCCACCGTGGGATGAATAAACAATCTCTTAATTTCAATCACCGAAATGGTAACAGTCAGTGATCGATTCCCGGCTCTACTTTAGACATGACTTTAAATCACTTTGTACTACTCGGTGGAATACATTTATATTACATTACATTTGTTCCCATTGTCCAGGACATGCTCTCTCTGGTTTAGTCAAATGAATGGAAACATATTCAGCTCAGTGTTGAAGTTACACAGTGGACAGATTCATTCATTACACACGATCTGCAGAAACCAGGTCACTCCAACTCAAAGAGTCGGGATACACTGAAAACCTGTCTGATAGTCAGCGTGTCCTGGCCTTGTCCTTGATGCATGTTTAGCCACATGTTCTACCTACAGGTATATACTCTGCATTCTGAGATACAGTATCAAATGACAAAGTCTTGTTTGATGGACACAAGAAAGGATATTGTTGGTTTTGTCTATGAAGATCAATAACAAAGCATTGCACACTCACAAATGTAATAGATGGAGTTTTGCTCATAGCTTTAATCAAATTCTTTCTTTAGGCGACAATATACAAAATGGTTGCCCAGATACCACAGTGAATTATTCAAATGATATATAAATCATAAATAATCACAGTACATTAAAAAGAGTAAAGATAAAATCCCTCAGTTGTATGCTCAGCTTAATATAAATGTTTTTAACCTAGATTTGAACATCGTAAGAAAAAAAGCCTGTCACAAATTTTGGCCTGTCCCTGTGCTCCTCAGAGTCCCAGCACTAGGCCAGTCCCTGTGCTCCGCAGAGTCCCAGTTACCTGCCTGATACTTTATCCTGTTATGGTCTCAGAGCTCTCTCGGCTAATACACTTTTCCTTGGTCTGTACAGACTTGCCGTTCCCGTTCTCGTGGGTCACTGGTTACATCGCGATCCTGGTGGGAGCTGGGATGACCTTCATCGTCCAGAGCAGCTCCGTCTTCACCTCGGCCATCACGCCGCTCGTGGGTAAGACTCTGTCTCCACACATGGTTACTCTCGCATTCCTCTCTCTCCACACTGACACATGGTTCCTCTCTCTCCACATGGTTCGTCTTCAGGTATTGGGGTGATCAGCTTGGAGAGGGCCTACCCACTGACTCTGGGCTCTAACCTGGGCACCACCACCACAGCGATCCTCGCTGCCATGGCCAGTCCTGGAGAAACTCTGTCCAACTCATTACAGGTACAAGAGTAATGTGCTTCTCAATCATATCGACACCAGAAGACATAAACGGGATACAACCAATTTGACTGCAATACTCTAGTCTGCTACCACTGCTACCACTGCTACCACTGCTACTCCTACAACTCTCAGACACAGAGAGGAGGCCCAGGATTAGACCCTTCATTCACTGAAGGGAAGATTTCCAAAATCATTTTTAAAACATAAAATAATGGTGCTTCTTTGAAGTGTCCAAGTTTTAAAATGTATACAATTTTTGAGACGTACAAAGTTAGCTGGTAGAAAAAGTCCCTACACAAAACTTTGACACAACTGTTAAATACTGAGTTTGTTAGCCCCGGGTTTCAATTATTTTACACTTTTGTAAAAACCCTAACCTATAGGTAAAGCAAGTTTATTTGTATGGCACAGTTCATTCACCAGGGCAACTCATAAGCTTGTTTCTCTTTTTGTTCAGCGCTTGTAATGCATTCAAATCTTTAATAACATTGAAGATCCGTGAGTTGTATCCACAGATAAATAGAACTGCTGTGACCCTGGGTTTAGAAACAGCTTCTAAGAAAACGTCCCTGTGATGTTCCGAGCTGTACTTGTAGCACGTCAGAATCAGGCGGCTTTTCAATGTATCCTTTTGGAAATATATTTAATAGATTGTTGCTCTTTCAGACACAAGGCCAACCTGCATTTTTAGAAATGCGTTGCAGCTTTTTTATGTATCTCATAAATAAGCTGCATATAAACATATTCTACACTGTAAAAAATTATAAAATATGAGGTACTAATTGCTTGAATAGTGGTTTTTATCTTAATCGAAGCACATTCTGACTGTGTCTAAATGATGGGACAACATCATTTAGTCTTAGTTATTTCAGAAACTGTTGCTTTATTTTCTCATTCCAAGGGAGACATGTCTTTTTTGTCTTTTTAAAATCTTTTAAATCATTTAGCTTTTTCCCATTGGCAAATCTGGTTGTAAGGCAGAGTCAGAATGCGCTCAAACTATGATACATTTTGCCAAATGGGAGTGACTGGTTTTCACCACTTTTTGCAGTGCATTCTATTCCTTGCATGAATCTCACACTGTTATTGAGAGAACCTGCCTGATAGTCAGCGTGTCCTGGCCTGGTGGTGGCGCTGATGAGCTGTGCAGGGACAGAGAGCTTGTGTCTCCTGCTCCTCTCTGGGCCAGTGCAGTGTCCAGAGCGGAGGAGAACAGCAACACAACTATCAAGAGATAAATAATCAAAGACAAGTGCTTTCAGTCTGTCCCACTGGAAAATCAGGCCGTGAGAGTGTTCATGCTAAAATCGAGATACGTTTAACCAAATTCAAGCCACTTTTAATAATAGCAAGGAAACCTGGTTTAAACATTAAAGTTAACATTTGTTGTCTTTTCGTAGTGATAGTGCATAAACGAAAAGTCAATATGATAATAATGACAATTTCATCATTAAACATAAATGGTTGATAATATTTTTTTAGAATTAGGAAAACTTTGTATAAAAACATGAGGAGACCATACCCTGTCAGTATGCAAAAACAGATTTATGCCAAAGGGGGGGGGGGGGGGGGGGTAAAATAATGTTAGTCTCTTTTTCATTTGGGAATTGTATACATGAATGTCTAAAAAAACACGGAATGGAGAAAACAATGAGGGGTTGTGATAGTGTACACAGACATGACTTATTTCAACCTAAAATAGCCTAATGTCATTAAATGTCTCGCTCTTAAAACGGTTGCTTCTGTCACTAGTTTTCACATGTGTCTCTGGCCTCTGTCGCATCTTTTAAACAAACTTTAAAAGTGAAAATGGAGGACCACACTCACTCAGCCAATCAGCTCTCAATCCTAAGAGTCCAATAACAAATGACTCACAGCACTCTTTCTGACTCCCCCTCTTCTTTACTGCAGGGAGTAAGAGAGAGAGTGAGTAAGAGGGAGGGGTATCTTAAAAAACAGAAATTACCTCCGCAACCAAGTCCATGCGTACACTTCTGCAGCTTCCCTGAACACTGGCTCGTGTGACGGTCGTTAAACGCTAAAGTTTTAACGATTGACATAAACCCACAACGACACGAGGAGAGTGTAGTTTATAATTTGACTTTACGACTCTTATTAAATCAGAATCGCTCTTCTGTGACCGAGCGCCGCCGCCAAATCACAAACAACGTTGAGCTGTAAAAAAAAGAAAAAAAAAGAAGTTGTAAAAATAAACGCCGCTTCAGCAACAAATCTGAGCCGTGAAAACAAGAGTCGTGCTTTAATAATGAATACTTTTAGTGCGTCCTCTCTTCACTCGCTCCTCTGGGTCCGGGCGGGAGCTGACCGAGATTTTTTGTCATTGGAAACATGGAATATAAGGGATAAGTGGCTAAAAGGCTCCATCAACAATTCAAAGGGTCACAGGTATGTTATTAATAGGAGGTTTTAGAACAGTGAAGGATCGTGTTGTCATTTCACAGCACTAACTTTGATATTTTATGAATCACATTTACACAAAAAAGGCCTAAAGCTAGAGATGAAGAAAACCCATAAATAAAAGAGTTTTCACCATTTTTTAAGAATGTGACGTTTGAAATGTGCATCAGTTGGTCTTTCCTACCAACCATGTCCTAGTTGTTGCCTGTTGACCCACAAATGTTAAAACAAAGAGATAAAACTGCTATGATGAATGAGGATAAATAGAAGGAAAAGATGTAAGAAACGTCTTTGCCACATTGCTGAGACGGTTGCTAAGGTAACACATCCTCATTCCTCTCCGCAGATTGCTTTGTGCCACTTCTTCTTCAACATCATGGGGATCCTGCTGTGGTACCCCTTCCCCTTCCAGAGGCTCCCCATCCGCCTCGCTCGCGGCCTGGGCAACAAAACCGCCAACTACCGCTGGTTCGCCGCCTTCTACTTGGTGCTGTGCTTCCTGGTGCTGCCCATCGGGGTGTTCGGGCTCTCCCTGGTAGGCTGGCCCGTCCTGGTGGGGGTGGGGGCCCCAATCGTGGCCCTGGTAGTGTTTGCCGTGGTGGTGAACGTGATGCAGAAGAGGTGTCCGCGCTTCCTGCCCTCGCTGCTCCGCTCCTGGGACTTCCTGCCGCGGCCGCTGCACTCGCTGGCGCCGTGGGACCGAGTGGTGACGGTGTCTCTGGGCTTCTGCAATAATCACTGCTGCTGCTGCTGTCGCTGCTGCCACTGCTGCAACAAGGAGAAGAACGAGGAGGTGCAGAACGTCAGGAGCCTGCAGATGTACGATAACCCGGCCCTGACCAAAGACGAGGACAACGTCAAGTCCACTCATCTTTAATTACTTCGTAATGTTTATTCAGAGAAATGTTTCTGAGTGTTTCTGATCAAGGACCAGTCAGAAGTGTTTGATAAAACAAGATGCAGTCTCTTTAATCACAGAACTACTGTCAGAAATGTAGATCCCATTTTTAAAACGGGACAAGAAAGCTCGAGGCTAAAGCTGGTCCAAACCTTCTGAGGGTGCGTCATACTCCTTAGTCTGGTTTAACTGGACCGAGTCTGGTTCACTTCTGCTTCCAAAGATGTAAACTCACTTGGCAGACTTGTTTCGGTGGTTTTTTAATCCACAAACAAAACCAGACATGGTCCAGTTAAAGGGATGTCACACACTTACAGGCACGAGCAGGTCTGGACCGGTCTACAACAGGACCAGGTCAGGACTGAACACATTTTTGGACTTGATTCCCTGCACCATTAGCATAAATAGCGACATTAGCACTGTTAGCAAAGCCTGATGATCCAAGCCTATAAATGTAAGTAGTTCCATTAGTGTCCGTGGTTCTTAAACTGTAACATGTTCCATAATCACCTAATACGCCAGATCATCCAGATTATTGGATTCATTGTGAATTTTTTTTGAACAGTAAATTGATTCTGTTTACATTTGTAACTCTCTCAACCATTTCATCTCTGATTGGTTGATTTCATCTCCAGAAATGGTCAATTCCTTTGTTAAAACTGCTTTAGATCTGGTGCTGAGAAGGACTATCATGCTTGCGGTTTGAAGAGTTCAAAATCCACTGGGACGCTCCCCACAGCTTGAGAACCGCTGATGTAATAGACACTAATGCTGGCCATCGTGTTGGAAAGATGAGCAAAGGGACAAAGTGCAAAGTCCCTCCAGATCTGGACAAGTGGACACAGATATCTGTTTATAATGTTTAACTTTATGGGTTTTATGACCGGGCGAAACCAAAGATATTTTTGTACTTTTATTTGAAAAGTGAGAGAAGCCGTGTGGAAATGTGTATTTAAGATGTTTGTAAATAAAAATGTTGTTTTTAAAAGTTTGTGATTTTTTGAGCAAAATATACTAGAATTCAGATTCATAAATTCAAACAATCAGATTTTCCATCCCATAATGTGTCTCAGAAGGTTACAGCAAGAAGTCAATGGGAAAGAAGTCAGATAGAGTTTGAGTCGTGTTTCCAAACCTGGGGTACAAGGACCACTAGTTATTACAGGGGGGACATGGGATGATTTTAATTGTAAGGTTCAAAAGCTAATTTTGTCCACAACTGCACCCATTATTCTTTTTAAAACATTGAGCCAATAATCTCTAATAAAAAGCCTTTGATTTGGTTCAAACTCATTTCTCTTTTTGTTCAGTTTAGCTTATTATTCTCAATCACACATTACATGCAGTGAAAGTCCAATAATGCTCACGTTTAGCAAAATGTATCTTAATTTCAGCACAGTCGATCTGCCTTAAAACAAGATTTGCCAAAGAGACATGCAACATTATCCTGTCGCTCTTTCTCTCGCTCTCTGGTCTTTCCCTGGACTCTCTCTTTCTTTGGTCTCTCGCAGGTCTTTCTCTGGACTCTCTCTGGTCTTTCCCTGGACTCTCTCTTTCTTTGGTCTCTCGCTGGTCTTTCTCTGGACTCTCTCTGGTCTTTCTCTGGACTCTCTCTGGTCTTTCTCTGGACTCTCTCTCAGGTCTCTGGTCTTTCTTTGGACTCTCTCTCTGGTCTCTCTCTGGTCTCTCTTAGGTCTCCGGTCTTTCTCTGGTCTCTCTCTGGTCTTTCTCTGGACTCTCTCTCAGGTCTCTGGTCTTTCTTTGGACTCTCTCTTTGGACTCTCTCTCTGGTCTCTCTTAGGTCTCCGGTCTTTCTCTGGTCTCGCTCTGGTCTTTCTCTGGACTCTCTCTCAGGTCTCTGGTCTTTCTTTGGACTCTCTCTCTGGTCTCTCTTAGGTCTCTGGTCTTTCCCTGGACTCTCTCATAGGTCTCGGGTCTTTCTCTGGACTCTCTCTCAGGTCTCTGGTCTTTCTTTGGACTCTCTCTCTGGTCTCTCTTAGGTCTCTGGTCTTTCCCTGGACTCTCTAATAGGTCTCGGGTCTTTCTCTGGTCTTTCTCTGGACTCTCTCTCAGGTCTCTGGTCTTTCTTTGGACTCTCTCTTTGGACTCTCTCTCTGGTCTCTCTTAGGTCTCCGGTCTTTCTCTGGTCTCGCTCTGGTCTTTCTCTGGACTCTCTCTCAGGTCTCTGGTCTTTCTTTGGACTCTCTCTCTGGTCTCTCTCTGGTCTCTCTTAGGTCTCTGGTCTTTCCCTGGACTCTCTCATAGGTCTCTTGTCTTTCTCTGGACTCTCTCTGGTCTTTCCCTAGACTCTCTCTTAGGTCTCTGGTCTTTCTTTGGACTCTCTCTCTGGTCTCTCTTAGGTCTCTGGTGCTCCAAAACACCCAACAAAAACACATACAGACCTGGGTTAGCATCTTGTTGCAGCGGGATAGAAACCTTCTATCAAGATGGTGCAGGGAAGTTAAAGAAAATCAATAATTCTATCAAACCTACAGAACAAACACAATAATCAGAAGCAAAATAACGTTAGAGACCTTGGTTTAAGAGCAGAGAACAAACACACAGCTATACTCAACGGGGGTTTTTGAATCTTAGACTTATTTGTGGAACATTGAGACATTTTACAGTTTCCACATTTCCTCATGAAGTGCCCAAACTTCTCAACATTCCAAACGACATAAAGAGTGTATTCAAGGCATAAACAAGTATAAATCTTTTTGCACCAGAATATTCAGGTTTTTACATTTCTTCTATATGAAAGCCAGAGAATGTCATGCCTTTTTTTAGTGTATAGAATTGTGCTGTAGAATTGTACTCTATCGACGCTGAAGTACCAGGCTTAACGTAAATGTCACAACACTTTTCTCGCATATTTTCATTGTATTTATATCTGTTGTTTTAATATTCCGGGCTGAAAAAACAATACTGGCGCTAAAAGGGTAATCTCCCCTTATCTTGGACTGCGTGCTCCTCATTCCTACTGTTCTGTAACTGGTGATGCAACACTGTCATTTCCCCACTCCATCTTCTACATCCATAACAAAATTCCATTATCTTGCATATCTTCGTTTCGACCACAGCAGCTGCAGGTGACGAACTGGTCCAGATCTTTGGAGACGTATAATAACGAAGCAATAATTGGTTGTATTCCGATACTTTCGAGTGAACTTGACCTGTGGATAAGTGCCGTTATGGTTTCAAAGACCAGTTCAGCAGGAGAGAGAACCATGTGTCACTGTTTTTTATCTGTACATCCAAAGATTAAATCCGCACACTGCAGAAAGTCACGTAAAATAAGTCGGAAATGGCTTAAATGTTGCGTAAAGTGTCTTTATTGGAGCACATTCTGTCTTAAAATAACATTTGCCAATGGGACAAGCAACATTATCTGGTCTCTCACTGGTCTTTCTCACTGGTCTCTCTTTCTGGTCTCTCTTTCTGGTCTCTTTCTCACTGGTCTCTCTTTCTGGTTCCTCTCTCTGGTCTCTCCCTGGTCTTTCTCACTGGTCTCTCTGGTCTCTTTCTCTTGTTGCTCTCTATTCTCTCTCTGGTCTCTCTCTGGTCTTTCTCACTGGTCTCTCTTTCTGGTTCCTCTCTCTGGTCTCTCCCTGGTCTTTCTCACTGGTCTCTTTCTCCGATCTCTCCTTGGTCTTTCTCACTGGTCTCTCTGGTCTCTTTCTCTTGTTGCTCTCTATTCTCTCTCTGGTCTCTCTCTGGTCTTTCTCACTGGTCTCTCTCTCTGGTCTGGTCTTTCTCACTGGTCTCTTTGGTCTCTTTCTGGGGTCTCTATCTGGTCTCTCTATCTGGTCTCTCTTTCTGGTCTTTTTCTATGGTCTCTATCTGGTCTCTCTCTCTGGTCTCTCCCTTGTCTTTCTCACTGGTCTCTCTCTCTGGTCTGGTCTTTCTCACTGGTCTCACTGATCTCACTGATCTCACTGATCTCTCTGGTCTCGTTCTCTGGTCTCTCTCTGGTCTCTCTCTCTGGTCTCTCTCTCTGGTCACTCTCTGGTCTCTCTCTCCGGTCTCTCTCTCTGGTCTCTCCCTTGTCTTTCTCATTGGTCTCTCTCTCTGGTCTGGTCTTTCTCACTGGTCTCTCTGGTCTCTTTCTCTGGTCTCTCTCTGGTCTCTCTCTGGTCTCTCTCTCCGGTCTCTCTCTCTGGTCTCTCCCTTGTCTTTCTCACTCTCTGGTCTCTCTCTGGTCTCTCTCTGGTCACTCTCTGGTCTCTCTCTGGTCTCTCTCTGGTCTCTCTCTGTTCTCTCTCTCCGGTCTCTGTCTCTCTGGTCTCTCTCTCTGATTGGAAAGAGACCAGACAGAGATCAGATAGACCAGAAAGAGTGAGACCGGAGATATCAGAGAGAGAGGCCAGAGAGAGAGACCACAGAAAGAGACTAGAGAGAGACCTCCTCCCTTCACATCAAAAAGGTCCTGGGTTCGATTCCACCTCCAGATGAGGCCTTTCTGTTTGGAGTTTGCATGTTCTCCCCGTGTCTGCATAACAAGTGAACTAGGTGAGGGTTGAGTGAGTGTGACTGTGGGACAATCTGGTGTATTTACCGCTGTTCATTAAGACTTCTGAAAATAACTGGATTGAGCGTTAAAAAGATAGATTTTAAATAAAACATTATTCTCAGTTCTATTCAGTTGAAATCAGGTGAATGTGAGAAAAGTGGAACAAAAAAAAGAACGAAATTCAACTTGATAATTTCAAACTAAAGGAAAAACCAAAGTGTGTAGTGGTGTAATACAGTTTGGAGGAGCTGGAGGCGTCTGCTTTACATAATAGAACGAGAATGTGAGAAATATTATTCACGGTTTGGATTCTTTCATAAAAACACGTCCAAATGGTTCCAAGTTTTTGAGGTTAATGTTGGCAAAGTGGGACACAGCCTTAATCTAGTGAATGACTCGAAAGTTTTCTAACTGTGAGAAGAAGGATCGATTGGACTCGCCCTCTTTCTGATAAGAGAAAGCAAATGAGCTCTCTCCCCTTTAGTTCAACTATTTGCATTATTATTATTTTTTATGGGACAGTGCTACGCTGGTTGAATTGGGAATAATGTATCTTAATGTAGGTACATTTGTATTGTCCTGGAACAAGATTTGCCTTTAGGTAACACACAAATGTCTTGTTTTAAAAGATTAAGATAAAAAGTTCCTGTCATTAGAACGTTGTTTTAAGTTATTATTTTAATGAATCATATGTGGCTGAAATACATGGGGTAGTTGCATTTTAATTCAACTTTGCCTCTGAACGAAGGGGTTGTCTGTTAATCCATTTTGCCAAGAGAAAGCATGGGTTTTGTTTGAAGTGAGGTTTTTTTGTGGGTTTTTTTCATGCAAACAGGAGGGTTACTTTGCATGTCTCATTGTTTCTTTGTTTTTTGTTGGTTCTCCCTTTTCTGTGAAGGTGTGCCTCATTTTCTATCAAAAGCAAGTTACGGTTTGTTCTGGGTTGGGCTCATATCTCCGTGTACAGGCGACCAAGTATAAAGAATGCCTGAACTATGTCTGTTTGTGTGCGATTTTGTCCAGGTTCAACTGCAGTTTACAATCAGCATTCACAGATCCTTCATTCATTCCAGTGGGGAAATGTCAGTGTTGCATCACCAGTAACTGAACAGTAGGAATGAGGAGCACACAGCACAAGATAAATGAACAATAACTCTATACGAAAATAAAATAAAATCTGTAACTTCAGCATGATAAAGAAACAAGTATAGAATCTCTAACTTTGGCGTATAACAGAAAAGCTAACATTCTCACAGTGCATTTGACATAAGGCAGATTTCTCAGTCTAAGTTTTAATGCATTCAAAAACACGGCTCTCAGACGTGTTTCAATCAGAATGAAGTAGGAGCACCTGCCTCGGTCGAGTGGACCCTCCACTCTCAGACTCTCACTTGTTTATTAGTTTATCGCAGCATCTGTCGAGTCCTAACTCTGAGGTACACGACGAGAAGCGAGAAGCAGAGACCGAGTGTGAGATCAATGTTCCCCCGGACCATCAGGACATCCAAGCACCAACTGTAGCTGCACCTGCGGCCAGACACAAGGTTCATTTGGTCGTTATGAACGTTAAATCTTAGGTCACATGTTGTCTATGATCTTTTATATTTTACCGAAATAAAAAATAAACTAAAATCATGTATGATAAGAATGTTAGAGCTAAATGAATGTGGTCTCTCTCTGGTCTCTCTCTCTCTGGTCTCTCGCTAGGCTCTTGCTAACCTCTCACTTGTCTTTTTCTGTTCTCTCTCTGGTTTTATCTCTGGTCTCGATCCGGTCTCTCTCAGGTCTTTCTCTGTCTCTCTGGTCTCTCTCTAGTCTATCGCTGGTCTTTCTCTGGTCTCTCTCTGGTGTCTCTCTGATCCCTCTCTCTGTTCTCTCTCTGGTCTCTATAGTCTCTCTCTTGCCTTTTTCTGGTGTCTGTCTGGTCTCTCTCTGGTCTCTCGCTCTCTGGTCTCTCTCTGGTCTCTCGCTCTCTGGTCTCTGTCTGGTCTCTCGCTCTCTGGTCTCTGCCTGGTCTCTCTCTGGACTCTCTCTTTAGTTCTATACACACTGAAATCTGTCTCTTTTTGTTGTTCCCAGTGCTCTTTTCAGTGCGTCCATGGTCCGGTGTGTCCATGGTCCGGTGTGTCCATGGTCCTGTGAGGTAAAGCCGGGCCTCTCTGTATGTAACGTTCTGGTTTTAGACGCTGGAATTAACTCCACAGGTGGCTGATCACAGACGAACCTGTAATTGGCGTCTGACGCAGCTGCAGCTTCTGAACGATAACAACTATTAAAGCAGCGGCGTTCAAAACATTCACGTGTGTGTGTGTCTGTCTGTGTCTGTCTGTGTGTGTGTGTGTGTGTGAGTGTGTGAAACATAATGAGAGAATGCTATATTCAGTCTGCTCCAGCACAGATCTGTATTTACCTCCTGACAGCGGAGGAGGAACGCAATCCACAGAATAGGTCTATCTTGCTCTGTCTCGAATATATTTGGTGCAGTTTGACAGAATTTGTAAATGGAAGAAGCATGAAATCTGTTGTTTTTTCTGAAAGAGCTCGACATCGAAAATTGACTTCTTACAGCTTTTAATCATATTAGGCAAGACACAAGGAAACTCTAAGTACTGAACAAATCAAGACAGAAACAATAAGTCATTTTACTGACCCCACCATCCCGAGACTGTGGTGTAATTGTGATGTCACATTACTCAACAGTCCAATGAACAAAGACAGAAGACTCCTGTGAGGCTGCTCTCTCGTCAGTCCTCTCTCCTTTCTCCTCTCTCCTCTGTCCTCTCTCCTCAGTCCTCTCTCCTCTGTCCTCTCTCCTCTGTCCTCTCTCCTCAGTCCTCTCTCCTCTGTCCTCTCTCCTCTGTCCTCTCTCCTCTGTCCTCTCTCCTTTCTCATCTCTCCTCAGTCCTCTCTCCTCTGTCCTCTCTCCTCTGTCCTCTCTCCTCTGTCCTCTCTCCTCTGTCCTCTCTCCTCTGTCCTCTCTCCTCTGTCCTCTCTCCTTTCTCATCTCTCTCTTCAGTCCTCTCTCCTCTGTCCTCTCTCCTCTGTCCTCTCTCCTCAGTCCTCTCTCCTCTGTCCTCTCTTCTCTCTCCTCAGTCTCTCTCCTCTCTCCTCTGTCCCTCTCTCCTCTCGTCCTCAGTCCTCTCTCCTCAGTCCTCTCTCCTCTGTCCTCTTCCTCTCTCCTCTCTCCTCAGTCCTCTCTCCTCTGTCCTCTCTCCTCAGTCCTCTCTCCTCAGTCCTCTCTCCTCAGTCCTCTCTCCTCTGTCCTCTCTCCTCTCTCCTCAGTCCTCTCTCCTCTCTCCTCTCTCCTCAGTCCTCTCTCCTCTGTCTTTCTCCTCGTCCTCTCTCCTCAGTCCTCTCTCCTCTGTCCTCTCTCCTCAGTCCTCTCTCCTCTGTCCTCTCTCCTCTCTCCTCAGTCCTCTCTCCTCTCTCCTCTCTCCTCTCTCCTCTCTCCTCTGTCCTCTCTCCTCTCTCCTCAGTCCTCTCTCCTCTCTCCTCTGTCCTCTCTCCTCTGTCCTCTCTCCTCAGTCCTCTCTCTTCTGTCCTCTCTCCTCTGTCCTCTCTCCTCTCTCCTCTGTCCTCTCTCCTCTGTCCTCTCTCCTCAGTCCTCTCTCCTCACTCCTCTCTCCTCTCTCCTCTCTCCTCTGTCCTCTCTCCTCAGTCCTTTCTCCTCAGTCCTCTCTCCTCAGTCCTCTCTCCTCTCTCCTCAGTCCTCTCTCCTCTGTCCTCACTCCTCTCTCCTCAGTCCTCTCTCCTCTCTCCTCTGTCCTCTCTCCTCTGTCCTCTCTCCTCAGTCCTCTCTCCTCTCTCCTCTCTCCTCTGTCCTCTCTCCTCTGTCCTCTCTCCTCAGTCCTCTCTCTTCTGTCCTCTCTATCTCTCTCCTCAGTCCTCTCTCCTCAGTCCTCTCTCCTCGTCCTCTCTCCTCAGTCCTCTCTCCTCTCTCCTCTGTCCTCTCTCCTCTGTCCTCTCTCCTCGTCCTCAGTCCTCTCTCCTCTCTCCTCTGTCCTCTCTCCTCTGTCCTTTCTCCTCAGTCCTCTCTCCTCAGTCCTCTCTCCTCAGTCCTCTCTCCTCTCTCCTCTCTCCTCAGTCCTCTCTCCTCAGTCCTCTCTCCTCAGTCCTCTCTCCTCACTCCTCTCTCCTCAGTCCTCTCTCCTCTCTCCTCTCTCCTCTGTCCTCTCTCCTCTGTCCTCTCTCCTCAGTCCTCTCTCCTCTCTCCTCTCTCCTCAGTCCTCTCTCCTCTGTCCTTTCTCCTCAGTCCTCTCTCCTCAGTCCTTTCTCCTCTCTCCTCAGTCCTCTCTCCTCAGTCCTCTCTCCTCTCCCCTCACTCCTCTCTCCTCAGTCCTCTCTCCTCTCTCCTCTGTCCTCTCTCCTCTGTCCTCTCTCCTCAGTCCTATCTCCTCTCTCCTCTCTCCTCTGTCCTCTCTCCTCTGTCCTCTCTCCTCAGTCCTCTCTCTTCTGTCCTCTCTCCTCTCTCCTCAGTCCTCTCTCCTGAGTCCTCTCTCCTCTGTCCTCTCTCCTCAGTCCTCTCTCCTCTCTACTCAGTCCTCTCTCCTCTCTCCTCAGTCCTCTCTCCTCTCTCCTCTCTCCTCAGTCCTCTCTCCTCTGTCCTCTCTCCTCAGTCCTCTCTCCTCTGTCCTCTCTCCTCAGTCCTCTCTCTTCTGTCCTCTCTCCTCTCTCCTCAGTCCTCTCTCCTCTCTCCTCTCTCCTCTGTCCTCTCTCCTCTGTCCTCTCTCCTCAGTCCTCTCTCCTCTCTCCTCTCTCCTCTGTCCTCTCTCCTCTGTCCTCTCTCCTCAGTCCTCTCTCTTCTGTCCTCTCTCCTCTCTCCTCAGTCCTCTCTCCTCTGTCCTCTCTCCTCGGTCCTCTCTTCTCTCTCATCTCTCCTCAGTCCTCTGTCCTCTCTCCTCTGTCCTCTCTCCTTTCTCATCTCTCCTCAGTCCTCTCTCCTCTGTCCTCTCTCCTCAGTCCTCTCTCCTCAGTCCTCTCTCTTCTGTCCTCTCTCCTCTCTCCTCAGTCCTCTCTCCTCAGTCCTCTCTCCTCACTCCTCTCTCCTCAGTCCTCTCTCCTCTCTCCTCTGTCCTCTCTCCTCTGTCCTCTCTCCTCTGTCCTCTCTCCTCAGTCCTCTCTCCTCTCTCCTCTGTCCTCTCTCCTCTGTCCTTTCTCCTCAGTCCTCTCTCCTCAGTCCTCTCTCCTCAGTCCTCTCTCCTCTCTCCTCTCTCCTCAGTCCTCTCTCCTCAGTCCTCTCTCCTCAGTCCTCTCTCCTCACTCCTCTCTCCTCAGTCCTCTCTCTCTCTCTCCTCTCTCTCTCTGTCCTCTCTCCTCAGTCCTCTCTCCTCTCTCCTCTCTCCTCAGTCCTCTCTCCTCTGTCCTTTCTCCTCAGTCCTCTCTCCTCAGTCCTTTCTCCTCTCTCCTCAGTCCTCTCTCCTCAGTCCTCTCTCCTCTCCCCTCACTCCTCTCTCCTCAGTCCTCTCTCCTCTCTCCTCTGTCCTCTCTCCTCTGTCCTCTCTCCTCAGTCCTATCTCCTCTCTCCTCTCTCCTCTGTCCTCTCTCCTCTGTCCTCTCTCCTCAGTCCTCTCTCTTCTGTCCTCTCTCCTCTCTCCTCAGTCCTCTCTCCTCAGTCCTCTCTCCTCTGTCCTCTCTCCTCAGTCCTCTCTCCTCTCTACTCAGTCCCTCTCTCCTCTCTCCTCAGTCCTCTCTCCTCTCTCCTCTCTCCTCAGTCCTCTCTCCTCTCTCCTCTCTCCTCAGTCCTCTCTCCTCTGTCCTCTCTCCTCAGTCCTCTCTCCTCTGTCCTCTCTCCTCAGTCCTCTCTCTTCTGTCCTCTCTCCTCTCTCCTCAGTCCTCTCTCCTCAGTCCTCTCCCTCTCCTCCTCCTCTCTCCTCAGTCCTCTCTCCTCTCTCCTCTGTCCTCTCTCCTCTGTCCTCTCTCCTCAGTCCTCTCTCTCTCTCTCTCTCTCTCTCCTCTGTCCTCTCTCCTCTGTCCTCTCTCCTCAGTCCTCTCTCTTCTGTCCTCTCTCCTTTCTCCTCAGTCCTCTCTCCTCTGTCCTCTCTCCTCGGTCCTCTCTTCTCTCTCATCTCTCCTCAGTCCTCTGTCCTCTCTCCTCTGTCCTCTCTCCTTTCTCCTCTCTCCTCAGTCCTCTCTCCTCTGTCCTCTCTCCTCAGTCCTCTCTCCTCAGTCCTATCTCCTCTGTCCTCTCTCCTCTCTCCTCTGTCCTCTCTCCTCTGTCCTCTCTCTTCTGTCCTCTCTCCTCTCTCCTCAGTCCTCTCTCCTCAGTCCTCTCTCCTCACTCCTCTCTCCTCAGTCCTCTCACCTCTCTCCTCTCTCCTCTGTCCTCTCTCCTCTGTCCTCTCTCCTCTGTCCTCTCTCCTCTCTCCTCTCTCCTCTGTCCTCTCTCCTCTGTCCTCTCTCCTCAGTCCTCTCTCTTCTGTCCTCTCTCCTCTCTCCTCAGTCCTCTCTCCTCTGTCCTCTCTCCTCGGTCCTCTCTTCTCTCTCATCTCTCCTCAGTCCTCTGTCCTCTCTCCTCTGTCCTCTCTCCTTTCTCATCTCTCCTCAGTCCTCTCTCCTCTGTCCTCTCTCCTCAGTCCTCTCTCCTCAGTCCTTTCTCCTCTGTCCTCTCTCCTCTCTCCTCAGTCCTCTCTCCTCTGTCCTCTCTCCTCAGTCCTCTCTCCTCTGTCCTCTCTCCTCTCTCCTCAGTCCTTTCTCCTCTGTCCTCTCTCCTCTCTCCTCAGTCCTCTCTCCTCTCTCCTCTCTCTCCTCAGTCCTCTCTCCTCTGTCCTCTCTCCTCTCTCCTCTCTCCTCAGTCCTCTCTCCTCTGTCCTCTCTCCTCAGTCCTCTCTCCTCTGTCCTCTCTCCTCTCTCCTCTCTCCTCAATCCTCTCTCCTCTGTCCTCACTCCTCTCTCCTCAGTCCTCTCTCCTCAGTCCTTTCTCCTCTGTCCTCTCTCCTCTCTCCTCAGTCCTCTCTCCTCTGTCCTCTCTCCTCAGTCCTCTCTCCTCTGTCCTCTCTCCTCTCTCCTCAGTCCTCTCTCCTCTGTCCTCTCTCCTCAGTCCTCTCTCCTCAGTCCTTTCTCCTCTGTCCTCTCTCCTCTCTCCTCAGTCCTCTCTCCTCTGTCCTCTCTCCTCAGTCCTCTCTCCTCTGTCCTCTCTCCTCAGTCCTTTCTCCTCTGTCCTCTCTCCTCTCTCCTCAGTCCTCTCTCCTCTCTCCTCTCTCCTCAGTCCTCTCTCCTCTGTCCTTTCTCCTCAGTCCTCTCTCCTCAGTCCTTTCTCCTCAGTCCTTTCTCCTCAGTCCTCTCTCCTCAGTCCTCTCTCCTCTCTCCTCAGTCCTCTCTCCTCTCTCCTCAGTCCTCTCTCCTCTCTCCTCTGTCCTCTCTCCTCTGTCCTCTCTCCTCAGTCCTCTCTCCTCTCTCCTCTGTCCTCTCTCCTCTGTCCTCTCTCCTCAGTCCTCTCTCTTCTGTCCTCTCTCCTCTGTCCTCTCTCCTCTCTCCTCTGTCCTCTCTCCTCTGTCCTCTCTCCTCAGTCCTCTCTCCTCAATCCTCTCTCCTCTCTCCTCTCTCCTCTGTCCTCTCTCCTCAGTCCTTTCTCCTCAGTCCTCTCTCCTCAGTCCTCTCTCCTCTCTCCTCAGTCCTCTCTCCTCTGTCCTCACTCCTCTCTCCTCAGTCCTCTCTCCTCTCTCCTCTGTCCTCTGTCCTCTCTCCTCTGTCCTCTCTCCTCAGTCCTCTCTCTTCTGTCCTCTCTCCTCTCTCCTCAGTCCTCCTCTCTCCTCAGTCCTCTCTCCTCACTCCTCTCTCCTCAGTCCTCTCTCCTCTCTCCTCTGTCCTCTCTCCTCTGTCCTCTCTCCTCAGTCCTCTCTCCTCTCTCCTCTGTCCTCTCTCCTCTGTCCTTTCTCCTCAGTCCTCTCTCCTCAGTCCTCTCTCCTCAGTCCTCTCTCCTCTCTCCTCTCTCCTCAGTCCTCTCTCCTCAGTCCTCTCTCCTCAGTCCTCTCTCCTCACTCCTCTCTCCTCAGTCCTCTCTCCTCTCTCCTCTCTCCTCTGTCCTCTCTCCTCTGTCCTCTCTCCTCAGTCCTCTCTCCTCTCTCCTCTCTCCTCAGTCCTCTCTCCTCTGTCCTTTCTCCTCAGTCCTCTCTCCTCAGTCCTTTCTCCTCTCTCCTCAGTCCTCTCTCCTCAGTCCTCTCTCCTCTCCCCTCACTCCTCTCTCCTCAGTCCTCTCTCCTCTCTCCTCTGTCCTCTCTCCTCTGTCCTCTCTCCTCAGTCCTATCTCCTCTCTCCTCTCTCCTCTGTCCTCTCTCCTCTGTCCTCTCTCCTCAGTCCTCTCTCTTCTGTCCTCTCTCCTCTCTCCTCAGTCCTCTCTCCTCAGTCCTCTCTCCTCTGTCCTCTCTCCTCAGTCCTCTCTCCTCTCTACTCAGTCCTCTCTCCTCTCTCCTCAGTCCTCTCTCCTCTCTCCTCTCTCCTCAGTCCTCTCTCCTCTGTCCTCTCTCCTCAGTCCTCTCTCCTCTGTCCTCTCTCCTCAGTCCTCTCTCCTCTGTCCTCTCTCCTCTCTCCTCAGTCCTCTCTCCTCAGTCCTCTCTCCTCACTCCTCTCTCCTCAGTCCTCTCTCCTCTCTCCTCTCTCCTCTGTCCTCTCTCCTCTGTCCTCTCTCCTCAGTCCTCTCTCCTCTCTCCTCTCTCCTCTGTCCTCTCTCCTCTGTCCTCTCTCCTCAGTCCTCTCTCTTCTGTCCTCTCTCCTCTCTCCTCAGTCCTCTCTCCTCTGTCCTCTCTCCTCGGTCCTTTCTTCTCTCTCATCTCTCCTCAGTCCTCTGTCCTCTCTCCTCTGTCCTCTCTCCTTTCTCATCTCTCCTCAGTCCTCTCTCCTCTGTCCTCTCTCCTCAGTCCTCTCTCCTCAGTCCTTTCTCCTCTGTCCTCTCTCCTCTCTCCTCTGTCCTCTCTCCTCAGTCCTCTCTCTTCTGTCCTCTCTCCTCTCTCCTCAGTCCTCTCTCCTCAGTCCTCTCTCCTCACTCCTCTCTCCTCAGTCCTCTCTCCTCTCTCCTCTCTCCTCTGTCCTCTCTCCTCTGTCCTCTCTCCTCAGTCCTCTCTCCTCTCTCCTCTCTACTCTGTCCTCTCTCCTCTGTCCTCTCTCCTCAGTCCTCTCTCTTCTGTCCTCTCTCCTCTCTCCTCAGTCCTCTCTCCTCTGTCCTCTCTCTCGTCCTCTCTTCTCTCTCATCTCTCCTCAGTCCTCTGTCCTCTCTCCTCTGTCCTCTCTCCTTTCTCATCTCTCCTCAGTCCTCTCTCCTCTGTCCTCTCTCCTCAGTCCTCTCTCCTCAGTCCTTTCTCCTCTGTCCTCTCTCCTCTCTCCTCAGTCCTCTCTCCTCTGTCCTCTCTCCTCAGTCCTCTCTCCTCTGTCCTCTCTCCTCTCTCCTCAGTCCTTTCTCCTCTGTCCTCTCTCCTCTCTCCTCAGTCCTCTCTCCTCTCTCCTCTCTCCTCAGTCCTCTCTCCTCTGTCCTTTCTCCTCAGTCCTCTCTCCTCAGTCCTTTCTCCTCAGTCCTTTCTCCTCAGTCCTCTCTCCTCAGTCCTCTCTCCTCTCTCCTCAGTCCTCTCTCCTCTCCCCTCACTCCTCTCTCCTCAGTCCTCTCTCCTCTCTCCTCTGTCCTCTCTCCTCTGTCCTCTCTCCTCAGTCCTCTCTCCTCTCTCCTCTCTCCTCTCTCCTCTGTCCTCTCTCCTCTGTCCTCTCTCCTCAGTCCTCTCTCTTCTGTCCTCTCTCCTCTCTCCTCAGTCCTCTCTCCTCTGTCCTCTCTCCTCAGTCCTCTCTCCTCTCTACTCAGTCCTCTCTCCTCTCTCCTCAGTCCTCTCTCCTCTCTCCTCAGTCCTCTCTTCTCTGTCCTCTCTCCTCTGTCCTCTCTCCTCAGTCCTCTCTCCTCTGTCCTCTCTCCTCAATCCTCTCTCCTATGTCCTCTCTCCTCAGTCCTCTCTCCCTTGTCTCCTCTCTCTTCTCTCCTTGTCATGTCTCCCTGAGTCCATCCCACTCTGACCCACTTTGGTCCACTTCGGTCCACTTTTAGCACGTGCATAATGGATGAAATAGTAGTGATAAGAGAATCTCTGGTTGCACATTCTCTCATGGTTTATTCAGTGCAATAGTCTGCGTTTGCAAAGATAACACTGGTCTTTTTGCAACCGTGAAAGATTAAGGTAAAAAGTTCAACAGAAATATCGTTTATTAGTATCGTTTCATTTGTGCGTCTGTCCAGGTTTAGTTCATTCTTTCACTTCAACCTCGAGCCCTGTGTGTGACATTAAAACTAAATCTTTTTTTAATTCAGATAAATATGTTGTAATGTGTATTGTTGTTTTCCTCCCCCACAGAGACACACAAGACTCATAGACAGAGGTAAAAGGTTAAATAGTTTCCTAAAGGAACAGTGTGTAATATTTCCACTGAAAAAATTAAAATTTGTATGTGTTCCCAGATAAGCATGTTTGACCTTGTGTGATTTGACGTTTAAAGTGGAGCTGCAGGTGAATGCCAAATTCTGTCACACCTCTGAAGCTAAGCAGGACAGGGCCTGGTTAGTACTGTGGTGGGAGACCTCAGACCACAGTGGGGCGGCTGTGGCTGTAAAGTGCCAAGACACTTCATCCATATTAAAATGAGTCAGGTTCTGTATGTGTGTGAGTGGTTGGTGGTGGTGGAAGGGGCTTCTATCAGAGTCCCAAGGCATCTGTGTGGAGTGAATTACAAAGACACGTGCAGAGACTTAAAGCGCCCAGAAATGGTCAGGACGCTCACATTATTTGTTTTTACGATTTTCAAGCGGATTATCCAATCAGAGAACAGTATTTAAGTGTCCAGTTTGTTGCCATTTGAAATGTAGCTGATTTTGGCTTTTTACATAAATAACAAAATGAAAGCTGAAGTTGTCATACAAAATACATATTGTTTTTACAGTTTGGTCTGCATCAGTAACCCTTCATCAGTGAGGTACATGTTAGTGAAAGTAGGAACTGTTTGTGAATTCAACCGTACACACACACACACACACACACACACACACACACACACACACACACACACACACACATACACACACACATACACACACACAATGGACCAGATATCAATCCAGATTAATGATAAATCCAAATTCAAACATTCTCAACCATCCTCAAACATACAGTATTATATACTTTTCAAAGGATTGCGATTCTTACTACTTTAATTTTATGTTACAGAATGTGAAAAAACATCTGAAGTGTAAAGTAGAGTAAGTATCATAGTTTTTAACTCCCTGTGCTGCCACCAGAGAGAAGAGTTGACTTGTTTTGTTTGTACTAATTTTATAGTTATCAACCGCAAACAAAACCATGTGATTATAATTTCTCCTGAGCCAAAAACCTTGTTATGTACGATACTTTTGTTCTAAAAGGAAGAAAACTGTTCTGACCGTGATATCAGAGTGGTACAATGATTGTTAATTTGACCCCCAGACGCCAATCTCAGTCCTGGATCTACAGCCTCGGTCCTGGGTCCACAGCCTCAGTCCTGGATCTACAACCTCAATCCTGGATCTACAGCCTCAGTCCTGGGTCCACAGCCTCAGTCCTGGATCTACAACCTCAATCCTGGATCTACAGCCTCAGTCCTGGGTCTACAGCCTCAGTCCTGGATCTACAGCCTCAGTCCTGGGTCTACAGCCTCAGTCCTGTTTCTGCAGCCTCAGTCCTGGATCTACAACCTAAGTCCTGGATCTACAGCCTCAGTCCTGGATCTACACCCTGTCCATCTGTGAGAGTTATTGATTCACAGATCAGAGAATCAAACAGTTCAAACACGGGCGATGCAATGATAACAAACACTCAGGAGATGACCACTGTCCAGAAATGTTTACATTCCCTCACAGCTTTCACACCCCTGCACTGTACTCTCTCTCTAACCGTTATCTGGTTCCAACCATCTCTGATAAATCTAATTCCCCTCTTTTATACGTTCGGACAGTTGTATTTTCCGTGTCCCATTAGCTTTAGCCGATGACGTTTTTAGGCTAAGTGCAGACTTCAACTCATAATATCCACTTCCACCTCTGTTTTCAGCCTGAGATGGTCCTCTGCTGGTAAAGCCTCCCACATGGTTCTACCTCACATGTGCAATATTCTGAACGAATGTCAGAATGTGCATTATAGACCAACATGTGTCACTGGCCCCTCATTCTGCTAACACATACACACATCACAATCAATTTTTTTCTCAAGTTCTCTATCTTTAGAAATAAATGATACAAATGATGTATATTTTACCATATTTTGAACTGAGTAATAGAGTTTTGTTCTGTTTTTATTACTGTGATTTGATGTTTTTACAAGTTTTTTTCTGATTTTGTTTCAATATTTGTAATGTGTTTTTAACATTGTTTCATTGTTTTCAAACAAACATGAATATTACATTGCAATTTTACATTATTTTTCTGTAAATTTTAGTCTTTTGTTTCTGCTCTAGAATATACAGGATTTATACTTGCTTCTTTTTTATGCTAAAGTTAGGGATTTAGCCTCTTGCTCCTCATTCTTACTGTTCTGGTGATCTCTAATTTAATGGAATCCAAGGTCACATGACTTTGAACTGAACGCATCACTAAACTCAATCAGCTTCAAATTGATTTACATTTTCTTTAACAGAGTCAAACGCTGCTCACTCTGTTGGATTCTGACCACAAGCTTAATAGAGCGTTGGAGTTACTTACCAGGACATACGAACGATGGCTCCTATGTTCGTTTATCTGGACTGAATATATGGCAAGGCAAGGCAAGTTTATTTGTATAGCACAATTCATACACAAGGCAACTCAAAGTGCTGAACAAAACAAGAAAGCATCAAAATCATAAATAATCACAGAAAATTAAAAAGAAAGATAAAAATATAAAATCCCCCAGTTGTATGCACAGCTAAACAGAACTGTCTTTAACCTGGTTTTAAACATTGTCAGAGAGGAGGCCTGTCTCACATCTTCAGGAAGACTGTTCCAGATTTTAGCTGCATGAATCTGAAAAGCAGCCTCCCCATGTTTAGTTCTGACTCTGGGCACTAACAGGAGAGTGCGAGGCCATGGAGAGACTTGTACACAAGCACAGCTGTTTTAAAGTCTATTCTCTGAGCCACAGGAAGCCAGTGCAGAGACCTGAGAACTGGACTAATGTGGTCGTACTTCCTGGTTCTAGTCAAGCAGAAGCCTTTACTTATGGGAAGAATGTATCAGGGATAGTCAATAATAGCAATAATGAACTTATATCTATGGCCTGCAGACGGACAGAACATGTGATAAAATACTGTTGGAAGATGACTGTGGACACTCAAAGATAAGAAAGAACCGTATTCAATATATATATTTGAACGTCTCAAAGATAAGACAGTATGGCAGTGGCACATGTACAGAGGGGCAGTGTTCATTGTACAGTCTGACATTTTAACAGCCGCAAAGAATCAGTAACATCGGCAGCTTTTACTGTATAAGAAACATTTAAGAATCAAAAATGTCTATAGCAGACAATCTCCAGTGGTCAGAATACTGCCTAAGGACACAACCACAGTTTGGCACTTTACAGCCACTGCCTTCATCTTATTATTTCCCCTTTATTTAACCAGAAATGTCCCATTGAGGACATAGGCAGCAACAGTGCAGCACTTTGAGTAGTGTATGAACCAGAGGTGAACTTGACTCATGTGATTTGGTTTAAGTCACAAATAAACTTGAGCTGAGTTTGACAGCTCGCTTGGCAATCACAGCCCAGACATAAAAAACAGACACTTGTCTTAATAGTTTACAGACCAGAAAGTCTCATTCCGGCCTTGTTTACACACTAAGATAATTGTAGAGCTACACACCTGAACTAGCCTGGCCTTAGCCATCCATACACTCTGCTTAATCATCATTTCCCTGCATGTAACGTCTGGGTCTGGTCCCTGTGTTAGCGATTACATCAGTTGAATTCCATCCGACCAATCAGAGAGCGCGGGAGGCGGGTGTTGTAGTTAGTTGTGGGTGACGTCAAGAGTTTGCGGCGAACAGCCTGGTTGCAGTTTGGCAATGGCGAAGAATGCGATAGTAAAGTATTCCGGTCTGGTTCTATCAAGTAATTGAAGTCGGAGCAAGAGGAATGTTTAGCAAATGTAATTGCTGTCAAAGATTGTGGCGCTACTCCCCACGGGCTCCGTTAGCGGCAAAGGAGATGGCTAGGCTAAATGCTAAATGCTAACGACTCACTCGGGTGCATTACATACCTCACGGTAAACTCAGATCCAATCATTTCAATCTGCAAAAGGAGTTAACCCCTCCCACCTGTTAATGGAGCTCAATGGAGCAAATCCAGATATTAGTACGAAATGTAATTTGTACTAGAATTATCACAGCAGTAGTTGCTGTGAACTGACGTAATTTAATTTTAAACCACTAGATGTCGGCAGAATACTCCAACTCGCTACGGGCCGTGTATGAGACTTGGATGCGTTTGTGCCACAGGCGCAGAGCGACCTGCATCAGGCAGTACAAAGCAATGTTGCTTTGCATCCAATTAAATCACGTAGATTACGTGGAGACCAACAAAATCTGAAACGCGGTTAAAAATACTCAAAAGTCAAACTGTAGGACTTGGGACTTGACTTAACACTTGTTGGCCTTTGACTTGGACTCAACTCGGGACTTGCCTGTCTTGACTCGGGACTTGACTTGGGACTTGAGAGGAATGAATTGAGAATTGCCAAACAATGATTTTTCTTTGAACGGTGCTATACAAAAAAACCTACCTTAAACTCTGTCATTGCTGGTTCAGGGACTATCCGTATGACAGGAGCAAAGGCAAATGCTCCGGAGATCCATGTTCTATAAATATGCCCCACATCTGTATCCCCCGCCGCCTGCTCTGTTTACAGATTGAAAAATCACTGTATGTTTTCTTTATGTCAGCGCTTCAGGCCTTAAGCTCCAAGCAGCGACTGAAAAGTCGTGGAAACACATTAAATACACTCTTCACACTGCAGATTATGTGCTGTCAGTGTGTGTGCACGTGTGTGTGCATGTGTGTGTGTGTGTGTGTGTGTGTGTGTGTGTGTGTGTGTGTGTGTGTGTGTGTGTGTGTGTGTGTGTGTGTGTGTGTGCGTGTGTGTGTGTGTCTGTGTGTGTGTGTGTGGGGTCAGGGGGAGGGTAGTTACTCCCTTACACTCCAAGAGGAGGTTGGGAATATACAAGCGTTTGCTTCAGCCAATCGCCTTCCAAACCTTGTATATTTATCATATTATTCTGTTGTCAAATTATGTTAATGCTGTTTTTTGGAATAAACAAATAGATTGAAACATTGAAATGGATTTATGTTGTACTATAATTTACAGTGCTTTAAGTGGGCCGGTTCTGTAATGTATACTGCCTAACTGCCCCTTATGCACCAACGGCTCCAAGTGTTCCTATTGGTACATTTCCTGTGTTTGTGTTTGATTCTCTGATCTGTGTTGGTGAATCGACAGCTTTGTAAAGTCCTCGGAGATTACTATTGTTAGGGCACTACACAATAATTCACAAAATGGTTATTAATATTAAAGTTACAGTATGTTTGTTTGTGTTTGCGTACAGCACCAAGTCTAATGTGAGCGAATGCTTTGAAAAATATGACGTTGTAGATCCGTGTTTTACAATTATCTCTGTGGTCCAGCTTTGTGAATGTTTAAACAGAACTTGGAAATCAGCAGAAATAACTGATGACTGTTTGATGTGAATGTATAACAAATGGAATGAAAGTAAGAAAGTACAGTAGTGTGTGTTGTTACATGTGTCAGTTCTGTGGTGGAACCGTGTGAAGTGGATCTGGGTCAGAATCAAACAGATCTTTAATAAATGCACAAAGAAAAATCCATCTTTGTGCTCTGTATTAGGCCCCGTCTACACGTAGCAGGGTATCTCACAAACCGAAGATATTTTCCTACGATCTGGCCTATCATCCACACAAACCCGGAGTTTTCTGAAAACTCCGGCCAAAGTGAAGATTTGGGAATTCTCCGGTTATGCGTTTGAGTGTGGACATAAATAACCGGAGTATTCGGCTGTACGTCACTACCAGCGTGCTGCTCTGACGTCACACGCGCGACCTGTGTTTACATCAGAAACAACATGGAGGCCATCAAAACCGCTTTTGTGTGTGCTCCACTCTCCTGCTCGGTGTCCGACGCGGCATCAGATGGCTCCGTAGTAGCGGACGTAGAAGGCGAGGGAGCGGGGAGGCTATCATCCTAGTCATTTGTTTCAATGCCCGACGACATGGTTGTAGTGGCGGGGGACCCACCCCATATTTGTTCACATAACTCAAAATAAAGGTGAACGACTCTGCCATACCCGCTTTTGCGTCCACTGTCAATTGCCTGGCGATATTTGCTCCTGATGGCCTTTATTTTTGTTGTCAGGATAGCCCGAGTTAGCTCTCCGTTTCCATGGGGAAAGTCATTGGAGGTCTCCGCGGGATAATGCTCCAAATATAGAGTCAATAAGTCCACATACTTGTTTTGGCAAGATTCCCAATCAATGTTTTCTTGTGTCTTGTTGACCTTGTACTCTAAAAGTACGTTTAGGAGCAATTCTGCCTCCTTGTCAGTCCACACGAACGAGCCTGGCGCCATGTTTCATGTTTTGCGGAAGTGACGTCAAGGACGGAGACTAGCTGTAATTGGATAGAATTTGGGGAACTACTGCCGCCTGTAGGTTTGAAATGTAATTGACAACGCATGTATGCGGTTAGGTGTGGATGCCGTTTTTTTAAAAACCGAGGCTGTGTGGACAGAAGTTTTTTTTTAGGCGGAGGGCGGATTTATAAATGCCCTGCTACGTGTAGACAGGGCCTTAAACAGAACGTTGGATTAAGTGACGTCAATGTCAGCTTTATTAGTATAGAACAGTTACAACGACACCAGCTCAAAGTGCAAGACAAGAAGAAAATGTGTTTGTTGGTTTAAAGGAGACACGACACGCAGGTCTAATAAAGTCAGTAAAAATGCAAACTTATTTTTGTTGCCAGAATCCTGCTGCTTTTGACATTTGTGAGTTTGTTTGTGTGTTTGTTTTTATTTAAATTATCATTACTGACAGAAATATGCAGTAAATATTATCCTGGGGTCAGCTACTCATCAAAGTCACTCTCACATGAAAATGAACAAACCATTATGCTAAAACAAAAAAAATGGAAATGTTACAACAACAATACAAAGTAACCTTATACACACACACCTCAGCACAAAAGCTACACACACATACACACACCTCAGCATACACGGTACACACACACACACACAAACAGACAGACACACAACTCAGCAAGCAAGGTCCACACATATACACACACGAGCACGCCTCAGCAAGGTACACACCCACCCACAGAGAAACAGACACACATTACACACACACACGCACACACATTACACACACACAGCGACACAAAGAGAGACACCCACACATACACACACAGAAAATGCAACTGGTCTTGGATCGTAGAAACTGGAACTAATCAGAGCCTGAGTCTGCTCTGATTGGAGAATCTGCTTAAAAACTGTGAAGATAGATAGGCTATATCCACACGAAGACAAAACACTTATAATTTCAGAAACGTTTTCTGTAAACACGGAGTTAGCTCAGTAAATGTGTGCGTCCATATGAATGTAGTTAATACGCCTGAAAACGCTGTGAAACTATGCCAGACCTGTTGGTGGCGCTGTGACGCAATGACGGGATCAAGCCCAAACTTCCGTGACGGGAACTGGGCATGCGCAGAATTTTGTAAACAGACAACATGGCGAGTGGGCGAGCTGGTACTACATTAGTATGGACGGACGATGAGGTTGAACTGTTGCTTCGGGTCGCACTGGATTACAAAACCAACAAGCTACATTGTTGTTGTCATTATTTTCTGAGTGCGGCGCATGCGTGCTTTAACAAGAGGCGGGGCGATGACGCAAGCGTCTCAGATACATTGCGGAGAGGCAGTAACCACGGAGCGGCATATACGGAGTTTTGAAATCTTTCCACTCTGGGACCTACTTTCAAAAATGTTCGTTTACACCCCCCCAAAACGCCGGCCGCGTATGGACGATACACTGGATTGATAAAGTATTTTTGCGTTTAGGCCTGAGCTTGACTTCGTGTGGACAGGGCCATAGATAGATACTTTATTGATCCCCGTAGGAGAAATTCAGGTGTCTAGTAGCAGCAAAAATAAAAATAAAATTGATCACTCTAAAAACATAATAATAGTAATAATCAGTAAGAAATTCACGTGTCCAGTAGCAGAAACACATCCATACAAACAAATGTAAATAAATAATTCTAAACATAACTAACCATAGTAATAAATTTTAACACAATTTTAGCAGAAGTAAAAAGTAAAAGATGTAGATGTATTTTAAATCAGACCATGTTGTTGAGAAAAGCGGTGGTGTTTACTGAGAAAGGTTCAGGATGTTCTTGCGTTAGCCTCCTCTGCTCTGGTATAAAACGCGTCTCTCTGATAAAAGACCTGCTCCATTATTGCACCTCTGAATTGCACTTCTGCGCCTCGTCTACTGCTGTAATTTGGACAATGTCTTTTCCAATGCTCTCTCTCTGCTGTTTGCACTGGTTAAAGACTATGGGCGGTACGTCTCCTCCCATAACAACCCATCGACAGCAGCAGCTAAACCCTCAGAGGTTAATAACGTTTTCTTTCTGGGAGCGGCGCAGATAGAGGCCACTCTGCAGCGGAGAGGGCTCACATCTGTTTGACTTTGTCGACAAGTCACTCTTCAACGTTCACGGAAGGCCTTTGTCTCTGCTGTTTTACTTTTTTTTCCACAAATCACTGTTGTTGTCATGGATACAAAAGGAAATTAACCCAAAACACAGCACTGCAAAAATAAGTATGGAATCAACGCAACAACAAAGTGAAAATCCAGCCAAAAAATAGAAAAAGTGACCAAACTAGAGACAAAAGTAAGAACTAATCAAGACTTTGAAAGGACAGAGATGGAACAATGAAATGAATGAATAGTTTATTTCCACTACACAATACAAAACTATACAAATCCACAAATACAAATTATTCCTCTGAAGATCCAAAGGATCATCACCCAAAGGACTGAGTTGTGTGTTGCCTGTTGAACACTGTTGTATAGCTGTGTCCGAGTTGTGTTGAGGCTGTTGTGCGTCAGAGGAGGTGATACAACAGTGTGGTGCAAAACACACAGAGACACAACCCTGCAACAGTGAGGGCCCAGTCACATGACCAGGAGAGCCAGAGTCTCCCATCCACAGCGCTGACCCTGTCTCTCCCTGCTGGTGTGTGAGAGGCTTCTCCTCCTCCCATGATGCCTTGCTGCTGTCCCGTCTCGCCGTGGTTCAAAGAAGGCGTCCGTGCCCTCTGCGGAACCGTGCGGTGCCCTCGCAGCCTCCGTTCTGCTCGTTTGGACGTAATGAGGAAGAAGGATTGGGTTATTATTGGGCCAAACACAACAACCGAAAAAAAAAACACGAGTAGGAGCAGGAGCAAGAGAAGGAGACAGAGGAGCAGGAGCAGGAGAAGGAGATGGAGAAGAAGATGGAAAAGGAGAAAGAGAAGGGAACTATGTGTCCATGTGTACCTGTGTCTCTCTGTGTCCATATACTGTATGCCTGTGTCTCACTGGCCCTCATTTATGAAACTTGCGTAGAAAAAGGTGTACATTTTGGGTGTATATTCCAATTACGCAAGATCCAACGTCGGATTTATGAACGTGTGAGATGCGCCCAGATATGTGCGTACGCACCTGCGGGTGTTCATTAATCCTGCGTCTCAATACAAACGTATTTATGAAAGTCACGCCTAGAATTATGCAGCAATCGTGTGCTTCACGCCCGTTTTTGCAACAGGTCAGCCTGGAAGCCGGCCAAAAAGACTGTTTGAAAGCCTCAAAAGGCACGTTTGTTTGTTCATGTTTATGTAAAAAGAAATATACACTATATATTCAGCTGCGTGTTGAACAAATTAGCAAAAATGTTTTGATAAATTAGAAACATCTCTCTTGAATTGTAGAAGTGAATAGATAAAGAATGAATGAATTCATATATATTCTGCAGCGGTGGCTCTCATCAATGAAGCGTCTGCAGCGTCTTGGACGCAGCCTGGCTCGGGGTAGAAGTGCGCATTGAAGCGCTGTACACTTGAGAGAGCGTTTGTGGTCCAGATTTCACAAAGAAACTCTGGAGCCAAAACTTCTGAATGACAGGAGTTATGCGGCGCGACCTCTCACTGCACCCGCTGCGCACTCTGAACAGAGCAGTGAGACATTTGGAGTGAGCAATACCATCCATCGGTGCGTTTATGGGGTGTGTGTCTGTGTGAGGCTTACACAAATCTAATGAAATAACACATTGCTTTACCAGATGTGAATGAGGAATACAAATAGCCGTGCGTAATTACGCAGCGCAGAGCCTGCCACAGCAATAGACGGGTCACACATCCCTGTCGCGTAAAGTGTATTTATATAGAGCCGTTCACTGTCCAGGATCACAAAGCGCTTCACATTTAAAAAACAAACAGATCAAAATAATACACACACAAGTCAGATTTAAAATCAAAGAAACAGAAGAGGGTCCTCATCATGATCTGTGATTTATTTGAAGTTTTCATGTTTCCATTAGATTTTTCTGATACGCAAATTCAAATTTTGAAACATGATCCGCAATGAAAACACAGCTTATAATTTTGCCAGAGTGTGAATATGGTAATTGTTGTCCAAATCTTGAATTTCATGCGTGTTTTGGCGTGTTGTGCCGAAGGTTGAGATCAGCGTACACATTTACACCACCTCCTGACCTGGTGTATATTTTTTTGCGTATTGTACGCTCACGTCCAGCTTGATAAGCGGAAAAGTGTAAATTTTTTATCCACGCCTCATTTGCACCCTGATTTGGCCGTACGCAAGCTTCATAAATGTGTCTATATGTACCTGTGTCTCTGTGTCTATATGTACCTGTGTCTCTGTGTCTATATGTACCTGTGTCTCTGTGTCTATATGTACCTGTGTCTCTGTGTCTATATGTACCTGTGTCTCTCTGTGTCTATATGTACCTGCGTCTCTCTGTGTCCATATGTACCTGTGTCTCTGTGTCCATATGTACCTGTGTCTCTGTGTCCATATGTACCTGTGTTTCTGTGTCTATATGTACCTGTGTCTCTCTGTGTCTCTATGTACCTGTGTCTCTGTGTCTATCTGTGCACCTGTGTCTCTTTGCAGTAAAACCACATTGGAATAATTTTGCAAAAAGTCTAGACTCTAGAGTTTGCACACAAAAAATGTGGGTCCTCCTTTGTTTCACCATGTGACGGAGACTTGGAAAGAAGTGAGTATTCAAATAAATGTGCATTTATGAACACATGTCCGGGACAAAGATCTCTTTCTAATTTCAATGTTTTTTGCTTTTCATTCAGAAAAAGCTAGTATAGTAGTATTGGATTAGAGAATAAGCTTCCACCTTACTATGATAAAGATTACTATATTCAAATACGTTCTATCTACTGTTCAACATGTCACAACCCACCGCTTCTGCTCTGAACTGGGACACAAACTAATGAAGGCTGCTGAAATATCTAAAAATATATAAAAACAGAATCTTTCCCTATCTCACACGACTTTTAACTCATTCCTGTGGAAACTGGTCCCTCTTGTGGCTCATTTGAGCAGAAGTCACACTTACCCAGAAACAACATCAAAGGAACAGTGACCATGACGACACACAGCGAGACCAGGGATGCAAGAACCTATGGAGAAATATCAATGCATCAGGATCAAAATAGAAAACCACAGGATTAATGCTGTGAGTTCATGAACTGGCATCATGTTTTCGACACATTCTAAAACTCTCTCTCTGAGACCAGAGAGAGAGACCAGGGAGAGAGACCAGCGAGAGAGACCAGCAAGAGAGGCCAGAGAGTGAGACCAGAGAGTGAGACAAGAGATAGACTAGAGAGAGCCCAGAGAGAGACCAAAGAGTGAGAGGGAGCAGAGAGAGAGAGGCCAGAGATAGTCAAGAGAGAGAGGGAGCAGAGCGAGACCAGAGCGAGACCGGACAGAGAGAGCAGAGAGAGACCAGAGAGAGACAGAAAGCGAGAGACCAGAAAGAGCAACCATGTTCTCCACCTCTACCATAGATGCTGTGGTCAATAAATCACCTCTGGGAGTGGATGAGATCCGTATGACTGTCTAAAGTCTCTGGAAGTTTCAGGACTGTATTGGCTGACACGTCTCTGCGTCGAGTAGCGAGACCAGGGTGGTGGTCCCTCTCTACAAGAAGGGGGACCGGAGGGTATGTTCCAATTATCGTGTGGAATCACACTCCTCAGGGTCCCCGGTAAGGTCTCCAAGGTACTGGCCCATGTCATCCTTTCCATCCGGCCACCAGACGCTCTCATGCGAGCCCCAACCCCAGGCCTGGCTCTCAATTTCATGCAATCCACGGAGGCTTCGGACTGCACTTCGTCAGACTCGTCACCCAAGACCTGTTTGCCATGGGTGACGCTACCAGGGGCATAAAGCACCAGACAACATAGCTCCCAGGATCACCTGAGATCTCAAACTCCCCCACCACGTTCAGGTGGCAGTCCAGGGGAGAGTAATCAAAAGGTATTCCCTAAACCAGTGTCTCCCAAAGTGGGGTCCGCGGCCCCCTGGTGGGCCGCGAGGGTACTGCAGGGGGGCCGCAGGAGGTCATAAAAAATTATATAATTATTTAATGTTAAATTTATAATGTTTTGTTTGTAATATTAAAATATTTGTGTTCATTATTTGACTTGAATAATCCACGGTAATCATTTTTGTATTACAATGTTTGTAGCAGAGGCTATTTCCCCAAAATAAAATAACCAGAAGAGCCTATTCTTAATGTTGTCTTCTTGGTTATTATTTTGGGGGGCCACGCAGACCCGTCAGATTTTTAAGGGGGCCTCGGTGTTACTGAGTTTGGGAATGGCTGCCCTAAACTGTCTGTATGATGTAACAGCATCACAGGTGTATAATGTATTCTCAGGTTCAGTGTTCTAAAAAAAATATATATCCATCCATCCATCCATTTCCTACCCTTTAATCCATTTCTGGGTCAGGGGGGTGGCAATCAGAGATGCCACCCAAGTCTCATAGCACCAGCCCCTCACTGACCCTCTGCAGGTGGTGAGTCCACAGGAGGACGGCTGCTCTCTGACTGTGAGCATAGCCTTGATCTTTCAGTGGGGGCTTCGGGCAAAGTGGGGTTAAGTGTCTTGCCCAAGGACACAACGACAGCAGTCATCAGTGGGAGTCGATGGAGAAGGTGCAGAGGTGGGAATTGAACCCACGACCTTCTGGCCTTAAGGCCAATGCTCTACCAACTGAGCTTCTTCTGTCATATATATATATATATATATATATATATATATATATATATATATATATATATATATATATATATATATATATATATATATATGTGTGAAGTAGAAGCTGTTCGTTCCTAAATATTGTATAGAATACAGTCATTATTATTTATTTCAAACTTGAACACGCACACACACAAACACACACACATCTCTCTCCATCACTTTCTTTCTTCATTTATTTACTATTTTATGTTTTATGTATATTTTTGAACAGAAATATATTTTACAGGTGAAATAGAATAGAGTAGGTAGGGTAGTGTAGAGTAGTGTAGAGTAGTGTAGAGTAGAGTAGAGTAGTGTAGATTAGAGTAGAGTAGTGTAGATTAGAGTAGAGTAGTGTAGATTAGAGTAGAGTAGTGTAGAGTAGAGTAGTGTAGAGTAGTGTAGAGTAGTGTAGAGTAGTGTAGAGTAGAGTAGAGTAGTGTAGAGTAGTGTAGAGTAGTGTAGAGTAGAGTAGAGTAGTGTAGAGTAGTGTAGAGTAGTGTAGAGTAGTGTAGAGTAGAGTAGTGTAGAGTAGTGTAGAGTAGAGTGAAATGGGTCCATTCATATTACATGCAAAGTGTCCAAGCCTTTATTTGTTATAATGCTGATGATTATGGCTTAGAGTTAAGTCTGTGTGTTGTGTGTGTGCTCCTCTGTGTGTGTTGTGTGTGTGTTGTGTGTGTCCTCACCAAGAGGCACTGTGGGGCATTCTGTCTCATGCTCCTCACGGCTCGCTCGGTCTGGACCCAGAGCAGAGCGAGAGCACAGGGCATAGACTCCTCCTCTGAGTGCTTCAGACATCTGCAGAGAGAGAAAGAGTCAGTGTAACATCTGAGGCACACAAAAACACATAGACACACACACATAAACACACAGTCACACTAACATACACACACACACACACATATTCACAAACAAACTCACAAATACACACACACAGAGAAGTGAGTCAGTAGAACATTTCATCTGAGACATACACACGTATACGCACACACACACACACACACACACACACACATACACACACATACAAACACGTCTGACCAAACAGCGGAAACGATGACCTACATCTGCGAGCAAATACTGGAAATATGTGTTTTAATTGGTTTTATGCTATAATGGTTGATATGAAAGCCAGATCCTGTCAGACCTCTGAAGCTAATTAGGGCAAGGCCTGGTTAGTACTGCGATGGGAGACCTCTGCAAACACCAGGTGCTACAGTGGGGCAGCTGCGGCTGTAAAGTGCCAAGCTGTTGTTGTGTCCTCAGGCGAGACACTTTCCCCACATTAGAATCAGTGTGGTGTGTGTGTGAATGGTTGGTGGTGGTGGGAAGGGCACAGACTGGTTGCCTCACTTCTGTCAGTGTGCCCCAGAACAGCTGTAGCTACAGTCGCAGTTTATCACCACAGTGTTTGGAGCCAATGAATAATGACATGTAAAGAGACTTTGAGTGTCCAGAAAAGTGCTGTATGAAAACAATGCATAAATATTATCATTATTATTTAAAGTTAAAACAGCAGCAGACCTTAACAGGATTTTCTCCATAACAAGGTCTGCAGGATCATGGAGGGAGACATTGAAGAAGTGGTGGACGCTGGGCGGCAGACGGTTTCCGTGGTGAATCCACAGGAACAAGTTGAACATTCCCTGAAACAGAACAGTCAGAAGTTCTACTAAGCATCACTGGTCCCAGTGAGATGGAGCCATTGGTTCACAAGGGGCAGAGACTAATGTCCACGAAAGTCCTAGACCCTCCTGCATCAGAGATGAACAAAAAAGGAAGTGGGAGAAAAGTGATAAACATTGGTGAGGCCCATATTGTGGAAGGGATCTGCTCCCACAGACAGACGGGGTGTAGATCCAGGACTGAGGGACTGAGGATGTAGATCCAGGACTGAGGATGTAGATCCAGGACTGAGGCTGTTTGTTGTGAGTGATCCCAGTGGATGCATTTGTTGTGTGTGTAGAGAGTGTGTGTGTGGTCACCTGGGGGTGGTCCAAGATGGCAGCGCGGCTGTAGAATGCCACAGCTCGCACTGATGCAGAAAATGATCCTTGTTCGGAGAAGTGGTCCCCCATCCGCAGGAGAGCTACAACCACAGACAGATACTGTGTTTGAGGAACAGAATGGACCAGAGCGAGGTCTGAGGAATAGAACGGACCAGAGCGAGATCTGAGGGAAGCAAAACTCACCGGACGGATGTGGATCATAATTTAACACAGAATAGTTGTGATATCTCCACTGACACACTTCTCCCAAATTCTTCTCCTGAGCAGAGAGAACAGAATCTGCTGCTGTCATCACAATTAATCACATTCATGGGACAAAGCGACAGTGACACATATTACACATTTTGACATATATCTGAATAATATCAGCATGTGCAATATAGAACCAAGTGTCCACTGTCACTTTAGCTTGGCCATCTTATGGAGTGGCTAAGTACAGATGGATACATACAGCTATTCATTTCTTGCACGAGAAAATACAGTCCATGCTACTATATTATGCTAAAGTTAGATATGGTATACTTGCTTCTTTAATATGCCATTATGCTTAGAGACTATTTCATTATATTTCAGTATAGAGTTATTGTTGACGTCTCTTGAGCTGTGTGCTGCTCATTCCTAATGTTCTGTAACTGGTGATGCAACACTGACATTTCCCGACTCTGGGACGAGGATCTCTTAAATCCTTAAATTCATTAGTGGTTTATAATCTCACTGCAGCTTGGTTTGCCACCTCTGTATGTGACCAAATCACTGATGCTGAATCTCAGTGATAGTCATTACCATTTTAAACAAGTGTTTAAGGCTTAAAAGGTTTTTATGATTAGACCAAAGTGTGAAGAAGCGAGTTCTGCTTCACCACATATTTAGACTTTGTCAGCAACAGTGACGTGTCTCTGATCAGCTGTTGCTACAGATGTGGTTAGTCTGACAGATCAGGAAGAGGCTACTGACTACGCCTCCTCAGACTGACCACGCCCCCCCAGGACTGACCACGCCCTCTGTGGTCTCTAGAGAAGTGAGTCCCATCTGTTGCCGTGAGCCTGGCTTCATGATTTCGATCTCTCGTCTCCATCTTTTGTATTTATGTTTTTCTGTTCCTATGTTTGCATCATCCGTCTGTCCATTTGAGAAAATCCTATAATGGACAGTGACAATACAAAAATAGTAGATTGATCTGGCCACATCCTGTAACACCCAAACCATCATTGTCTCTGACGAAGGCGGAGTCCAAACATGTTGTAATTCAGCAGAACCAGCTTATTTTGTCTTATTAACATAACCTTCAAAGCCTTAATCATAAAAAACTGAAATACTTTATGCATTTGAGGATCTCTTACCGCACAGAGGTGAGCCACGTTGGTTTGGGCTAAACCCAAACCCGTCTCCGCAGCCAGAACATACAGGAGCAGCGCCTCCTGCCTGTGAGGAGGCAGAACCACAGCTGTAAGAACACAGCCACACAGGAGACCAAACCAGGACAAGTGAAAAGTAATGATATTAATATCCCACCAGGAGCCCTGGAGGTAGGCGTGCAGCGCCTCTCTGATCATGAATCCAAGATGTCCGTTCTGCTCACACACCTTTTTGAGCATTCTGCACAGAAGGTAAAGACGACTGATGAATTATGCAACATCATTGACTTCACTTATACTGGAAATATTTTAATCAAATCTAAAAATAGTGGCGATTCGTTGGGGTCGTCTAAAATAAGCCTCAGCAGCAGCAGATAAATGCATATGAAGACACTGTGACAGTGTTTCAAATGGCACCAGCACTTTGTTTGGGCAAGTGCTGTACTTCTTAATCTGCACTGCACTAGCACTTTATCCATCGTATGTGCTTTGTGTATATAAATAAAGATTACTTACTTACTTACTTTGTGCTTCTTGTGTAAATACTGTTTTAACTGTGGTCTTCTACTGTATGTTGATGTGTGTACTTGCACTGATGCGACTGTGCAATACTGAGGCTGGAGGGTCTGAGACAGAGATGATCCACTCTCGGTCATCTGCCCCTCTGTTTGTTTTATTGTTATTGCATTTCCTGTGTTTGAACTGTTGGTTCTCTGATCCGTGTTGGCAAATCAACCAATTTGTAAAGATAGCTGTAAAGGTAACTACTAGCGCTGTACAAAAGTAAATTGAGTTACAGACTGTTGTCCAGAGTGTGTTGTATGTTTGTGTCCAACGGCTCTGAGACTGAGACACATTGAATAGAGAAGAACGTTGAACCATGAGCCTTGAGCACAAACAGAATCTGAGTCCACAGCAGACACTGAATGTTGCTGATTCTGGCTCCGATCTTGTTTTTGTTGCCGTCATTGAAACCCAAAACAAGTCTCTGATTCTGTGAGTTTATATACCAAGAGGCAAAACTCAATAGAAAGTTCCATTGCAACAAATTCCCCCATAACCGATCCGCAGCGCCGGCAGAACTTGTTTTTAGTCTAAAAACTTTGATTCTCCTGAAGCTGAGGATGAGGACCTCACAGCTGCCTCAATACCTGAAATCTGACTCAGTACCTGACAGCTGCCTCAGAGTCCTGGGACAGTCCCTGCAGTTCCCCCGTCGACAGGTAGTGGGCGGCCTCTATAGAAGCAGCGACGTGACCCAGAGAAGAAGCATTCAGGAAGTGGAGGAAAGCAGCCGTCTGAGAAGAAACAAGAGATTTGAATATGGCCCTGTCCCAATACTCGCACTTCCACCGTCGTGCTCCTCATTTGCGCGTTCCCGATGATCCCGAGGTCTTTGGCCCCGCCCCCTTTGCGCCCTTGATCCACACTTTGCCGTAGCCTGCATCTAAGCGGACTCTGGTGAAGGATGTTGCCCATAATTATTGGCGGTACACACCAAGACGTCGGGAAAATAAATGTACCTTAAGTGTAAGTTTTGAAATATGTATGCTGTATGTGTGTAAATAAGTTTTGCTGTTACTTGGAAAGAAGCATAAATGTCTGTTTAATGGTGCGTTCAGACCAAACGCGATTTCTGCGGCCAAAGCGGCGGGTCTACATTGACACAACATGGGGGACGCGCGCCAAGGAGCGGCGAGAGATCACGCGGCGCGATTCGCGCGGCCAGAGCGGCGCGAATTCGAGCGTTTCGCGTGATTCGCGCGGCGTGTTTTGAGATGTCAAGCGTTTTGACGCGCGTTTCGCGCGATTCGTGCCTCCAACGCGGCCGCCGCTAGAGTTGAACAATGTTGAACTTTTTGGGAGAATTCGCGTGTGCCGACCAATCAGGAGCTTTCTCCTCCAGTGACGTAGTGACGCATTTCACTACCGGGAAAACACTAGTAGATGACAGTAGATCATGGAGGACACGCTAATAGCTCAGGTCGGTGCTCATTCTGAGCTATACAACACTGCAGACCACAGCTACCGGGACCGAAATAAAAAGGAGCTTGCTTGGAGGAGGGTTAGCGAGGTGGTTGGTGTCTCGGGTAAGTTATTTTAACTTTTCACAGTAAATATTTCCCCGCAAAAAAAACTACTACTTTCCCGCTTACGAGTTGATGTGTTTATTCAGTGGAAGTTTGCAAAAAGCGGTGGAAGAACCTGAGGGACACATATGCTAAGGAGAGCAGGAAGGAGAAGGAAAAGGTGAAGAAGAGTGGTGCAGAAGCAGGGAAAGGCCAGACGTGGAAGTACCTTGTGGTCATGTCCTTCCTCGAGCCCTACATCACTCCCCGTGACAGCTCCGGGAACATGCCAAGGCGAAGGGCCGAGGAGGAGCAGACCACAGGGTACAACCACCCAGAAGAAGAGCCAGAGGAAGCAGCAGCAGCAGGGCTGTCAGGTGCTGAAGGTCGGTGTCATGCAGCAAACAGAGACCTCGAACAGTTGGAAAAAATACATTTCTTTCCTTTTTATTACCCACATTTTGCTGACTTTTACATTTATATTGCTTTCTGTGTATGCATTTCTTTTAATGCTTTCTTAACATCATGGCCAGGTGAAAATAGGCATTGGCTATTTTCAAACCAGGATAGATCTTGATCATGTGTTGTGTTAAATTTCACTTTTCCCTTTCATATGAACAAATCATTTAAATGTACATAATAATGTACATTATTATGTACATATAAATGTCATAAGCGCAATGTACACATGATATGAAATAATTGTATTTCTTGTTTTCTTCTGGTGCAGATACTGCCACCACCACACAAGGTGAGACATCTTGGCCTGAGCTGCCTGCTGCTGCTGCTGCTGCTTCTTCCTCAGCCGGTTCTTCTTCTGTGAGGGCTGGACCTTCCCCTGCTTCTGCACCTACAGGTGTGGCTTTTTTTAATCATTGTTTTATTTTTATTCTTATTACAGGACTGTTCATATAAACAAAATGTTACTGCATAATATGCCAAAATTACCCAAGGGCTGTTACATCAGTGTAGACGACAAATTTACAGAGAAACGACAAGATGTCAAGGCACTACAGGTGGAAAGAAGCTTTGGTCTGAAGCTTCACATCTTCCCTCTTTCTTCGATAAAAACATACTACTGAAATACCTTATGCTATAAAAGTACTGAACAAATACATGCAAAGGTTGCCACAAGATGGCAGCTATCCTGTTTAATGCAGACAATAGAGTATTACTTTTTTAACAGCCAATTTCAAATTTCATTGCGAAATACACTTCAGAGATATTAGTTTGTAACTGTCGAAATTTGTGCTTGTGTGAGTAATTTCATTGATAACTGCAATGTTCAAGTTAATTGTAACACAAACACACAACTTAAAAGTGTTTTACATGTGTTTAACTATGTCTACACACTCTGGCTTTAATACAGATATTATTTGCTCTCTTCATTTTGCTTTTTTGAAATACATGTTCCACTTTTTAACACTATGATTGCCCTGTGTTCTTTGAAGGCCCACCAAGGAAGAGGGCTCGGAAGAGGCCCACGTCCGTAGAGCCGCCTTCAGAGTGGGAGCGGGAGCTGCTGGAGACTCTACGGACCAAAGCAGCCGCACCGCCCCACAACTCAGAAGAACATCAGTTCCTGCTCTCTCTCGTTCCTCTCCTGCAAAGGGTGGCACCAGAGTCAAGAGAATTTGTTAAATTCAAAATGTATCAACTTCTATATGAAAGCAGCACCGTTCTGCTTAATTTGGAACCATTGGCCAGAACAGACAGTTTTTTGACCTAAGGTGACACCTTTTGCAGGGGAGGAAACAGACATGTGTCCCTTTCCTCTTCCACCGCACCTCCTCCAAGCAAGCTCCTTTTCATTTGTTTATATGTACATTTAATTTATTGTTCATTGTTTGTTCCTTTTTTTATAAAGAAAATATTTTTCAAACCTCATGTGTTCTACTTCAAGCCAACCATTACTACCTTTCATATAATACTGACAGAAAATGCTATTCTATATTTGTACATTTACTTTAATAAGAGCTGACTGGGTTTTATAGAAGATGAAATAACTAACACTTAAAGAGCAATACATTAGTTGGCAGTATTTTTTATTCATTTCACCTTTTACTGTTTTAACAAACTTGTAATTACGGAAAAGCTTGAATGTGCATATGATTAACCTGAAGTTGGAGTGGGAGTCGCAGTGGAGTCTGGCAGTCATTACCTAGAAACAGAAGGTATACAGGTGAATAGAATAGTGCAAATCAATATGGGTTTGGACTATGGCCAGAAAAAATGTAAAGAATTTCATATTCAAGAGGCTCAGCACATTATATGTCAGGAATGAAGTTAGGCTCTTTGTATTTTGTGGGTGGCTCTGAAAAGAGCCGTTGTGGGTGGCTCTGAAAAGAGCCGTTGTGGGTCAGTCTTGTGGTGGACATGACTACTCTGTGGGCTGCCACGGCAGTGCTCCCTCCTCACTGAAGTGGGCCATGAACACCTTCCTTATGTCCACTGCTTCTCTGGTCGCGTTGTTGGCGCCCATCCGCTGCACGCCTGGAAGTGGTTCTTCACCGGCAGCAGCTCCCCTCGGTGCAGGAACCTGCCCATCTCCAGCCATCCTCATGAAGTTGTGAAGGACACAAGTGGCCTTCACACACTTCTCCACAACTTCTGGGGAGACTTCCAGGTGACGGCGAAACACTCTCCACTGCGCAGACCAAATCCCAAATGCATCCTCCACCACTAACCGGGCCCGGGAGAGGCGGTAGTTGAAGGTGCGCTGCTCTGGGGTAAGGCCACCACGTCCAGGGAAAGGGCGCATTAAATTGCGGCGCAGTGGAAAGGCCTCATCTGCCACGAACACATGGGGCTGGGGTCCTCTGTGGTCAGCTCCAGGTATGCACTGGTCAGGAGGCAGGTCGAGTGTGCCCTCGCGCAGAGCCTCACCAAAGGCAGAGTTGGCCATGATGCCTCCATCGCTGGATCTGCCGTACCCTCCCACATCAATGACCCTGAACCTGTACTGGGCATCCACTACAGCCAGGAGCACAAGGGAATGGTGCCCCTTGTAATTAAAGAACATGGACCCAGAGTTGGGGGGTGCCTTCACAGCCACATGCTTCCCATCAATGGCCCCACAGCACAGAGGGAAGTTCCATCGGACCTCAAAGTCCTGCGCTATGGACCTCCACTCCTCTGCTCCAGGCACAGCCATGAACTCCTCCACGAGGCAGTCCCAGATGGCTGCCACCACATCTGGGATGAGCATGGAGACGGTGGATATGCCCACTCTGAAGCTCCCCGCAATGGTCCTGTAGGAGTCCCCAGTGGCAAGAAACCTGCAATTACAAAATGATATGAACATATTTATCACAATTACATTCATAAAAATCACGTGACAAAACTTGTGTAGCATAAAATACGTTAAACTAGTAGACAGTAAACATCATAGACAGTAATCATAGACACCAAATTGTTGCATAATACTGTTTTCTGAGCTATTACATTGTGGATTGTGATTGAAAAATGACAAACTTTGTAAGTATTTAGGAATTCCGAATGGGGTAAAAAACACTAACCGCAGACAGATGGACAGGCGCTCTTCAGCTGGAATAGAGCGCCTGTAGTTGGTGTCCTGGTAGGTGATCCTTGCGCCAATGCGGGTCAATAGGTCGTCAAACTGGGCCAGGGAGAGACGAAAGTACCGCTGAAAGCGACCCTCATCCGAGCGCAGCTCCCGGAGCAAATGGTGAAACTCACCAAACTCCAACCGTCTACGGACTATCTGGTGAATCCAGACACGTCGTCGATTCGCCCTTTGACGACGCTGTCTGGCTTTATTTATTAGATAGAGCCAAGCAACTCCTTCGCTGACATCCATTTTGGGAAGCTACAGGCAAAAGAGACAAGCCCCGCCCCTAAACGCTCTCAACGCTCTGTGACAGCGGCTGCCCTCTAGTGTCCTGGCCGCGCGGCCAAGTTTCTCTGTGACAGCGGCTGTCACAATTTGTCACAAGCGGCTCAAGCCGCGCGATATACGCGATTTGGCCGCAGAAATCGCGTTTGGTCTGAACGCACCATAAGAATTACAGACCTTCTATGGTAACAATTTCATAACTTATTTTTATGAATGGTCTTTAATGGTCAACATAGTTTAACCTCAATTATGAGAGCAAATATAATCCATAAAATCACATTTTATGGCAAATTAAAGCAAGTATTGCACCATAATGAGTTTCAAAATGACAGCTCTGGGAGTTTTAGAAATCAGATTTGTGCTTGAGTGTTAAACATATAAACGGATTCTCTTCCAGGACGAGAGAAAAAGAAACAAAACAGTGAAACAGATTTTGATTAAACAGCATCGGACGTGAGAAAGGTCAAACTACTTATGCAAGTGATCTATTCAGATTTATTATTATTCTTTTTCACAAGAAACTAAACGTATACGAATATAAGTTTATACTCTATACCCTTAATTGTTCCGTTTTTAGTTTTATTCAACCCTTGACAACAGATATTGTGATTCCCCTGGACTTACCCTTACCTTTTATATATATTATTTGAATACTGTTTATTATGTCCCTCTTTTATTCATATCTGTGAAACAACACATACTCTTAATAAACTGTGAAAAGAATGATTTGATGCGAGGCTTAAATGACCGAAACGCCTTTGAACTTCTTACATGGTAAATTGTTTACAAAGTTAACAACGTAAAAGAAATATATAATAAAATACAGGTTGTCAATCAAGAGGATTAATTATAAAGCGATTAGCACCTGGTTCTGGGGCAGCCGCTCGGGGAGGTCGCCCCTCAGGTGATAAACTCCCAGGTTAAACATTCCGTCATTGCTTCCATTGGACGCAGCTCGTTCAAAGTATGTGACGGCGGCTTCATGGTCCTTCAGGATGGCCCCATGGTACCAGCCCAGGACGTTCAGGGCACCGACCGAGCCCTGCAGCGGAGGGAGAGAAGGCAGGGCTGCTGTCAGACTGTACAATGAGAACTACTGAGCCTGTACATGTGCAGAACACGTACCATCTCTGCAGCCTTCCTGAGCAGAGCTGCGGCCCTGCTGTAGTTTCTCTTCACTCCGTAACCCTGCACACATCATCATCATCATCATCATCATCATCATCATCATCATCATCATCATCATCATCATCATCATCATCATCATCTGTTTTTGGCTTTTAACTTTTAACACACAATAACAATGTATTATTATTATCATTATTATTATTATTGTCATCATCATCTGAGGCTGTAGATCCAGGACTCCTTAAGAATTGTAAATTACAGTTTTTGAATGATTTTGATCCAGTGAAGTTCTCATGCCTTCATCTTTTTTCATAAATTTCTTCATAAAAAGTTGAAATTCTCGCAAAACTTTCAAATCAGGAAGGAATTATTTCCCTGTAAGAAATGTGCCACTTTATTTATAAAGTCTTAGCTCCAAAAACTTTCTATATTGATTTTTCAACTAACTTTGAGGAGTTTTTATTTTACATTTGGATTGTAGAAAGAGATATAAATAACGATGTGCTTATTATTGAATCATGTTCTGCATCCTGAGTTTCTTCTTTTTTAGTGGTTCTTTGTCGATGCAGAAGGGTCTAAAGACAGAGATGATCCAGGACACTCGACATTCAATGACATTTATGACCAGTGGTCATCCCGCTCCCTGTGGACCAATGGCTCTATGTGTTTCTATCAGTGCATTTCCTGTTTTTGAACTGTTTTATTCTCTGATCTGTGTTGGAGAACCACAACTTTGTAACGTCCGCCGGGATACTGTTGTGATTTTGGACTGTACAAAAATAAACTGAATTGAATGATTGATTGATTGATTGATTGATTTTTTATTCATTAGAGCAGAAATTTTACAATCATAAGTATTTACAATATTTACATTCCTTAGATGATTCTTTATACATACATGTTGCCTGCTGTGCTTACAGTTTATACTTATACATAGAAATATATAAACAAACTATACAATCAAGCAACAATAGTTTCCCTAGTTACACCAGGTGTTATACATCGCAATGTCAATACACAAATGAACCTCTATTTACAATTTGTCAGCTCGAAATGGAGTGGGAAGGAAGTAAAAACTGGTCGACTCCCACCCCATAAACATAATTCAAAAACATGCAAGAATGTTGTTATTTAGCATTGAATAAATAATACCTTAATAATAATTTCTCGTGTTCAGTGCGATTTAATACTTTTATAAAGTTACATCTGTAACAGTGATCACTGTGCCCCAGCAAGGCCCAGCGCCCCAACTCAGGCCAACTCCAGTCACAAGAAGCAGCCGCCACAGCAGTAGACCAATCATGCAGAGGAACAATAGTCCAACGCACAGCAGGCTCCAACTACACCATGAGCAACCACCTCACTGATCATTCATACCATTGTTTTATTCTTTCAAATGAAAAGGCATTTGATTAATTCTACAGTTCCTTTACCTTGGATAGAGCCGATTATCACCACCGTGACTGTCCTAGCTCCACCTTCAGGCAGAAGATACTTTCTTTAATTTTTGTTCTTTTACACATATATATATATTTTTTTTTTCATATTTTATTTTCAATTCATACTCTTTTGTATGTCCAAATGGATTCTAGACAGTGAGGTCATTCCTGATTGCGTGTCCACAGAACGCCACTATGACATGGGTCCACTGCCCCTCCACACCACCAGCCACCACCACAGAAACCACCTCCCGAGACACAGAACCAGCCTAAGAGACTGCGCCAATGCCCACCAAAGCAACACCAATCACTGCTGCACACGTATTTCTACATTTAGTACACCAATATATAAAATATTAAGTGTTCTCTATACAGAAATATAAACATACAAGCAGACATACACATATTATCACATACATAACTACAAATTAAATATTAAATGTTCTCTATACAGACACACACACAACAACATACATATACCTGTTTTCACATACATAACTACATATGTAACCCTGTTATTTTATGTATTTTATTTTAATGGTGATCATGAATGCTCTTATACCCATACTGGTAATACCCAAAACAGTTACTATTGACCCTGTAGTGATTTATTAGTATTTTTCTCTCTCATATTTTGTCCATATCATCTTTTTAAGATGTGATTTGAATTGCTGGATACTTGAGCACTGCTTCAGCTCCTGGCTCAGGCTGTTCCAGAGCTTCACCCCACAGACAGATACACACCAACTCCTCCTTGTGGTCCTGACGGCTGGGAGTTTAAAGTTACTACATCTTCTCAAGTTACGCTCATATTCTTTTTTAATAAATGTCTTTTGAATATTGGCTGGTAGAGTTTGGTTTAGTTGATCTCTATCTAAGTACTGTATCTTTCTATCATTGTATCTACGTATCTATCTGAGTGTGTGTGTACCTTGATGAGGAGTATGGAGTAGTCATACATGGCCTGAGGATCGTCCAGGTTCATGGTGCTCTTCTCCAGCCACTGCGCCGCACTCTCCGGGTCTTTGGAGACGCCGCCCTGTCCCCAGAACAACATGGATCCCAAGAGTTTCTGCACAGAAAGAACCAGGAAGTACCAGGAAGTACCATTACATTAGTCCTGGTCTCAGGTCTCTGCTTATTACAAGTCTCTCCGTGGCCTCGCACCAAAGCACATCAGTGACTTGTTAGTACCATAGGAACCAACTCTGAGGCTGCCAAAATCTGAGACAGTCTTCCTGAAAATGTGAGACAGACTTTTTCTCTGACAGTGTTCAAATCTACTGTAGGTTAAAAACAGTTCTGTTTAGCTGCAACAAATGAATGATTCTATCTTCTCTATCTTTAATGCACTGTGAGGATTTATGATTTTAATTTCTTGTGTGATTGTTTTTATCCTGTGTAGGAAGTGTGTTATACAAATAAAATTCCTTTTTTATCGGACCAGACGGTGACTCAGCAAAGTGCTTCGTGAGTTAATTAAAATGCCGTAATCTCGCTGACGCAGCAGTTTTACAGCTAATAAAGTGTTAGCACTAGCACCTGGCTCTCCGCGTCGCCCCTCTCAGCCTGGTACTTCAGGAAGTCCAGGAGGTCCCTCCCTATCACCGTCCTCTGGGACAGGTCTTCGGTCCGACTCAGATACACAGGCTCCGGGGCGTATTGCTGACAAGAAAACACAAACGAGATAAATGTAAGGACCAAATACATTCACTCTGATTGACTGCTTTTATTATTGCATCTAAGAGTGAGATACATCAGAGAGACCAGAGAGAGAGGGACTAGAAAGAGAGAGAGATAAGAGAAAGAGAGACTAGAGAGAGAGAGACCAGAGAAAGAGAGACCAGAGAGAGACAGACCAGGGAGAGAGAGACCAGAGAAAGAGAGACCAGAGAGAGAGAGACCAGAGAGAGAGAGACCAGAGAGAGAGACCAGAGAAAGAGAGACCAGAGAGAGACCAGAGAAAGAGAGAGTGAGAGATAGAGAAGTTTGGAAAAAAGTTAGGGTTAGGGTTATTAGTTTTTAGTTAGTAATTTGAAAAGCCCAGTACAACATTTCCGTTTTTTCAAATCTCCCTTGTCTTTTTACAAGTTCTGTTTCATGTTTTAGCAAAGGACAGGATGCAGAGTCCACACTGTTGCATGTCGCTGAGAAAAAAATAAGTTTTTCCTTTAAGTTGTAGGAGAACAGCACGTTCATCAGATTTACATTTACAACCTCATTCCGGAAACAGTCTTTCACACACACAGGCAAACAAAAAGACACACACACACACACACACACTCACACACACCGGCACACAAACACACTGACACACAATCCAATGTTTAAACAAAAGTAAAATGTAGTGAACAAAACACAACACATTCTGTCTTCTGCATAAGAAAGAGGAGTCATTATAGGGACAATTAAGCTCCTCCCACTCCCCATGGACCGATATAAGATGTTCATTATGTTTTTATGTTTGAAGTCACCTCTGACGAAGGCAGAAGTCTCCCGCCAAAACACGTGGTAATGAAGCAGTACGAGCTTTATTTATTGCTAGAAGAACCTTCAAAGCTGCTCCCAGTGGACCAATGTCTCCTATGTGTTTATTATGGTACTGTATGTATGTATTTCCTGTGATTCTCCGATCTGTTGTTGGAAAATCCACAACTTTTTAAAGTCCTCTGAGACAACTGCTGTTGTGATTTAGGGCAATACACAAATAGATTGAATTCAATATTTGATGCTTTGGAATCAGAGCTGACTGGGGCTGGTCCTCTCTTTTCCACTTTTCAGTCTGAAAAACTGATCTAAAGAAAGATCTGACCTAAGCATGTGTCCCAATACTTACTAAAATACTAAAATAATATGTCCATGAAGTCACCTAAAAAAGAAGTCCCACGTACCATAGTATGTCCCTGCACTTCCTTGTGTCGGCTTTATCTGCACTGTTCACATAAAGAAACCAGGAATCAGGAATGAGCAAAGTCATAAGCGCCGGAGCTCAGCAGCTGATGGAGCCGTGACTACAGTTCCTCCTGGGGAATGCTATCTCAATAAAATCCACACATTGTTCACATCATTATATAAACCGCAGGGTTCAAAGATCATGGAGAAAAACGGTGCGTTTGTCTAATTAGATAAAGAAAAGTCCTCGGCTTCACTTTTCCTGCCTGCAAAGCTAACACACACAGAATAATCAATAACATTTCATTCATATCTCATTCACCTCTGGCTCCTGAATCTCTTTATCTGCGATTAGAACCAAATCAATATGTGTTAGATAAATGTGAAGAGATAAAAGCGGCTCATAACAAAATCATTCGACTTTTACAGAGTCTGAACTGAAGGACGTTTATTTCCACATCTGAGTTTTTGTAGTATTTGCTTTGAGTCTGAGAACGACCCCGATTCAGAATATGTATGAACAATGAAATGTGACAGTTTGATTCTGTGATAAATATTAAAGGTTCATCAAAGCATGAGCCACAGGGAGAGGGTTTAGTTGCAAGGACGAGAACTTTTAGAATACTTACTCAGCGTATGAACCTTTTGGGTGACTATGAGTGAATTTATGGCTCAAAAGCTTTGCAGAAATATCTCAGATTCTGTATGTATACATACTTAAAATAAGAAACAACATATTTGCAAAAAGGTTTCTGTGTCTATGTTTCTTCACAACCTCTGTCTTGTTTGGGTGGATTGAATGTATGTTTATGCAGCCCTAAATCACAACAGTAGTTATCTTGGAGGACTTTGTGGATTCCCAAACACAGATCAGAGAATCAAACAGTTCAAACACAAGAAATGCAATGATACACAACACAAAGCCATTGTTCATATGGGGCAGATGACCAATGTCCATAAATTAAGTCCATACATTTTCATTGAATGTGGAGTGTCCTGGATCAGATACTCAAAAAGCCCTGTGGTTAAAGGGAGAAACCTCAGGGAGACGGACAGGCTGTAAATCCAGGACTAAAGCTGTAGATCCAGGACTGAAGCTGTAGATCCAGGACTGAGGTTATAAACCTAGGACTGAGGCTGTAGATCCAGGACTGAGGCTGTAGACCCAGGACTGAGGCTTTAGATTCAGGATTGAGACTGTAGATCCAGGACTGAGGCTGTAGATCCACGTTTATCATGTATTCTGGTGTAAGCTAAAACATTCACATCAATAGCTCTCGTTCAGTAAATGTATTTTGTGGATGCTACATTTCGCACCTGCTGTCTCACCTTCCTCTGATGCATTTTGCCCAGGTCAATATTGCTTTGAGCTCCGATGTTGGAGTAGTAGCTATAGGCCACATCCATGTCTTTGGGAAATCCGTCAATTCCTTGCGAATGCTTGTACCCAGCATGCATCAGGGCAAAACGGTCATCTCCTAGAGCTCCAATCAAACTGTACATATGCCCCTGCACACATATAACACAACCAATCAATGCATTCCGTCTTTTTTCCATTTTAAATCCACCCAAACTGCATCGACTGTACCTTGGCCTGATGGAGGGCCTGTCCCAGAGCGGAGAGGTGGATAGAGGCCAAGAGCAGAGACGCTTTGTGGTTCCTAAAGCAGGAGGCAGAGCGCAGGAGGGCCCTTGATTTCTCCGTCTTATTAATCTCCACCTGGTCCTTGGTAAACATCGCTGCAGCCCCCGCGTCGAACAAGGCACTCCTGAGATACTCCATGCTCAAATTTCCTGCCGAAAAGATGAAACAATTTCTTCAAAACCCTCACTCACCGGCATTCGTCACTTGACTGCAAAGATACGACTGTGCTTGAGATGCTGCAGGCAGAATATGTGAATTCTGGGGCTTGGTGTGAATGATAACGACAAGATAGAATTATGGGCAATGATAGCTGTTCGAATCAGCCACATAACACAAAACACAAGAAAAGAAAATTGGTGAACAAAGGGTAGACAATAATCAGAGGTGGGAGCTGAGGAGCGAGGCAAGACAAGGCAATAGAGTCTTGAGATTATTGACTCAAAATCCATGAAACATCTATTAAAACATGGGCATAATGTGGTCAAAGTCACTCCCCCCTAAAGTGGTCTGGCTTTTCAAAGTCTGCGGTAATGGGGCCCGTACATTGAAAGCAGGGGCCCCCTTTTGGATGTTACTTATGGTAAAAGTGGAAAGCCGCAGTGGATGTCGTAGAGCCACCAATATGCACTTTTTAAACTACTTTTTATCGGAAAGAGGTTTGCGACTACTTTCACGGCACACTTCTTCACTGTGATGACTTCTACTACTGCGCAAAGTAACATTCGCTTTTACTTTGGAAATTGCAAGAAAATTGGGATCAAAGTGTGCAATATTGGTCTAAAATGCAATCTTTTTAAATACTTTTTTTTCTTATCTGAAAGAATTATGCGACTTCTTTCACTGCTTACTTGTTCACTGTGATGCCATCTACTGTGTACAAGGGGAGCAATTATATATTTTGGCCTGGGGCGCCTGATGGCACTAGGGCCTCGCTCAGGAGTCGTAGTCTCCAGATGTTGATGCTCGGCTTGGTCCGGACCAGAGCTGGAGGATATTTTGCCTATTGTACATGTTTTTAGTAGTAGGGGAAACTGGAGCACCTGGAGGAAACACCACTCAGATAGACCCTATCTGGAGGTAGAATAGAACCCAAAACCTTCTTGCTGAGAAGAGACAGTGCTTAAGTGCTGCCCTGAATATCTTTAATACCCATAGTATACCTCTATACATATTCCATTCAATCTCCCTAAATCACAACAGTGGTTATCTCAGAAGACTTTAAAAAGCTGTGAATTTGCCAACACAGATTAGAGAATTAAAAAGTTCAAGCACAAGAATACAATGATAAAAAACACATAGAACCATTGGTCCATAAACAAATCTAGACCGACAAAACAGCATGAGTTTGAACTTATTTTTGTTGCAGTTTCAGAGTGTGGACCATTAACCGACCTTTCTGAATCTGCTCGTGACTCGTTTGTAGAAAGCCGAATAATGCAGAGTGTTTTTCCTGCGCCTCCCAGCTCCAGCTCTGTTTGCATGTTCTCTCTTCAAACTGATGAAAGTACGACACACAGACACCTGCAACAAAGCGTGAAATTCAACTGTCACCAGCCACAAATATAACAGGTGTGATAGTTTTTAACACCAGGACTCCCAGGATGGTTATAGGACAGTGATTATTTATGATGTTAATGCCTCGTGGGATTGTTTCTATTTTTTTTTTCTGCAGCACTTTCAGTTGAACGGCGCTATACAAATAAACTTTCCAAAGCGGACATTTTGACTGCTCAAATCAAACCGATGGAATTATGAGAAATTCTCCAAAAAGTGGTGAGTAGTATTAAAGTAGCAGTATGTAATATTTGCATGTCAAGTCATCATTAAATGGCCCCAATATTTCAAAAGGCGTTATTAAATCATGCTCTTTTTGAATACATCTTTAACTGATAACAGTAGTTCAGCCGAGATATTTGAAAATCAAAATTAGTTTTACAACCCGTAAAAGTTGTTATTGTTTTCATTTTGGCGGCCTGCCCTCCGCCGTTTCGCAAATCAGGAAGTGTCATGTAAGTCCGTGATCGGGTGATGGTGTTGCCAAAACTCCGCGCGGCTAGCTAATCCCTCTGCTTAAATAACTTGTGGCCGCAAAACTAAAAAAGGTCTTGTTATGACTCTCAAATCATTCATGACAAAACAAAGACTAAAACAAGGATATTGGGACGCCTTTGAAAAATTGAGACAGCGGATAAAACTTTTTGTGTGATGCAAAACTTGCTGCTTTGAATAATTTCCTCATCCATAACCTTCAGTTGTGTGTGACGATGGTGTAGTAGTTAGCCGTTGCGCTTGCATCCCGGCGACCCGGGTTCGAGACAGAGTCGAGTCTATTCGAATTTAATTGCATAATATCACACTTTCTGACAGATCGCTCATAAAATGGTCAGAAACTAAGATTATAATGTTTTTTGCAGATTATAGCTTAATTATAAAAATAATAATTTGAGACTCTTTTTGATGTGGGACTTATACATGTCTAAAAAATAGGGAATAAATCAAATTGAAGGGTGATGTCCTCTGGAGGAAACCCTGATGTTGATACGCTGAAGAATTACAGTGCCTTGCGAAAGTATTCGGCCCCCTTGAACCTTTCAACATTTCGCCACATTACAGGCTTCAAACATAAAGATATACAATATTAATTTTTTGTCATGAATCAACAACAAGTGGGACACAATCATGAAGTGGAACAACATTTATTGGATATTTTATACTTTTTTAACAAATAAAAAACTGAAAAGTGGGGCGTGCAATATTATTCTGCCCCTTTACTTTCAGTGCAGCAAACTCAGTCCAGAAGTTCAGTGAGGATCTTTGAATGATCCAATGTTGTCCTAAATGACTGATGATGATAAATAGAATGCACCTGTGTGTAATCAAGTCTCTGTATAAATGCACCTGCTCTTTGATAGTCTCAGGGTTCTGTTTAAAGCGCAGAGAGAACCATGAAGACAAAGGAAAACACCAGGCAGGTCCGAGATACTGTTGTTGAGAAGTTTAAAGCCGGATTTGGATACAAAAAGATTTCCCAAGCTTTAAACGTCTCAAGGAGCACTGTGCAAGCAATTATATTGAAATGGAAAGAGTATCAGACCACTGCAAATCTACCAAGACCCGGCCGTCCCTCCAAACTTTCATCTCAAACAAGGAGAAGACTGATCAGAGATGCAGACAAGAGGCCCATGATCACTCTGGATGAACTGCAGATAACTACAGCTGAGGTGGGAGAGTCTGTCCATAGGACAACAATCAGTTGTGCACTGCACAAATCTGGCCTTTATGGAAGAGTGGCAAGAAGAAAGCCATTTCTCAAAGATATCCATAAAAAGTCTCGTTTAAAGTTTGCCACAAGCCACCTGGGAGACACACCAAACATGTGGAAGAAGGTGCTCTGGTCAGATGAAACCAAAATCGAACTTTTTGGCCACAATGCAAAACGATATGTTTGGCGTAAAAGCAACACAGCTCATCACCCTGAACACACCATCCCCACTGTCAAACATGGTGGTGGCAACATCATGGTTTGGGCCTGCTTTTCTTCAGCAGGGACAGGGAAGATGGCTAAAATTGATGGGAAGATGGAGGGAGCCAAATACAGGACCATTCTGGAAGAAAACCTGTTGGAGTCTGCAAAAGACCTGAGACTGGGACGGAGATTTATCTTCCAACAGGACAATGATCCAAAACATAAAGCCAAATCTACAATGGAATGGTTCACAAATAAACGTATCCAGGTGTTAGAATGGCCAAGTCAAAGTCCAGACCTGAATCCAATCGAGAATCTGTGGAAAGAGCTGAAGACTGCTGTTCACAAACGCTCTCCATCCAACCTCACTGAGCTCGAGCTGTTTTGCAAGGAAGAATGGGCAAGAATTCCAGTCTCTCGATGTGCAAAACTGATAGACATACCCCAAGCGACTTGCAGCTGTAATTGCAGCAAAAGGTGGCGCTACAAAGTATTAGCGCAAGGGGGCCGAATAATATTGCACGCCCCACTTTTCAGTTTTTTATTTGTTAAAAAAGTTTAAATTATCCAATAAATTTCGTTAAACTTGTGTCCCACTTGTTGTTGATTCTTGACAAAAAATTTAATTTTTATATCTTTATGTTTGAAGCCTGAAATGTGGCGAAATGTTGAAAGGTTCAAGGGGGCCGAATACTTTCGCAAGGCACTGTATGTTCCAACATCCATTCTTCCCACTCCTATTTTGGACATCAATTGCTTTTTTATTTTGCATAATCTATGTATAATTACACTGCTTTTATTTTGTTTTTGGTTTTTATCTCAAATGTCCAAATAATACAAATAAAAAACATTAATCAAAACATTTATTCAACATTAGCACGGCTATCATGTGAATGGAGACAGACAAACAACTGATAAAATGATTCCCTGTGTTTGCTGCTGGATTTGGTGTGTATCTGGCAACCTGAGTCAGGGAGAGTGGGAGAGGACTACAAAATATTGACTGTGACTGCAGTACCACTTTTGGCCAGATTTTTACATATTGCTCCTTTAAAAGTAATTTAGTATAAAACTGTTGCATACAAATAAACAGTTTACCGCAGTTTCCAATCACCCAGAAATGGCTGCATTTGAATTAAAGGTTAAAGGTTGAGCTTAAGACAAAAGATGATTTTGTTAAAATAATTACATAGACATAAAGTACAAGAAACAGAACAGAACGGAAGTCAAAACTTTCCGGAGACCAGAAATGTACATGAGTAAAACTAAAAGTTCTTTGAGTTCTAGTGAAATGTGTGGATGTTGCACCTCGGTTTGTTGCTGATGAGACATGACTGACTTTGACTTCGTGCAGATAATCGACAGCGATGATTTTTAACTCTTCACATTCAGCGTGAAAGTCACTCAGGTCTTTGAACAAGGCTTTGTGCGGACGTTCATGAACAATCTGCAACAAAAAATACATTGTTTTTAGGTTTTTTTTTTTACTAACACATCCTTTGGAATGACATGGTTGACCCCCAGCTTCTCAGTTCTGCTGGCACAGTGGAAAGCTTGACACTTGTGGCTTAGGGGTTGCCGATTGGCCTGTACAGAGTTTAAGGAGATAGGAGCATTGTGCTGGTACTATAACCTTCCTCTGGACCACTGGAGGAAGGGGTCAGACGGCAGGATAGGGTCCCAACAGCTTGTTCCACCATTAGCTGCCCCGCAGAGTTTGGGGCAGTCTGAGACTGCTAAGTCCAGTCAACCACTTCTGCTTCGTAGGCAGGTGCCTGAGCTGGTACAACACTGTGCTTCTATGGTGCATGCAGGGTCAGTTTTGAACTGTCACCCCTCTTGGCCATAACTGGGGGAGATGTCTCAGATGCCCAACAGGATAACCATTCCCTGCTGCCTTTTAGTGTCCTGCACCGGGACATGATAGATGCAGTTTAACGTCATACCCAGGTCTGTAGTTTGTAACCAATTCCGGATAAAGGTTTGTTTTTTCAGAAGAAGCTTGATTACCACGGTTTTAAAAACTTGAGGGACAAAGCCACTTTGTATCTTTTTATTATTAATGAAGTGAAGAAAATCAACACTGCTCAGTGAGATTGGTATTTTATTCTCAATTGCACTATCTACTATTGTTTTAATTTGCTTTAATTTAAGTTGAATAATATGGAGTTTGAGCCCTGCAAAGGGCATTCTTTTAGTTTCTGAGATCTGTTCTCCGAGTGGGAGTGGGGACTTAGTTTCTCCAGTTATCTAACGTTCTGGTATGCAACTGGATATTATACCACAGCGACGATGATTTAATCCTAATAGTTCTCTATTTTATAAGAGCTGCTGCATTTAATGCAGATTTTAAAGACTTCATAGTGTTGTCCACACTATGGTTGATGACCGAGGGAGCAGGTTCCCTGAAATTGTATTTAAATTGGTTGAACTAGATCAGTGTCTCCCAAAGTGGGGTCCGCGGCCCCCTGGTGGGCCGCGAGGGTACTGCAGGGGGGCCGCGGGAGGTCATAAAAAATATATATATATATATATAATTATTTAATGTTAAATTTATAACGTTTTGTTTGTAATATTAAAATATTTGTGGTCATTATTTGTCTTGAATAATCCACTGTAATCATTTTTATATTACAATGTTTGTAGCAGAGGCTATTTCCCCAAAATAAAATAACCAGAAGAGCCTATTCTTAATGTTGTCTTCTTGGTTATTATTTTGGGGGGCCACGTAGACCCGTCAGATTTTTAAGGGGGCCTCGGTGTTACTGAGTTTGGGAATGGCTGAACTAGATAGTTGAAAATTGTGATTTCTCATCCATCCATCCATTATTCTCCGCTTTATCCATATCCTCCACGGGGGCAGCAGTCTAACCAGAGATGCCCAGACTTCCCTGTCCACACACACTTCCTCCAGCTTGTCCGGGGGGACCCCAAGGCTAGCTGAGAGACCAAATCTCTCCAGCTTGTTCTGGGTCTTCATCGGGGGCTCCTCCTGATGGAACATGCCCGGAACACCTCCCACATGCCCTTGTTCACCGGGGAGAACCCCAACACATGGACAATGAGTATGGCTACCCCCGCGAGAAACACCAGACAAGTGGAGCATCCAAACTTTCTCAAGAAGTTGGGTTCCAGAGCCCAAGCTGTGTGTGGAGGTGAGGCCGATTATCTCCAGTAGGTATCTCTCAACTTCCCCCACGAGCTTGAGCTCTTCCCCCCCCCCCCCCCCCCAGTGAGGTGACGTTCCACGTCCCAACAGCCAGATGGTGTGTGTGTGGACTGGGTCGCCGAGGTCACCGCCTTCGACTGCCGCCCAGTCCTCTCTGCACCATCCCACCATGGATCCCTCTATGGGTGGTGGGTCCACAGGAGGGCTTGTCCATGTCGTCCCTTCGGACTAAGCTGGGCAACTTTTTCATTTAAGGTTCTTTTCATTATGGTTTCATCCTGCAGCGCAAGAACGTATTTTAGAGGGAGAACGTGATTAAGAAATTATAAGATAGTAATGGATTTTGACGCAGAACGTTAATATTGGAACATCACTACTGTAAGTAAGCACAATGTCCAGAGTGGTTCTGAATGAGAGTCGGTTCCTCATCATTCTGAGTAAAACCAACACCGTCCAATACGTCGCTAACCCTAACCCTTTGTTTAGACCAGGGGTGTCAAACTCATATTGGTCTGGAGGCCAAATACAACCTAATTGGATCCCAACTGGGCCGAACCAGAAGATTCCCCACAAAAAAACCCAAAAATAGTACAAACAGACTGCTGTTTCCTCAGGGCCTGACACGTTTATCTTCTGTCTTCTCAATTCTCCGCTCAAAGTTCTGTATTTCTCGCCAAATATCATAGTTTGAGATCATATTCCTTCAGCACAGCCACTTGTTGCATGACACCAAGCACCAGTGTTTCATTCACCTCCACAAACAATAATTTTGCCTTTCTGACAGAGAATGTGGTTCAATAAACCACATTTGACAACCCTATTTTTAGAACTATTTGTCTATCTGAACTTTTATTAAATTATTGTGTCTGATACACATACAGTTTCAAGCGTACAAGCGGACTCGGAGACCAGACTGTCACGTGGAGCGCAAAACAAGGAGACCCAAAATGCAAAACTGTAAAAAATAATGGATTTAATAAAAAGCAGTACAAATCAAGATCTAACAAAAGCACCACAAAAAGTAACCAAACCGGGAACAAGGGCAAGAACGGAAACAGACAAGGAATGACAATGACGGAACAGGGACTGAAGAAACACATGAGGCTAAATTACAAGACTACCGAGACACAGGTGATACACATGAGGGCAGGGCAGACAACAGGAAGTACAACCAAAGCAGACGGGGATTTAGCAAACTGCAAAATAAAACAGGAAATAAACCTAAACCATGACAGAGACAAACAACTGACACCCAAGCCTCAGCTACAATACAGCCGAGTCAAAGAGTGTGCAGTTTTATTATAGTTTGTTGTAGACTAATATGTAGATTAAAGTCTATCTTATCTTATCTTATCTTATCAGTAGAGAGCAGTGAAGTATTCAGTCAAAATACACTCACTGGATACGAACACTTACATTTTCCCTCCGACAGCTGACCCAACAATTGAATTGTTGAAGAAACCATTAAAGGGTTAAACATAGGAGAAAAAGATATCTTAAATTAGGGTCTAAAAGTGTCTAAATGACCAAGGGCTGGTCAAGTTAGAAAAAATCCTCAACATTCATCTCCAAAAAAATATATATTTTGGGTATTTTTGCATCGATGTAGAGCAATTTGACCCAAGGATAGAGCAAGGGTTACATTTCCCAGACAATCACTGCCCTTAGACCCAGCTGCATCCGAGAAGAACCACTCCAAAAACAGTGGGAAAAAAGTGAGAAACATCTGGAGGCCTTTTTAGAGAAGGTAGGACTGTTAATTTCTGCAGTGATCATTTTTGTATTGTGACCGTTTTGATGCAACCAAACTGCATTATTTGTCTGGTTCACACAAACCCCCTCTCCCTCAAACAGAGAGACAGTTTTATTGCTACCATTTGCTTCCGTGAAATCCACAAATCGTCCATATTGTCTCTCCCTCTACGTCTAAAGAGCCATGAAAATGAAATACTCTGTCATTCAGCTCAACGGTCTGCGCTCATGATTCTGTCGCATTCTTCACGTTACCTTCTTTGTGCCAAATCTGTAGTATTTCACGGAGCCGTAATATCCTCGTATCCCTGGGATGTATCGAGTCCCTCCGATGACAAAGTGGCCGTCAGTGTCATCCAAATATATGTTATTCTGAAACCTGTGGAAAACAAACATACAAAAGTGGTTTGAGAAACGTTTGCATGTCATTCAGGGTTGCAGACAGTCGTGATGCACGCGGTTTGGATTTATGTTAAAACTTTAAGAAATGAAATCTCTGTGGGCATATTGCAAACTACTTCAGCAGCAATAACAAAGAAGTTTGGTTATTTGCACAGAAAAATAATTTATCTGGATTTGAGTCTATTTTGGATGTCTAAATGTTGCAACAAGAAGAAAAGGAAAAAGGGATGAACTATATCAGAATCATTTTTATTGCCAAGTAAGTAACAGGAAGTCAGAGATTAGGAAATAGCTTTGACTCGGTGCAAACAAGTCAAATTTAGAGTCTAGAATAAGGCATATAAAAAATCTACACACATTACTAAAATATAAACATTAAAATTATAACAATCATTACTATGAACATCTGCGCTCGGTGCACACAGTAGACATTAAGCAGTGCAGTAAGGTGACGGCAGTAGAGTGGCTTTATAAAGGGCAGTGAAGTGACGTTATCCCCTGAGGGAGCAGTTTGAACTTTTACCCTCAGGACGACGCTATAGGGCTCTTGGGTGTTGGACAAAACGGTTGGGAACTACATTTATTCCAACAGCTGTGAAGCACCTTAACAGCACACAGCTCTTGTACAAACCTTTGAACTTTACAGCATATTTGCATTGAAAATTATCTTTGTGATAATCTGTCTTGTTCCTGTTTTCTTCAATGTTTGGGATCTTACTGTGTATGCCTGTTTTTAGATGATTGCTGCTGCAAAACCAATTTCCCCCAGTTGGACAATGATGAAAACTTGAACTTGAACTTATAAAGGGCGGTAAAGGGACTTTATAAAGGGCAGGGGGACAGGATTTTGAAGTGTTCAAGAGTCTAACAGCAGAGGGGAAGAAACTGTTCTTATGGCGGGAGGTTCTGATCCAAAGGGACTGTAGCCTCCTGCCTGAGGGGAGAGGTTGGAACAGTCCATGTGCGGGTGAGAGGGGTCAGCAGTGATACAACCAGCCCGTATAGGTCTTGCAGTGATGGGAGGCTATTACAGGTTCTATTGGTCAAACTTATTCCAAGTCAAATATATACACACATTTGTACACTTTAAAGCCTCAAAAACCCATTCTTTCTTTTAAATATTATTATTATTATTATTATTATTGTATTATTGTTCTGAGGTTTTCAATAACTCAAAGTACTGAAACTGCAAACATTAATGTTGCATAAAAAATAAAAAAATGTTTAAAATACATAAACAAATTTTATGTAACGGTAATGTTTTCAATCATCTCTGGTACATAACATTTCATTCCACTGAAAGACTTGTTAGACTTGTTATTTCAGTCTCTTCACTCAATAGTATACAAAGCACAAACAAAGCATAAACAAATGACTGAAAGGGTCATGAATTTTCTTTTGAATGCTTTCACTGATGTGGCATGGTGTCTGCTTGTCCTGTTTTGAGTTTTCCCGAGAATTTAAAGAGCTCATTATTTCACACCAAGTTGTCAGAATTCAGTAACAAAACCATAGACAGTATATTAGGAGTGGAACGAGTGGCATAAGCTAGTTTGAGCCAATTTCCTTAAATGAGCATTTGTTCCGAGGCTTTGCACCGTAACAGGAGCAGATGTGTTGCTATGGTATGATGGAGTTTTGCCTGATTGGTCAGTCCTTATATGGCTCATATCTGGTTTTAGACAAGATCACAATAAACACCAGTATCACAGAGAGCGATAAACCACAGATTTAAGCCCAACATAGTGAGTGTGACACAAACAGTTAATGAGCTCGAGGAGTTTACTTTTACACATAAGTCAAAAGGAGCCAGCAAGCAAAACCTTTCCCTGTCAGACTGTATAACGAACAATGATGGGCGGCACAGTGGCTGAGTGGATAGCACCCCTGCTTCTCAGCAAGAAGGTCCTGGTTTTGAATCTCGGTCGGATAGGCGCCTTTCTGAGTGGAGTTTGTATGTTCTCCCTGTGTCTGTGTAGGTTTCCTCCGGGTGCTCAAGGTTTCCCCTACCACTAAAAATATGCACAACAGGTCTGGCCTGCGCCTCCTGTACTGGCGACCTCACTCCCATCTCTGTGTGGAGTGAGAGACAAATACCCAAAAACGATTGTAAAGCGCTTTGTGACTCTGGTCTGTGAAAGTCGCTATAATATAGATAAAGATTACTTACTTACTTAATTAATGAGGACAAGATAGAGATGTTATACTTGCTTCTTTATTATGCCAAAGCTAGAGATTTCATACTTGTTTCTTTCATTCATTCATTCATTTTCATCCCTTTGTTATCCATTTCTGGGTCAGGGGGGTGGCAATCACAGCTGCCACCCAATTCACAAAGCACCAGTCCCTCGCTGGTCCTCCTGCAGGGAGTGGGTCCACAGGAAGATGGCTGTTCCTTCAACGCAGATACGGCCTCGGTCTTTCAGCGGGGACTTCAGGCAAAGTGGGGTTAAGTGTCTACCAACTGAGCCACTGTCCCCCCTTACTTGCTTCTTCATTTTGCTACAAAATGTTTGCTCCTCATTCCTACTGCTCTGTATACGGCGATGCAACACTGATATTTCCCCACTGTGGGACGAAAAAAGAATCTCTTCATCTTAATCTTAATATTCCCTATTGGGCATCGTTGAGCTAGCGGGTTAGCATTGTCCATCTTTATACAGTCTGTGGTGTGGGTGGTGTGAGACCAGAGACCAGAGCGAGACAAGAGAGAGACCAGAGAGAAAGTGACCAGAGGGAGAGACCAGAGAGAGACCAGAGAGAAAGTGACCAGAGGGAGGGACCAGAGGGAGACCAGAGAGAGACCAGAGAGAGACCAGAGAGAAAGCGACCAGAGAAAGAGACCAGAGAGAGAGACCTGAGCGAGAGACCAGAGGGAGAGACAAGAAAGAGGCCAATGAGAAAGACCGGAGAGAGACCAGAGGGAGAGACCAGGGAGATTGACCAGAGAGTAAGACTGGAGAGAGAACCTAAGGAGAGAGAGATCAGAAAGAGAGACCAGAGAGAGACTAGTGAGAGAGAGACCAGACAAACATATAATACAAAAGTCTCTTACTTGTACTTTGAGACTTGGCGCCGTCCGTCCCACGTTAGCACCAGCTGCACCTGAACCAGGGGAGACGCAGAAGAACCTGGTGAGCCGTGAACAAACCCAAATTGCAGAACAGTTTGCGATCGCCTGGAGTTCGCCAGCTGGAGACGACCATTGTTCTGATCTCACAACTGCTGCAGGAGGAAATTAGACACCCAGAAAAAGCAGGACGGAGATGCCACAAGCTGTGTTCCGATTCTCACACCTTTCTACAGAGAGAGTTTGGAAACCATGGATCAGAGCATCAGCAAACGGATCAGTGAAGCAGAACCAGAAATCCACAAAGCAACGGAGCAGATGCAACATTAGCATTGGACTCTGAACCGGAGAAATGTACGTAATTACAGATGTAGCACTTTTGACTGACACTGATTTTTCAACTACTATTTTCTTGGGGTTAGAATGATGTGTTATATTGATGTATGTAAATTAGGGGTGGGAACCTCAGGGTACCTCACGATTCGATACGCGATACAAAGCTCACAATAACGATTATATCACAATATGACGATTATCGATATATTGGTCAGAAATATACTGTTATAGAAATCTTTTAGTAAAGCAATCTGAATAAACGTGAAATAGTTATAAGTGTAAGTTATTAACTAATTCTCAACTTTGGATTCAAATACAGCACATATTGGCATAAATAAAAGAAAAATGTTAAGTGAAAAAATACACTTTATTTCATGATAAATGGAATGGAGATGAGTAATGTAGCCATATATTAAGTATTGATACAAATAAAAAAATATATGAAAAAATAATAAAAGATTTGTTTTTTTTTAATCGACACTTGGCAAAAGCATATCAATAATCCATCGCGTGAGAAAGTATCACGATACATCACAATATCGATATATCGTTACACTCCTAATGTAAATGTGTGTGTTGTGCAGGTTTTAAATAGATAATCTTCACAGTAAGAATATCTTGGGTTCGATTCTACCCCCAGAACTTTCTGTGTGGTGTTTGCATATTCTCCCCGTGTCTGCGTAGGTTTCCTCCAGCCGCTCCGGTTTCCCCTTTGACTATAAACATGTACTGTACAATAGATCTCGCACACCACAGACCTGCTTCATCTCTGTGCGGAGTAAAGGATCTCTTCATCTTATTATAACATACAGTTCTTTTAATTGAATTTTTTATTTCTAACTGTAAACTGTTCCCAATGTGTCACTGTCCTTGATAGGTTCGCCCCCAGGCTTCAACTCAACACATCTGTCATTTTCTTTCAGTTTCCTTTCCCCTACAAAAGCGCAAGTTCTCATTTTGGCAAAAAAAGAGTTTCAATTTGATCCTGAAGAACTTGTCTATTCGATTCCACCTCCAGGCATTGCTGTGTGGAGTTTGCATGTTCTAGTTTTCCATATACCACTAAAACATTATACAAAACTACCGCCCCTTTTCTCTGGGGACAGGCTAGACTTTCCTGAGTATTTACATTTCTTGGTTAAATAAAGATCAAGAAATAGAATAGTCTTGTCTATTACAAAAGCCCCGTTTAAGAGCCTATTAAGAGCCTTTGTGTCACATCGAGTAAACACTTTGCAAGCTGTCTTGAGAATTTTTTTTAAGTTTATATGTTGCTTGAATAATTAAAAAAAATGCTGCGATTTATTGTCCAGTGTTGTATGCAGCGCGGTATGTTTCATCTCGTTGCTGTGGAAACATTGGTATGACTGCTTCTTGAAAGTTCAGAGGTTTTTATTGTCTGTTTGGTTTTTTCTTTTCTGTGCTTGTGAAATAAAGTTATCTATCTCTCTATCTATCTATATTTTAATTTTCAAACTTCTTGTGCTGAGTTTCCGGTCTGTGTTTGTTATTACAAAAGTGTCTTGTCTATCTTTTTCATTTTGGAGATCCATGTTCATCGTTCCCTATTGCTTCACGAAACATAACTGTGGCTTCCGATCCTCCTCCGCTGTGGTCCGTACCTCCGCAGAGTCCAGGAAGAGGTCCAGCCGGGTCCAGGTCCTCAGGGGGAGCGCAATGTTTGTACGGAAAGCCTCGTCCCCTCCTTCTGTCAGATGTGTTTGGAGGACGATGTCTCCTGCGGCAGAGGGACGACAGCATGTATGAAACACCAGGAGGATCCCACTCTTTACTAAATCATAAATCCTTCTGTTCAGTGACACACAGACGCATCATCGGTCTACATCACCTCCTCATCGTGGACCACCAGAGCCTCAGAGATGGAGAGAACACAGATATGCTGTCAACGGAAAGAAATTAAAGCTAGCTTAAATCGCTAGCTTCATGCTCTGTGCAGAGATTTCAGTCCTGTTTTGAACATTATTCTTACATTTGCGTCTGGATTTTTGCGCCTTGTTTTATGGCAATCCACACAAAATTGTTGCAAGATGTTCTCAAATTGAGTTGGTTTAGATCAGGGGTCTCAAAGTCAATCTATGATGAGGTTGGGTATGGGTGTTTATGTGTGTGTGTAGAATATATGAACTTTGAAGCAAACCGATCCATGCACATGCAGAGAGAATCCAACACTAAAACTGCACACGCTGTTTCACTTTGCACACACAGTTCAGTTCCTGGATAAATATCAACCATTTCAAACTGTGCATTCTCATTCTGGGTTTAATAACGTTTACTTTGAGTTATTGCTTGTTGCAATCAGGGTTCAATGTTCATGGTCAAATAAATGCTGTGGTTGTTTTCATGATAAAAACAGATTGGCACAGACCCTCAGCAGGAATAATAAAGTTAAATATCCTCTAGGGGCCACCCCAATCAGAGAAAAAATAATATATCTAATTTAATTCCATCTGGGAAACCTCAAAAAAGGTATAAAATAAGAGTCTGCTGCCACTTAGACCCACTGTTGCTGCTCACCTTTGTCTGAGAGCTGGATGAGAGGGGAGTCGTAGAGCTGCTCTGTGTTGATGTGATGGAACACAGAGCAGCGGTGCTGAGAACAGTGCTGCAGGAGGTAAATCCACATGGACAGAGACGCACTGTTCAACACACCATTATTATTATTATTATTATAGTTATTATACTGTAGTTACTGTAGGTCTCTGTAGATTCACACAGACAGAAACACTCTGGGAGAAGGAAAGGCTGTTCTATAGTTTGACCCACAAACAGAAATACAATATTTTTTGCTAGAAACACGTGGATACATTCTTACGCACTAAAGAAGGATACGGTCATGACATCATTTGTGTTATTACAAAGGAATAACGACACAGACTGCTTCCTGGTCCCAACAACATTAGTAAATCCTAAAACCCTGTGCTTTAACACCTGATTACATCCTTAGAAATGCTTGTCTGTTTCAAAATACTCAGCGTTCTCTGCTCTAACACTGACCTCTGTGTTTCTCACTGACCGTGAATAAAATGCTTCATGCTCTGGAGCCGCTCATTCATAACGAGGGAAGAAAGTGATGTCACATCTGCCAGAGCAGGAGGCACTGAGCTGAGTCCTCAGTCTGCTACTTACTATTACCACTGCAACTACTACTACTTCTGCAATCTAAAGTTGCAGATTAACAAAAGTAGATGGTACATGAAGTTTTTGTGCTGTTGACAACATTCTCCCAAAAGGTTCAGTCTCTGCCACAAGCGCATTCACTGTTTCTGCAGGATTTCATGTTAACACTGGTCTCTCTGCTGGCTCCTGTCCTGTCCTGACCCGTGTGGAAAAAGCCTCAGATCTTTGCAGTAAAATTTTTGTTGTGTTGAGTGCCTGACCTCGGTTTGGCCACAGCTCTGCGCCTCATTCGCTCCAGGTCTGGATCGGTGGAAGGAGGGACCCTGCGTACCACACCGAAGCCCTCTCCGGTGCTCGCCAACGGGAACTCCAGCAGCGTGACCTCCGCTGGGGCAGATACACATGCAACTGTTCAGTATCAACAGCAACATTTACAAGAATATATGTTCAAAATGCTTCTGTCATTTCTACATCTATCCATCCATCCATTTTCTTCCGCTTCATCCATTGCCGGGTCGCGGGGGCAGCAGTCTAAGCAGAGACGCCCAGACTTCCCTATCCACACACACCTCCTCCAACTCGTCCGGGGGGACTCCAAGGCGTTCCCAGGCCAGCTGAGAGACATAGTCCCTCCTGCGTGTCCTGGGTCTTCCCCGGGGCCTCCTCCCGGTGGGACATGATATTCTACATGATATGTTCAAACAACATTTATCTATCAACATTTAAGGACATTAAAGGTATCTTGTACAATTTTATTCTTATGCTTACTTAATATTCCATTATTCCTATAACACGCCATATTAGTCCAGTCTCTCAGTAGGGGGCACACTGACAATAAACTTTAATGTCGACTATGGGACCACAGAATACAGAGCGACATGTTTGGGCTCTCAGACAGATTCACTTTGAAATGTTACCCATTTTTTCAGTCGTTTTGTAGAATATAGTGTAAGAGGAAACCACACAGTATTACAGTGAAGACAGAAACTTAAGCGTTTTCTAAAGCAGCTTTGCTCCTGAACAAGAGTCTGACCTGCATCCTGCCTGCAGCGTTGTATTCTACCGGTGTTCATCCTCCACAATATCTGCGTCGGCCAGGAAGGGCAGTCCGCAGGGGGCCGGGTTGGACGCTCGGACAGAGGGGTCACCTGCAGAGGCTTGGATACCTCCATCATCTGGCTCCCCACTGTCTGGCTCTCCATCGTCTGGCTCTCCATCGTCTGGCTCTCCATCGTCTGACTCTCCATCGTCTGGCTCTCCATCGTCTGGCTCTCCATCGTCTGGCTCTCCATCGTCTGGCTCTCCATCGTCTGGCTCTCCATCGTCTGGCTCTCCATCGTCTGGCTCTCCATCGTCTGGCTCTCCACGGTCTGGCTCTCCATCGTCTGGCTCTCCATCGTCTGGCTCTCCATCGTCTGGCTCGCCTTGTCTCTGAGCTGGATCCTCGCCCTCAGGGTCATGTTCAGCACCTCCAGCACCTCCCTGTTGTGGAGGCTGTTCTTGTAGAGGACAGAGGGAGGGAACCGCAGGAGCACCCGCCGACTCCTCTGACCCCTGGGAGCACGAAGGAGCCAGGTGCGTCGGAAGATGACCATATCTGTCTCCTGGGATGTAGTCGCCAGAACACACATACTAAGGAGACATCGCCTGGGGCATCGGTACTGCAGCAGGACAGAGGAGCCATCCAGCACTTTGTCAGGAGCCGAAGCAAAAGAGAGAGAGAGGGAGGGAAGAGATGGGTCCAGAGAGGAGGCGGCAAATGGCAACACGCACAGGCCCTGGAGGAACAAGATAATGATAATGATAATAATAATAATGATAATAATAATAACAATACACTTATTTATTTACTCCAAACACAGTGGTGACAAACTACTGCTACTGTAGCTATAGCTGCCCTGGGGCACACTTTAGAAGCAAAGCAACCAGCCTTTCCCATCAGCCCCACCTACCTCCACCAACCATTCACACGCCATACTCATTCTAATGTGGGTGAAGTGTCTCGCCTAAGTACACAACCACAGTTCGGAACTTTACAGCCGCACCCGCCTAACCGTGGCACCTGTTGTTCCCAGAGGTCTCCCATCACAGTATTAAGTTTCTGAGATGTTTTGTTTGGGATCAAAATTATCTGCTTCGTAAAACAAATTAAGGCTTGATATATCTCCCTTTGCATGTTATGAGTCTGTTGTGTATTGAGAGAACAGGCGCCTTTAGTGGCAGACGCCACTGTTTCTGTGGCAGCTAGTTTTTAAGTGGCATCTAACAGAAACTCTTCTTCCTCTATAATCTCTGGAACACACTCAGGGCCTCCTCACAGACTTCTCCTCCTCACAGACTTCTCCTCACAGATCAACAGAAAGCGTCTTGACCGACTGCTGCCACTGGAAATGCCAAAAAGTGACTCTCAGGGCCCATGCTAAATATATGTTTTGTAAAAAGATAAATCCAGCATGTTGTTGTCTGAATTGTTCACAACATTAGACTTTCAAGACGTCTCCCTTTGGACAAACAACTGGTGTTTGAAAATGAACCTATCTCAAAGTGCTGGGAACATGCAGAGACCCCGTTCACTTTAACATGAGAATGTAATTAAGTCAATTCTGATAAATACAGAGAGAAGTCTAAATTCAACTAAAATCCTTTGTTTGTTTATAGACTTTAAACTGTAGTGAATGAGATGAAAACAGTCTGAGGTGAATGTGTAGAGGACAAGGCTTCTCCTGCAGGTTACAGCAAATCCTTGTCAATTCGATGCTCAATATATCTACTTCTATATCTACTTCAATCACAATAGCAGTCGTCTCCCAGGACTTTAGAAAATTGTGGATTCACCAACAACAGATCAGAGAATCAAACAGCTCAAAAAAATTAAATACAATAATAACAAACACATAGAGACATTGGTCCACAGACATTGGAGCAGATGACCACTGTCCAAGAATGTTCATAAAAGTCCATACATGTCCTGGACCATCTCTGTCCTTAGACCCTGCTGCTTCAGAGAGGAACCACTCAGAAAAAACAATGCAAGAAATATCAGAAAGCTGGTAAAGTGAGGGTTACAGCCTGTAGAACCAGGACTCTCTGATCTAACGTCTGTAGGAAAACACAGCACCATGAGTTGATAGTAATGTTTCTTACCAGGATTATTGTGATTATTGTGGCAGAGAAACAGCCACATTTCCAAAAGGCCATGTTGGATCCTGACTTTGCGGTGTGAGTATGTGCTGCACGAGCATCAGGAAGTGTGAACAGGATCCACCCCGAGGCATGAGGCTCCGCTGGATTTACCTGCTCCTCCAGTTTGTATCGAGGATTTAAACTGCTAACAAAATCCATCACTTATGGAAGTAACAATGGTCAATACTATTTTATTTGGTGGTTGGAATGAGCAAGTATCAAAACGCTAAGGATATGTTTTAATAGATACACGGACAGACACACACACACAGACGGACAGACACACACAGACACACACACGGACAGACACACATGCAAATGGACAGACACACACACACACACACAGACGGACAGACAGACACACAGACGGACAGACACCCACAACAGACAGACGCACACAGACAGACAGACACACACACACAGATGGATAGACAGACACACACACAGACGAACAGACACACAGACGGACAGACACCCACAACAGACAGACACACACACACACAAACAGACACACACACACAGATGGACAGACAGACATACACATACAGACAGACACACACACAGACGGACAGACGCCCACACACACACAGACGAACAGACACACAGACGGACAGACACCCACAACAGACAGACACACACAGATGGATAGACGCACAGACGGACAGACACCCACACACACACAGACACACACACACACACACACACACACACACACACAGACGGACGGACAGACACACACATATGCACACAGACAGACAGACACAGACGGACAGGCAGACACACACACAGACTGACGGACAGACACTCACACAGACAGACAGACACACACATAAGCACACAGACAGACACACACACAGACGGACATATCTATCTCATCTATCTACACAAACCTGGCCTCTCCCTGTTTGTCCCACAATTTGAATATTTTGTAATAAAACGGACAGACCTTATCTCCTTATTTTACACACTCAACAATAAATCATCAGAAAGTTACGTACTGTTGCTTTAAGAACTGGATGTGGTTGTGATGTTGAGCTCTGATAAAAGCGACTCCAGTCATTTGTCCGTTTTGAAGCTGACCTGACCCTAATGAGTCACAGTGATGTGATCACAAGTGCGTGGCCTAAACTTGAACCACAGCTCTCACACTTAACTGCATATACATTCAAAAGTATTTAAAGAGACATAATGTTTACTCTGATCCAAAGTGCTCCTCAAACAACCTCTCACTGATTTCAAGACAAATCTGTGTCCTTGAGCAGCTTTTAGTTCAGCCCAGAGTGTTTTACTTCGTCTGTGGCTTTAATATAAGGTAGTGTGAGGTAATGGATGTAGTGTGTTAATCAAATTCTTTCTCAGAAAAAACTACCAAATGTAATGTATTCAAACATTTTAACCCAACACATCATTAGGAGTTAGATGCTTACATATGAAACATAATGTGTGTAACTTTATATTTGGTCCAGTTTTGGTTCAATCTAAAGAACAAACAACATTATGTTTTTAGGAAAATCAACCTAAAAAAAACGTGAAACTTACATTGAAGTAATGTCCAAACACCTTCATAATGAAAGGAAAATCCCTTCTGTTCTTTTGGCCCCCGACATATTCCTATTTTTATTATTCGGCACCTGACGGAATGAGTGTGACACCTCTGTCTTAAAGGAAAATGGAAACATTTAATTAAAGACACATTTCCCCCACATTAGAATCAGTCTGGTGTGTGTGTGTGTGTGTGTTTGTGCGAGTGTGTGTTTGTGTGTGTGTGTGTGTTGATGGTTGGTGGTGTTGGGAGGGGCCAATGGCACAGACTGGTTGACTTGCTTCTGTCAGTGTGCCCCAGGGCAGCAGTAGTTTATCACCACTGTGTTTGAAGTGAAAGAATAATGACATGTGAAGAGACTGTGAGAGTCCAGAAAAGAGCTGTATAAAACAGATGCATTTTCATTACTAATAAAATAATTCACAATTAGCAGTAACAAATGACAGAAGTTTTGGCTCGGGTCCCCACACAAAAGAAAACCAGTTCCTCATTCAACTATAATTCGATATACGTTGCGTCTATCGCCTCAGTGAGTTTGATTCCATCCGCAGGATCAAAGCCCAGAGTCTAACATAACATGATCTGCTCCAAGCCAAGCCTTTCGCCGTCCGCCCGCGTCCTCTTTTGCCCACGCCAAAACGCCACTTTGAAGAAATATGATCTGAAAACAGCCTGGTGTGGCAGCCACAGCTAATTACCCACGGGCCACTAACGGCATGTGCATCAAAGTGCTGCAGGAAGGAGGTAACTCAAACTGTTGCTGATTCAGGAGCCGTAATTAATGCAAGGTACGCAGCTCTCCGCCGTATATAGGGGCGATGGAGACAGAAATACACCAGTTTCAGGTCTTTCAAACTGGATTATTGAAGATTGCAAGTGAGGAACAGGGGGTTTGGGCTGATGGATGGTTCTGCTGGACATATGCTGAAAGGGAGGTTTCGAAAGAGACTTTTAACGTTCAGAATTGAACCCTAAAGCAGGATGGATCCACCCTCACCTTTACAATTTTTCCATGAAATTCTGCCTTTTTTTCTTCAAATGGTGGCTAATGCTGTGTTCAATCTGGACAAACTTAGTAGAGTTATAATTTTTACCCTGCAGGATAATTGCAAATAATACAGAGACATATCAAATCATGGACTCAACACGACCCTGAAGCATGATGTTTCCACCTCAAGTTTAACAGCTTCTAAGATAAGATAATTCTTTATTCTGTATTTTTTTCTCAGAATGCTGGCCAATGTTATTGTACAAATGTGTATGAGCATTTTTCCAATTATTGTTTTCCTCAGTTGCGAAGAACTGAGGTTCAGACTGGACAAACTGTGACTTTGTTGAATCATTGATTTTTCTCTGTCGGAGATTTGCAAATACATAGACTTTTTGGGGACAAAAGGAGGACTGAAGCAGCTCCCAGGTGAGGAGGGGGTGCAGCCCATAAGGTGTGTCGGGCAGGGCAGTCCGCAGGTGCAGATGGAGAGGGCCGGGTTCAGGGGTCCCATTGTCGCGCCATGAAACAGACAATGGAACAATGGCTGAAAAGCAATGAACAGACTACAGACATAATCCTAAATGTGCAACTTTAGCTCATGTGCACTATCAACCTGAACCTTTATGTGATAATCTCAAGCAGTTTATTTGAAAAGATTTTGAGATGGCTCTCCAGGATATTTGCAAACATGACGACAAAGTACAGGGACAAACCAAAACGGGATATCTGTCCCTGTCTGGGAACAGCAGTGGAACTGGACTCAATATTAACTTCCCTCTCGGACAATTCAAGTTTTCTATCCCAGTGACAGACTACTTAGAAGAGAGTCCACTTCAGTTTGGACAAATCCCTCAAACTCCCGCCTCTGACCTTTTCTCAACACAACCCAGCCACGTTTCTCTTCCCTCCTTGTCTTCCCACGTCACTCCTCTACCGTTCCCTTTGTCCCACGGAACGACCACTCTGGCGTTCATCTTCCAGGGAGGTGTCCTGGTGGCGGCGGACACTCGCTCCAGCTGCTCCGGTCAGGTAGCCTGTCCCGCTGCCCAAAAGATCCTTCCCATCCACAGCCACCTGGTTGGAACCACCTCTGGAACCTCAGCCGACTGCGCCCTGTGGAAGCGGATTCTGTCCCGCGAGCTGAGGCTGTACCAGCTAAGGTTTGGACGCCGTTTATCCACCAGGGGAGCTGCCAAACTACTTTCCCACTTGCTGCACCCATTCAAAGGGACTGAGGTTTGTGTGGCGGCTACTCTCTGCGGCTGGGATGGGGGTGAGGTCTCTGGAAGAAGTCCTGGAGGAGTTCTGGATGCAGCAGAGCAGAAAGCAGAGAGCCAGTGCCCTCCTTCCACATTGTCTCGCTCTGGGCCCAGTTTGTTCTATGTGTGCAGTGACGGGACGCGCCTGCAGGGGACGCTCTTCTCGGTGGGGTCGGGGTCTCCGTATGCGTACTCGGTGTTGGACCAGGGCGTGGAGTGGGGTATGACGCTGACGGAGGCCGTGGCGTTGGGGAGAGAAGCTGTGTACAGAGCCACACACAGAGACGCCTACTCTGGGAACTGTGTGGACGTCTATCTGGTCTCGTCTGACGGCTGGAGGCGGAGGCCCAGGGAGGATCTGAGGGAGGAGTATCACAGAGAGAGGGAGAGAGAGAGAGAGAGAGAGGGAGAGAGAGAGAGGGAGCGAGAGAGGGGGGGGGACACAAGAGAAAGAGTGATGCGTCTTATTTAGCTGTGCATAATATTTGAAAATATTTTTGAAGCTTTTATTTTGATATTTTTCACTGAATTCTTAACACAAAATGTTGTATATATTTTGCTTTGACTTTGCGTTACACCGTATAAATTGTGCTTAATAAATGAGTGTTATTGATTGATTGGATTCTCTCTTCCTGTGTATAGATAAAAGCACACCATACCAAACCATGCGTAAGTATTCAAACCTCATGTAATTAAACTGGAACTGAGCCAGATTTGACCTGAGAGTCAGAGACAAAGACCAGTCCAAAGCAGGTCTGAGGCAAAGTAAGAGAGAGAGAGAGAGCAGAGAAGGACAGCATAGAGAGACAGCAGAGAGACAGAAAGAGAGGAGAGACAGCAGAGAGACATCAGAGAGACATCAGAGACAACAGAGAGACGGCTGAGAGAGGAGAGAAAGACGAGAGAGAGAGAGACGTTCAAACATAAGGGAGTATTTTGGAGTCGTGATGGCATCAGATATGAATTAATGAACAGAACAAGCTGATGCGTCCTGCGGCGTTTGGGAGACGCATATCGTTCCCACTAATCAACAGCTGATGTTTTTCTATTGTGGCGTTAATGGGACCGCGATGAGCCTGGCATTCCTGATCAGCTGCGAAAACATCATCAATGATTCTGTGAGATTCAGATAATTGCAGAGTTTATTCCAGAGTGTGGGGACGACAGCAGAGGGAGACTGGTCTGAATCAATGATAACGAGATTTGGGAATTTTGGGGATTTATATCTATCATCTTTATATAAGCTTTGCAAGAAATGGAGAAATATTTGCTTTTCCCTTTGCATCACAATGTGTAGATGTATTACTCGGCAAGGGATAGGAAGTTTATTTGTATAGCACGGTTCAAACACAAGGTATCTCAAACAAATATTAAAATCACACAAGGCATTCAAATCATCTGAAATCATCTTTCAGTTGTTGCAGCGAAACAGAACTGTTTTTAACCTGGATTTAAACGTTGTCAGAAAAGAAGCCTGTCTCACCTTTTCAGGAAGACTGTCGCAGCAGGAGGCCAGTTCCTGTGCTCCACAGAGTTGGTTGATATGGCACTAACATGTTTCAGATGTACTTTGGTGCGAGGCCATGGAGAGACTAACAAACAGAGGTGCTTTAAAGGTCCCATATTACTTTTTCCTTCATGTTTCACAGTCCATCTTATGCACATGTGTGATAATAACTTGTGAGATTATAGCCATCTCTTGTATAGAGGTGACGTCACCTCGACTCAAACGAGCTGATCCAGAGAGAAGTCTGCTCCTCTGTCTGTGAGCCCGCCTTTCCCCTCCCGGACGGCGACGTAGCATCACGCTCTGAGTTGTTTGTCTCAGGTACGTAGACATTTCAGACCTGAGAATACACTTTTTCCAAAAATAACAATCCGTCACATCAAGCCCTATGTCCTCGATCCATAATTATTTAGTTTACAGAAGTATATGGCGAGTTAGTATCACTGTACTAACAGATCGGGGGTCCGTGTTACATCTTTAATCATGGGATTAACACTGGTTTCCAGACCAGCTTTTGGGTAAGTCCAGTTCCATTGTCCCTGTAGTCTCAGTAAAGTGAGATGAAAAGATTCACAGAGATGAACAGATTCATTCAAACAGAGGCAGATCCACGTTAAAAAAAGTCGAGCCGCTTTCTTCCTCTTCAGGCCAAATAGTGCATCAAATATTTACAAAACACATTTTCTCCAAGTTGACGTTGCCCTAACACTTTTAATCGCTTACAAAAGCAGAAAAACAGCAGCTCCATGTGGTGTTTGCAGAACCAAGCCACAGACATACGCTGGACTCTGGAGCTAGCTGCGTGCTCTGATTCGCTGTTTCAATCTGTCAATCACCTCCTGGAAAGATCGCTCTGTAACTAAAGATTGACAGAATCAATGCAAAAACTACTCTGGGCATGTGAATGAAGGCCAAGTAGCACTGTTTTCATGTTTAAAGCAGAGAAAAGTCAAAAAGCAAGTAATATGGGACTTCTAGTGTAAAAGTCTATTCTCTGAAATCCGTTACGTTGTTGATTCTTGCAGTTTTATGGATCTATTATACAGCTCCTCATAGTAGAAATAGAATTTTCCATTGATTTGAATGTAATTTCAAAATGTTATACTGGTTATTATGTCTTGATAACGGACCTCTCCAACCAATAATGACTGTTGTGATCAACTCATTGACAGCCATTGACGTATTATTCTGAGACCCTCTATTCGGCTGGGGATATATGGACAACAAAAATAGCTAGAAACAAACTTATTTTAATGATTGAAAGTAGACAATCCAGTCTTTCAGAATCTGGTTTCATTTTTCACATAGTTTTAGGAGATAATATTCTGTGGGTCTTGAGAAACAGTGAAATTATCAAAACGGTTGGCAGACAATGAGTTAAGGTGTGGTAGATCCCTCCGCAAGTAGTCCGGCCTCTAGCGTTGTCTATTTCTGAGTTCTATACATTATAGTAGTTTCAATTGTAGAAGCATTTTTTGTATTTCTTTCACATTTATGTATAAAAGAGAAAAATATGGTCACATTTTAGTTCAGCCCTCATTAAATAACAGCTCATAAGGTCCTATTTAGTGTATAATGTATGTATTTATGAATGTATTAGTCCTTATTCTACATCTAACTCACTACTAACTGACACTTTCCCTGTGGGTTAGGGATACAATTACAGTTGAATATCAGGTCCATGTTTCAGAATAATTATTTATGTTTTGAGTTTTTTTACTCTGTGTGAAAGACAGAAATACAAATTAAGAAAGAGAACGAAGAGAATGAGCCTTGAGCTTTTACATCTGCAAAGGTCACAATGTGCAGGATGTGTGGAATGTGCAGCAAAATGTGAACGGAATCTCAGTTTTACATTTTTAATAAATCGTCAAAAAATGTTTACGTTTAGACAGAACTGAATCGGTCCCATTTATACATTTTTCATTTTTTACTCTCATTCCAAACTTTAAAACGGAGAGGAGCAATATACTTGAACAGACAGAACCTGCTCTAAAAAGCCTCAAATGGAAGTGCTCATGAGGATAGTTTTGCTCAATTCACTTAAAAGTAAACTCCTCCTCAGTAACCGTTTGTGTCGCACTCACTATTTTAGTCTTTAAAAGCATTTTCTTGGACTGTGCTAACATTCTGGTATGGTATGTTTTAATAATGTCTAGAAATCCATGTATAATCTTGACCATTTGACCAATCAGGGGCTTTTTGTCCCCGAAATTGGCTTCGTCTAGCGAATAGCAGATTAGCGCCGCTTCTGATTGGCTCTTTGGTTGCTAGGAGAGAGTGTAGAGGATCTGAGAAGCCGACTGAAGAGAGCAAGAAGGAGCAGAGCCTTCATCCCCACCGCTGTCATGGGGGGATCGAACCCACGACCATTAGGTTCAAAGACCAATGTTCAACCAACTGAGCTATTGTCACCTCAGTTTTTGAATATATTTTATTCCCAATTTAAACGTCTGGGAATAAAAAAGCGTTTGGACCTGGCTCATGGTGAAGACGTTCTTACGGAGCAGTGAGGAAATATCAAAACGCAGTAAAAATTTAGTGAGTTTATACAAGCAAATACTTATCTTAAAGATACTCAAAGTAACCAAGGAGAGGAAGTAGACGAGAACTAAAATAGACGTTCCATTCCATTTATTCAATTCAATGCATTTGTGTATCGCCCTTCATCTTTCAGCAGTCGTCTCAGAGGACCTTAGAAAGCTGTCAATTCGCCAACAACAGATCAGAGAATCAAACAGTTAAAACTCAGGAAATGCAATGATAGAAAATAGAGCCATTTGTTCATAAGGGGCATAGATCAGTTTCCAGAAATGTGAATAAATGTCCTGGATCATCAGTGTCCTGAGAACCTCCTGCATCAGAGAGAAACATGAGGCAAAGACAGAGCGGAGAGTGAAGGACAAGACAAGGTTTAATTAGAGATTCAAGTGAAACAAATGAGGGCAGTTCATCACAACAGGAAGTGAGGGTGGTCCTCTCAATACACAGATTTTAAGACATAAATGTTTCAATAATGATGCATCAAGTTTTATACAGCACTTTTCTGGACACTCAAAGATTCTTCAAATCATTATTCTTTCACTCCAAACAGTGTTGATAAACTACAACTGTAGCCACAGCTGCCCTGGGGCACATTGACAGAAGCGAGGCAACCAGTCTGGCCCCTCCCACCACACACACCAGGATACAACCACGGTTTGTTTCTTTACAGCCGCCCCACTGTGGCACCTGGTGTTCTTGCCGTCTCCCATCTCACTACTGATCAGGCCCTGCCCTGCTTAGCTTCAGTTGTCAGACAGGATGTGGCTGTGTGGTCAGCTGTAGAACACACTCACACTAGTGCACTTCATAAATTGGACTGAAAATGTTGGTTTTCTGAAGTGTTTTTGATGCAGTTGCATTATTCATGGGTCCATAGAGCGAGGCCTTGGGGCAGAGTCTGTCCATATTTTCTCTTGTTTTCTGTTAAAACCTCTGTAATTATTATTTATGCGGTTTGTACAGTCTACAACTTTAACTCAGAGGCAGTTTTAGCTAAATATAGTACTACTGCAGTTTCTCCAGTTCTAGTCAGCTTCAAATTCAGTTTATTTGTCATTTGCAGTAAAACCACATTGTAATACAAGTGTAAGTACAAGAATAAAACAGGTAAAAAGTACAGAAACAATCATCACTTTGAAACCAATCAACAAAATCAACCTGGGGGAAAAGGGGAGGAGTTTGTTGTAGTTATTAATGCCTGCAGCCACACCTGCCCTGTGAGGTCTGACCCTCTGGTTCAAAACAAAGTAGCAGAGGAATGTCTTAGAAAAAATGAGTCAGAGGCACTCGGATGCAAAACATTCCAGTTTAATCCGGAGCAGAGGGAATTTGTTATATGGATAAATTTACTCCCTGCATAAACTTCTCTAATGTACAGAAAACTTCTATCTTTTATTACTTTTAAGTTATAGCCTTTTGAAATGACGATGTCAAAATCAATCATTTTAGACGGGTTGAGACTTCTGCTTTGGTTGGAATGAAAACCCGCGGACACACAGCCCTTTGAGGACCAGTCTGACCCCCCTGGTTCAGAGCAAAGGGTCAGTGGGATGTGTTTGTACCAATGTGTGCCAGTGATCCAGATATCATCTCATGTGGAGCAGTGGGAGTTGGATTAAAGCACAGCTTTAGATTCAGATGTTGGTGTTCCAGGCCTGATGAACAATAGGAATGAACAATAGTGATGAAGAGTGGAGAACTCAGCCGACACAGACGGCGAGAGCGAGCACAGCACAGAGGGGTCTCTTTGTTTCAGAGCGTTTTGTTCTTCTCTGGCCTCTGCCTCAGATCAGTCCAACAGAGAAACTCCACCGAGGACCGCAAACTGCTGTCACAAACACATGCACTTGTTTTATAGTTGATATTATGAAAAATCCACTGTTTTAACCTTTCAGCCACATTATAACATTATTCCCTCTTTAATAACAGACCAGGACTTAATCCATTCTCACTGATTGAGCTAAGTCAGCCTTCTATGAGCCGTGGACTTTCGAAAGCTTCAAATCGTGAAGTTTGAATACTAAGGCTAATCAGCAGCACAGTAAATTGTGACCAGTAAATGTTTTATTTCCAAAAAGACTGGGTACATAGTATTTCCAGATTAAAAAACTTGGGTAACCCCGCAAGTCCCAGTG